TGCCATGACTGTAAAGTAAAAAAACAGCATCCTCATATCTGTGATACAGAAAGAGCAAGTGTCTTCTGTGTTGCTTTTGTAGCAACACCCTGTGACCTGTGAAACTTTTAGTTTTCAAATCTTATTCACTTTTGGCCTACATTCAAATCCATGAAGAATCTATATGAGATTTGTGTGCTGTTGTTTCTGCTCCGCCTTCTTCTCCTTATATGGTGTAAAGTGTCTGATGTAAACAACTGTTGTGAACGCCAAATTTGAATGACTTAAATTTCTGTGAGGGTGAGCATATTACAGGATTTTTATTTTTTAGTCAATTATGTAGGCTACTTAAAACAATATGATTTGAGCCTAGAGCGTCATCTTTTGCCAATTAAAAAAATAAGTATTAGTTAATAAACATATATTTTTAAAATTGTTCTGGTGCTGCACTGCACAGACAGTTTCATTTAAATATCAAATATATACAATAGGCCTATCCAATATTTTTATGATTTATCTGGAAAATAAATCTTATTTCAAAATTGTTCAGAATAGTGATGAATCAGGATTTAGATTTCTATAATCATCATTGACTATAATGCTATGCTCTGAGAAAAGAGCTGGCTTGCTTCTAGATTCAAAGATTTGTATGATCATGATATGCATGAGGAGAACTGCAGTGTCGTGTAGAGCACAGCGCCCTCTTCTGGGCTGAGTGAGCGACTTTACTTTAGAAACACATTAAAACTGTTTGAATTAACTGGTTTGAATATATATTTTTAGTCTATGATGACTTTAACTGTTTCTACAGAGGTTTTTAAAAAATCAGTGTTAACACAAATATAATAGCCTACATCCCACTTTTTTGTACAGTGTTTCCAGGTTTCATGTCACTGTGGGCTTCAGGGCACAGTAGTACAGAGCAGAGTCTGACACTTCAGCAGAGGAGATAGTAAGATTCACTTGTTTTATGTCTTTTGCAGCTTTTGCTGACAGACGGAGTGAAAGATCAGGATCATCTGAATATTCTGTGATGAGAATGAGGTGCTCGGGTCGAGATCCAGGATTCTGGCGATACCACTGCAGATTATCAACATTACCACTGTAGTTACAAGTAAGAATCTCATTTTCACCTATGAAAACATGCTTTTCTGAGGATAATGGGTATATTTTGTTTGCAAAAGAAATTCCTGTAAAACAGAGAGAGAAATACATGTTTGTTAATAAAACAGGAATTAGATCTTGTCATCATAAACTCGTGCATCGGTTGTTCGAAATTTACTTCACATGCCATATTCTCTGGCTTTTATTCTTTAGCATATTGGGGATGATACCCTGAAAATTAGATCTCCTCTTACCGATAAATAATGGAAATATCCAACAAAAGAGAAACATGATGGGTGATCTTTGAAGTGATGACAAAGTCAGTAAACATAAAGAAACTTTGGATCACCCTCTTAGTAAGAGAGCTCCACCCTCTTTGAGGTCTTGATTCATTTTTCACTGTATATAACTTTATAGCTAAACACTTTGTTTGATTACAGATGTTGTTGTTCTGATATGGTATAAGTTTGCTCAAGATGTTAGTCATGTATTTTTCATCATCTCATATTTTTGTACAGTGTAGAAAGGTTTCCTGTTACTGTGGGCACCAGGGCACAGTAGTATATTGCAGAGTCTGCTATTTCAGTTTTGGAGATCTTCAGGTCCAGTTGTTTTTGGTCCTTTAGCGCTTCAGCGACATGACGGTCATTCTCCTGTGGACCCAGATTTTCAAAAGCTTGCAAGAGAAATTCTGGGGCAGTGCTGGGGTACTGTCTGTACCACTGAAAACCCAATATATTACTTCCATCGTAGTTGCAGGAAAGAGTCGTCTTCTCCCCTTCTAACGCATGCACTTCAGCATATAGGGGTGTAATTGTATTTGCAAAAACACTCTCTGGGAAAATATAAAAAACAGAGGAATAGTATTATTGGGGCACTTTCAGTATTTTAATTCTTCTTTTTAAATTGTAGCCTATATACATTTGTAGAGGTATATATAGATATATTAACAAATGAAAATATTAAATGTAAATACCTGTTAGAAGTGCCAAAATGGTGAGGTAATACAAAAACATTATGACTGGTAGAGATGACATACAGAATGAGATTTGGGGAAACATGGGACTGCCTCTGCTGTACCCATTCTCACCAAGCTCCACCCAGTGGATTGTGGGACCCTCTAGTCAGTCTATTGATTAAATTAATTGGGAATACTGATTGGGGATTGCAGGGCACAGTAATACACAGCAGAGTCTGACGCTTCAGCAGAGGAGATCATAAGATCAACACGTTTGATATCTTTTGTAGCTTTTGCTGACAGACGAAGTGAAAGATCAGGTTTTGAATATTCTGTGATGAGAATGAGGTGCTCGGGTCGAGATCCAGGATGCTGACGATACCGTCCACTGCAGATTGTTTACATCAACGCTGTAGTTACAGGAAAGAATCACATTTTGACATCTGAAAACACGCTTCTCAGAGGATAATGGTTGTATTGTGTTTGCAGATGAATTTCCTGTACAAAAAAAAGCATTGTTATTCATTAAACAGAAAACTAATCGTGGCATAAACACATGTATTAATTGCTTCAACTGATGTGCTACATATTATATTTTCATTTTATGAAGCTTTTAAAAATGAAAACACCTACCTATAAATATGAAGTGGTAGTCCCCTATATACACCCCTGTGGTGAACACCAAATTTTAATGACTTAAATTTCTGTGAGGGGGTGAGTATATTATAGGATTTTTATTTTTTTAGTCAATTATGTAGGCTACTTAAAACAATATGATTTGAGCCTAGAGCGTCACCTTTTGGCAATTAAAAAAAATAAGTATTAGGTAATAAACATATTTTTAAAATTGTTCTGGTGCTGCACTGCACAGACAGTTTCATTTAAATATCAAATATATACAATAGGCCTATCCAATATTTTTATTATTTATCTGGAAAATAAATCTTATTTCAAAATTGTTCAGAATAGTGATGAATCAGGATTTAGATTTCTATAATCATCATTGAATATAATGCTATGCTCTGAGAAAACAGCTGTCTTGCTTCTAGATTCAAAGGTTTGTATGATCATGATATGCATGAGGAGAACTGCAGTGTGTAGAGCACAGCGCCCTCTTCTGGGCTGAGTGAGCGACTTTACTTTTAAAACACTAAACAAACTCATTAAAACTGTTTGAATTAACTGGTTTGAATATATATTTTTAGTCTATGATGACTTTAACTGTTTCTACAGAGGTTTAAATAAATCAGTGTTAACACAAATATAATAGCCTACATCCCACGTTTTTGTACAGTGTTTCCAGGTTTCATGTCACTGTGGGCTTCAGAGCACAGTAGTACAGAGCAGAGTCTGTTTCTTCAGCAGCGGAGATAGTAAGATTCACTTGTTTTATGTCTTTTGCAGCTTTTGCTGACAGACGGAGTGAAAGATCAGGATCTGAATATTCTGTGATGAGAATGAGGTGCTCGGGTCGAGATCCAGGATTCTGGCGATACCACTGCAGATTATCAACATTACCACTGTAGTTACAAGTAAGAATCTCATTTTCACCTATGAAAACATGCTTTTCAGAGGATAATGGGTATATTTTGTTTGCAATAGAAATTCCTGTAAAACAGAGAGAGAAATACATGTTTGTTAATAAAACAGGAATCAGATCTTGTCATCATAAACTCGTGCATCGGTTGTTCGAAATTTACTTCACATGCCATATTCTCTGGCTTTTATTCTTTAGCATATTGGGGATGATACCCTGAAAATTAGAACTCCTCTTACCGATAAATAATGGAAATATCCAACAACAGAGAAACATGATGGGTGATCTTTGAAGTGATGACAAAGTCAGTAAACATAAAGAAACTTTGGATCACCCTCTTAGTAAGAGAGCTCCACCCTCTTTGAGGTCTTGAGTCATTTTTCACTGTATATAACTTTATAGCTAAACACTTTGTTTGATTACAGATGTTGTTGTTCTGATATGGTATAAGTTTGCTCAAGATGTTAGTCATGTATTTTTCATCATCTCATATTTTTGTACAGTGTAGAAAGGTTTCCTGTTACTGTGGGCACCAGGGCACAGTAGTATATTGCAGAGTCTGCTATTTCAGTTTTGGAGATCTTCAGGTCCAGTTGTTTTTGGTCCTTTAGCGCTTCAGCGACATGACGGTCATTCTCCTGTGGACCCATATTTTCAAAAGCTTGCAAGAGAAATTCTGGGGCAGTGTTGGGATACTGTCTGTACCACTGAAAACCCACTATATTACTTCCATCGTAGTTGCAGGAAAGAGTCGTCTTCTCCCCTTCTAACGCATGCACTTCAGCATATAGGGGTGTAATTGTATTTGCAAAAACACTCTCTGGGAAAATATAAAAAACAGAGGAATAGTATTATTGGGGCACTTTCAGTATTTTAATTCTTATTTTTAAATTGTAGCCTATATACATTTGTAGAGGTATATAGATATATTAACAAATGAAAATATTAAATGTAAATACCTGTTAGAAGTGCCAAAATGGTGAGGTAATACAAAAACATTATGACTGGTAGAGATGACATACAGAATGAGATTTGGGGAAACATGGGACTGCCTCTGCTGTACCCATTCTCACCAAGCTCCACCCAGTGGATTGTGGGACCCTCTAGTCTAGTCTATTGATAAAATGAATTGGGGATACTGATTGGGGATTGCAATTGATCTTTTGTATGTTTGGTTTGAAAATGTTCTCGTATTTATTGGTAATTGAAAACAACTCATTCAAACAAACAAGTAAAGACATCCACACAATATCCATGAATGTGTCATAAGGGCTTCTGTGAATTAAGGTGAAGTGTATTGTTACATATTTTGTGAAGAAATGTTGTTTTTCATTTATTAACCATTTGAATTGTTATGGGATTGGGATTGACGATTAAGGTAATTCCTTAAATCTAAAGTTATGTTTTTGTATGGTGAGCTCTTAGTGTTCTGTGACTGTGGGCTGCAGTGCGAAGTAGTACACTGCTGAATCTGTCCAAACAACATTTGAGATCTTTAGATCCACTTGTTGAAGGTCTTGATCAAATTTGCCAGAAAATCGTGATATGTTTATGGGTAAGGCTGGACCTCCCTGTGGATAGCTGTGGACAATGAACTTTAGTTTTGATCTGGCATATTGTTTGTACCACTGTACATTTAGCACACTTCCAGTGAATCCTTTGTAACTGCAGGATATAGTTACATTTCCACCAACAACAGTGCTCTTTATAGGTAATAGTGGGAAGATTGCATTTGCCTCTGTCTCACCTAACAAAATAAAACAGTTTGGTTATAGCAGCTTTACAGGAGCCGTTAAATAAAATTACATTTAATAAGATTCCAATTCAATTCAAAATGAATATTAATTTAGAGGAAGTCAAAATGTGTGTGCATAAGTTTATCTCACCCAGGTGGATCCATAAAATCATAAGTGTGTAAATAAACATAATGGTTGATATATTGGATGCCCAAATCAAGATGTCTGTTTCATCATATAATATGTGCTCCTGCACTTTTGTGAGATCCATTCAGAGACGCAGAACTCCACCCTCTGAGTCAGATGAATTTTTCTAGTACAGCATTTTCTTGTCCTCATTTAATATATTTAAGACTAGGGTCTGTCAATTCAGCAATAGATGAGAAAAAGTGTAGTATTGCCACCTGATTGACAAGTAACCGTTAAAACACAAGAAATATATTAAAATAATAATATTTTAAATAGATGATAATGGAATGGAATGTATATGCGTGCCACTGCCACTTTCAGAGCATTTAAATATGATATATTTTAAATATATTCATACCTAAAACTTTACAAATTAAAAACCGCTTGACCTTCTGCACAGCTTTCCAGTTCATCCAAGATATAGGTGTCTTTGTTTCCGCAGTAGTTTCAATTTTGATATTTTTAGGTCAAACCGTTCGTGTCTATCAGTCATATAATGGAGGTCTATGGTCACCAGCTAAAAGAGCATGCACAGAGAAGTCCAAATTAAACATGATTTAATGACTCGTAAATGTAAGTACACATTGATGGCCTAAGACATGAAACGAGCGGTTTGTGTGAGAAAATTAACAGTATTTATATCGTTTTTACCTCTTGTAACATACCTCAGTCCATAACTGAAGCCGAGGAGATCTTGAGATCCACACAGATTTTCTCCTCATTTAATTTAGCAGACACTCCTGGTATTGGAGGCTCAAGTTTGGCTTCACTAACCAGAAACAAAAACTCTGGTTAGAGCTGCTGTATTGCCGATACCACAGGAGAGAATCACTGCTGTAAGACCCATTGTATTTGCTGGCCAAAGTGAAGGAGTCAGCAGTTCTTACAAGTTCAGTTGAGGAGAGAGGCGTTATTCCTTCTCCACTTACATCACCTGAAACAGGCAGAGCATTGCAGTTTATAACCCATTCAACACAAATTATTAATGTCTTGATGACTTATTTTTGTAAGGTTTACTTAAAAAAATGTCACATAGCTTAGAAATGAACCAGACATTGCATAGAAACATCATGGATCCTTGCAAGCAGCCCAAACTTTATAACTAAGAGATTTTGGCTGATTCTGCATGGGCACTGAACTGTGACACCAATTGAATGTTCAAATCGTCTGTAATCGGAGTGAACGCTGCCATCTACTGTACATTTTATGCCATTACTTTACTGATTAGTTTGAATGACTAATTATTACAGTAGCTATTTGAGGACAAGTAGTTTGCCTGATGTAAAAGGTATATTTTATATGAGATACTGTTGATTTTACACAAGTTTATATCAGTGCTGTTAAACAGGCATCACTGCTGCTGACAAGGCTATGAGACTTTACAGTATGTATGGACATGTAATGCCATCTTGTGGCTGCATGCTGCAATGATGAATTTAAATCAATCAGCTGTGAGAGAACAATGAAATCATTCAAGGTACAGCATATTTTGTTGGACATCTTAAATGTTTTGCTTTCCCAAAGAAACTGTGCATTGTTGCGCAAAATGTTTGTGTTCCCCTAAGAAATTTAACATGCTCTCGCAAAACATTTTAGTTCTTTGTGTCCTCTGATCCCATATTTTTTCAACCACCATGTTCCTTTAGGTGGCTCTGTAATGTTCATATTTTATCGTTTTATTTTTTGAAAAACTGTTCACTGAAAGGTTATTTGGGGAATACCAAAGTTATTCTAAATGGCATTGCTGCAAAATCCCTTTTGGGACCTAGTTTTTAGAGTATAAGGGTGTTGTTTGAGGTTTTGAATATAGACAATCAATTTATATAAAATAAAGTTGTTGGGCAGCACAAAGAACAGTTAAAAGTTACTTTACTGGACCAACAAATCCACAATTTTGTCCAGAATGTTTAGCTATCTTTCTTTTAAAGTGAAAGAGATTTCAAATGATGTGAAAGAGTTTAAAAACAAATAGAGACAAAATAAAAGGGCAGTCACAGGACAAATTATATTCTTCTTCCCTTTATTCATTTATATAAATGTAAACCTAATATCTTGCCCACAAAGTATTATTTGTAATGTAATATTTATGTTAAAATGTCCTTAATTTTTTACATTATTTATAACATTATTTTTCATTCTTATCTATGGAAAGTACTCAAGCATTTTGAAAATTCCAATCTGCTAAATCAATGTAATCTGCTCATTCTGCAAACAAACATGAGTCTATGACAAAAGACAGATATGTTCTTTCTCTTTCTTTAAGTTTTTGTACAGTGATGATGTGTTTCCTGTCACTGTGGGCTGCAGGGCGCAGTAATACAGAGCAGAGTCTGACACTGTAACAGAGGAGATCTCCAGATCCACACGTTTATCACTCATACTCATTTGTCCATCCATTCCAGGGATACGGGGTTCTGCATAGATCACTTGTTTCTTGGCTGACTCCATGACGAGGAGCACAAATTCAGGTCTGGATCCAGGATACTGTCGATACCAATGTAGACTGTATGCACTGCCATCATATTTACATGAGAGATTGACTGGCTTCCCCTCAGTTACATGCACATTGTTCTGCAATGGTCTTATTGACTGTGCAAATGTATCTGTACAGAATAGAAAACATAAGTTAGGAAGAATATCAAGATGCAGGTGTTCAGAAAATATAAATCAAATAGCAAATTAACACTATGAACTTGCATAAAATACAATTGATTAATAATCTATTTAAAAAAAAAAAAAAGCTACTTACATTGAGTTACTGAAAACACAAGCAGACAGCACAGGAGCATCATCTTGAACCACAAATGAAAACTGCAGACAGAATTGAGATTTTTCTAGAGATCCTTTAAAGCTCCACCCATAACAATCAGTGAAAGCATTCAGATATAGCGCTATATCAGATAAAGTTTGGTCTTGAAATAAGTTTGACACCAATACTATTTCATTAAATAAATTTTTTTGGATCTTTCACATTAAAATACGATTATATATTTATTTCTCTTTTTTTGAAAGTTGGAAAGAGAGGGAAAAAAAAATACACTTCCAAAGCTTGGCACTTTCAGAAAAGTTTAAATTTATTATAGAATTCAAGCCTCATTTTTAAATATCATTCATTCTTCAGTTAAGCGTATGATCGCAAAACAGTGACGTTAAACCAAGACTTAGATTATATGGAAGGTTAAGAACGCAAGATATTGTCTTTCTTTTTAATTATATTATAGTCTTACAGGACATTTAAAGTCCCCATAAAATCAAAACGGACACTTTTTTATTGAATATTTCAGTATTTATTATTCGTATATGATTCAACTGTGCACATAATTTTTTATATATATATATATATATATATATATATATATATATATATATATATATATATTTAAATTATGTGTCCTCATAATCTTTAATCAAAATAACTTTGCCTCCTTGGCAAAACATCTCTTGCCTTCACTGCTGATGCGTTTTTTGGCGTGAGGGAGGGACAGCCTGTGACTCACATGAGATCACAGCAATAGCAAACCACAAACCATCCAGTCAATTTCCAATGTACAAAATCATATCTCGCCCTACATTTTTTTCTTGTTTAAGTATATCACTCAGTCACACGTCACAGTAGGGAAGAAAATTTTTATGCTGACTTTAACATAGTAGCCTATAACATTAGTATAACCCCTCCTCACAGAGGTTTTTGTACAGTGTGGCTGCTCTTCCTGTCACTGTGGGCTCCAGGGCACAGTAGTACAGCGCTGAATCTGTGACTGCAGCAGAAGAGATGTTCAGATATACCTGCTTTTCCACCTTATTCACACTAGCACCCAGTCTTGGGAAAGGGGGTTCTGCATGTGTTACACTGCCAGATTCATAAACAAGAATCAGAAATTGAGGTCTGGATCCAGGATATTGTCGATACCAATGTAAAGAGCGTGCTTGGCTATCATATTTGCATGAGAGAATGACTGACTCTCTCTCAGTGGCATGTTTTGTGGTCTCCAATGGTGTTATTGATTGGCCAAAGGATTCTGCAAATAGAGCATGAAAAACAGTGAAAAAATAAACTAAATGTTCAGCCATTATCTATAATCTATAGATATAGAACAGTTATGATTTTATTGTATTTTTGTGCTATGTATTTACATAAATAATAATAATGTAATATGCTACAATTCAAATAAGATCAAATATAATATTAAAATATTGTTAGATAATGAAAATGCTTAATCCTACTCACCCTGAATTGTTAATAGCACAAGTAGGTAGAAAAGCGATCTCATGTTTGCAGTGCAGAAGAACACACTGAAATCATAAGAGGTAAATGCCAACTCAATCTCTTCAAGCTCCACCCACATATTTCAGTGTGATTATGATTACACAAAACATGTCATACATGAAAGAATGTGAAATACATCTTGGCTATATATATGATTATATAGATAGATAGGTCATAGTGACAGAAATATTCTGTGTTGAACACAAGGTCAGTTGTTGAGGAGACAATAATAAGACAATTCTTCAAAACTCAGAATCTCAAAATTAATCATTATCTTTAAAGCAGTCGATTTGGTCAGTCAAAGTTTAGCTTTCTATAGTAAAGCCAGAGCTGTTGAAAAACAAAAACAAAGTTCCTACACTCCCATAGACCGCCATAGGAACTTTGGAAAGCGGAATATTGAATGCGGAACAATATTAATGATTCTGAAGCTGAAATTACTGAGTTATTGTAGATGAAAATGCTTGCATGCTTTCAGTGACTAGATATATTGAAAATAATCTTGACCACTTTTTACTGGTAACATAAGACATTTTCATTATCAGGCAGGACCCACACATATTCCCCCATTGCATATTATACATTATAATCAACATTATATTTAGTAGTTAAATGTACTTACACTACAACTCTGAAAACTTGAATTTTTTTCTCACACAGTAATTTTTATTTTGTAAAAATGCATATCCACAATACATATTGTCACTATCCACAATATGTATTGTTGCATTTTGTATTGTGATATATTGTGGCATGATATATTATTACACCCCTAGTCTTAACCATAATTAAGAGATGGTAACCAATGACATTCTACCCAGAGCTCATACTCAAATTTATGTCTCTATGTAAAAATTAATCTGCAGCAGTCAGGTGGTACAAGTAAGAGCTCTGTAAGTTGTTTACGTTCATTGTTATTGTAATGTTTTGTGCTTTGAGACATGAGGTAATTTAACGCCGTCTCTTGGAGACGTGGCTTCGGAAATGCTCTGAAGTTTGGGTGGCATCTCATGCTTTCAAAGCTAGCATGCTATTGCTAGCCACTCCAAAAATCTGCCAAATCAAGTTGCCAAATCAAAATGCTTGAATGCAAACATGGATAATCATCCAATAGTTCCTGGCCATTGAGCAGAGACAATGAACACAGATTCCAGCCTCTATTCTCAATGTGTCTCATTTTTGTACAGTGCATGCATGTTTCCTGTCACTGTGGGCTGCAGGGCGCAGTAATACACAGCAGAATCAGTTAATGCAGTGCCAGTGATCTCCAGATCCACACGATTCTTCTCCTCATTTAATCTAGCAGATATTCCTGGAATTGGAGGGTCAGCTGATTGCTTAAATTTAGCTTCATTAACCAGAAACAGGAAGTCTGGCCTGGATCTCGGGTATTGACGGTACCAATGAAGGGCATCTGTGGCAGCTGATCCAGTGTAATTGCAGGACAGGGTGATTGTTTTACCTTCTGAGACAAATTCATTAGGAGAGACTGGTGCTATTCCCTCACTAGAAGCGTGCCCTAAGAGAAAGAGAGGAAGTAAGATAGGAATGAGAAGAAGTAAAGTATACTTTGAATTGTTTCCTCTTCTCAGTTATGCTTATTTGATTAATTGCATTTATCTTACCTGTTAAGATTGAGATAAGCCATAGACAAAAAAAGGATATCATTTCTGACGAGGAACAAATGAGCCACTATGTTGAATTGTCTCTGAAACCTCTGCATGCCTGAAGTAATTACCTTGTATGTCCTCCTCTTGCAGTATGTGCCCTTTGAAGATTTTTGGTTGAAGAGCGCCCACTTGTGGATAATTTCATAGTAATCATAGTTTTCTATGGTTCAACTGCAGAACTTCACATTAGCCTATTTGAACTTTCTCATTTTTATGTTTTTAAAGAACCAGAAAATTAGCTGACTCCAGTTAGTACCACATATTACATTGTATTGTAGTGCATACTGCGTGGTGGTTATTGGTTTATTTCAAGCAAGTTTATTTATTGTTCCTGCACTAAAACAATAATCTGTAGAGTCTGTTGTGGAGTATTGAGTTTGATGTGTAATTAAACTCACGATTATGTGGGGTGCAGACTGGATTGGTTCCATTTCTAGGGCTTAAATGGGTTGTTGGGGTGTGGACTGATGGGGTAGTGAACTAGAGGTTACCCTTGAGTCATCCCTAGAGCTCCTCCTGTCCAATTTTAGGGGAAAATCGGGTCTATCGGAGACGTCTAATAGATTTCTTAGGCGTGCCAAAAGAAATAACACCACAGACATAGTGTAATCACCATAAATCTAAAACTAAAATTTAATTAATTTTATAACTGTATCATATATCTCATTTAATTTATAACTGCTTTAATTTTCCTTACTTTTATTTTGTGATTAGTTTAATTCCTTTTTGTAAAGCACTTTGAATTGCCATATGAAATAAATAAACTTGCCTTGCCTTGCAGAAATTATAAAGCAGGGCCATGGAGTTTAATTAGAAGAAGATAGAAATAGTTTGAAAGATTTAATTTCAACACCATTCATTTATTGCATATGGAGTGTGGTTGGAGGTTTTTGTACAGTGTTATCATGTTTTCTGTCACTGTGGGCTTCAGAGCGCAGTAATACACAGCAGAGTCTGTCACTTCAGCAGAGGAGATCTTCAGATCCACTTTCTTTTCTCCCATACTCATGTTTCCATCCATTCTTGGGATTGGGGGATCTGCATATACTACAGTCTTCTTGGATGACTCAACGACAAGGAGCAGAAATTCCAGTCCTGATCCAGGATATTGTCGATACCAAATTACACTCTGTACACCGCCATCACATTTGCATGAAAGAACGACTGTTTCCCCCTCAGTAACTTGTGTTCTGCCCTGCAGCGGTTTTATTGTCTGTGCAAAACATTCATCTGCAAAATACGTGTAGAACATATTCATCAAAAATGATGATAATTGTCAATAGTCATGGAAAATTGGTCAATCACAAAATCAGACATTTGAGATTTACAGGTGCATTATGTAGTTCGAAATATATTTATATTTAATCCAGTCTCGTACATACCCTGTATTACTGTCAGCAGAAGCAGAAGCAGAGAGCACAGGAACATCATGAATGCAAAGTAAAACCCAAATGAATATTGAGGAATGAAATTTCTCTTGAATGTCTCTGAAAGCTCCGCCCACACATCTCATCATCTGAGGGTTCAATATTTAAATGAAATTGGCAGGAGAAATGATTGGCAGAGAAAAAAAAATGCATGATTTTATGGGTGTGATCACACTCTCTTTTTTTATATTCTCTTCTCTTCTTAATTATTTTTAAACAGGTTAATGAAGCATTGTTAATCAAAAAAATGTTCAGTATTAGATATACTAAATATTTTTAGATTTTTTTACAGAAGTGATTGTTTTTCTTTAAAAAAAAAATGAAGTAGGCTACATTTCACGTTATCTCACGTCGTGAAATATAGTGGTTGTATAGCGTTAACGTACATGTCTATTTTAGTTTCAGACACCTGCAGGTGTTACCAAAAACTCACCATGTCCTAATTTTTATGTAACCCAAATTAGGTCTGGTGATTCCTCTGCACTTCAAAGACAGCAGGAATATAGGCAGAGATGGATATCAGTTCAAACTAACTGTGCTAAAAATAAGTTATTCTTGAACAGCAGCAGCAGAGTGACAACCTAAACTTATATAATTAGGAGATCAGCTTTACAACATTTTACTTTGTACAATAAAATCCATCAATAAAACAAAATAAAAGCACAGCAATGCACAAATTCAACTGAATTGACTTAATGGTGGTTAGTGGATATATCTATAGAAACACAAAATTATGTTATATAAAATAATGAGGGTTGTTTTCAGAGTAACATGGAGCACAATGCTGCACACATCTCTGTTCGAAGTTTTCGTACAGTGTAGTTGTGTTTCCTGTGACTGTGGGCTTCAGGGCGCAGTAATACACAGCAGAGTCTGACACTTCAGCAGAGGAGATCTCCAGATCCACACGTTTTGTATTTTTATTAATTCTTGGCGTTAAACGCTCTGGTATGTTTTCACTTTTCAAGCCACTTTCATAGATGTAGAGGAGGAACTTTGGTGTAGATCCGGGATATTCAGTGTACCACTGGAGAGTATCAGGTACTCCGCTGTAGTTACATGTGAGTTTTACGCTTTCACCTTCTAAAACTTGTTTTTGGGAGTCATGATGAGACGTTATCATGTTTGTCAGGATGTTCCCTGTGAGAACCAATGGAATAAATTAAAACAAACAAGATGTAAAATTGCATAGTAAAATAATTTATTTAAATATTTGTTAAAAGCTATTCTAATCAATACAATTATAATTAAAGTAATTAAATCTGAGAAATTAATCAATACTCACCTATATGAAGAACCAAAATGACAAAGACAGCAAGACACATGTTGGTTGATCCTCTTACAAAGAGTGACAATGATGTGATTCCATTCCACAACAGAAAACAAGCCAAGTCAAGTCAACTAATCGGAGAGCTCCACCTCTTGACACAATGATGCATCTACTGGGAGGGAAAACAACAATGATACTAAAATGATACTAATGTTGAGTTCACATTCATCTGAGAGATGCACAGGCTCTTTCTGTTTAAAACTAAATATAAAGATCAATAGGGAGATTTTGAGACTAGAAAATAAACCACACTGTGTATAACTACACAAACTTGCAAAAATGTAACTCATTTGTAAATATAAATCCTGCATTGAGGGTATAGACATTATTTTCATTCATCAGATATTGTGCTCGGCACAATGAAATTAAAATATCTGCTTACAGGTGAATATCATTTTCAGATTTATTACTTAGCATTGCACAAAGAGAGAAATGAACAGCGAAACAAGAGTTTTAGGGGTGTAACAATAAATCGTGTCACAATATATCACAATACAAAAATGCAACAATATGTATCATGGATAGTGACAATATTATGGACAGTTCACCCAAAATAAAAATTACTGTGTGAGAAAAGAAAAAAAAGTACTACATTGTAATGTTTATAATGTTGAATATAATATATGATAACACAATGCGGGAGTTTTTGTGAGTCTTAAAAAAATATGAAATGTCTATATTACCAGTAAAAAGTGGCCTACAATATTTTAAATATATCTAATCAGTGACCGAGTGTAAGCGTATTTGCCAAAATAATTCTGTATTTTCAGCTTCAGAATCATGAATATTTTAATTTTGGTGTCACTAATATCCGGTGCATTGGAATTGCCAGCACCATCTCCAAGCCTATTCATTTACACCCACAATGTAATATACAATTTAGCATTTTAATAAACCGTAAATATTTTGTTTACCTTTTATCATATGTCACTGTGAGTTCAGTGCTGTGATATGTATCGAATCGTGACATGAGGGTATCGTTGCACCCCTATTTTAAAGTCAATCAATTTTGACCTATCTTAAGAAATACACAAACAAATGGTCTTTGGTAATGATTCTCTATACATCATTTTAATCAAATACACTGCTGGCAATTATCACTTCGGTCTGCTTAATTTCACCACTAAATATTGAATAGATTAAATGGTAACACTTTACAATAAGCTCTCATTAGTTAACATTAGTTAATGCATTAACTAACATCAACAAACAAACAAACAGATAAATAAATAAATTAGCAATACATTTGTTAATATTTTTTAATGTTAATTAAATATGACTGTTCATTGTTAGTTCATGTTAGCTCAGGTTCATTAAATAATATTAACAGATTCAACTTTTGATTTTAATAATGTATTGGTAAATTGGTAAATTATGGAAAAAAAAAATTAACTAAGTTAACTAAAGTTAACAAATGGAAACTTATTGTAAAATGTTCCCCATAGTACTAGTGTGATTCAGAACAGATGTGGTAAAAATGTATAGTCAGGATGCAGTGTTTGTATAGTATTAGTATATTTCTCAGTCCTTAAAAACACTTTGTCAAGCCAGATTCAGGTTTTTGTACGGCGCTGACGGGTTTCCTCTCACTGTGGGCTTCAACGCACAGTAGTACACTGCAGAGTCGGATACTTTCACAGAGGAGATCTCCAGGTCCATAGAGATTTTCTTTTCATTTAACTTCACTGACATGCCAGGCTGCATGATTTCAGACTCCCCGCTGTTTTGCAGTATCAGAAGAAGGAAATGTGGACTTGACCTTAGATATTGACGATACCAGTACAAAGAAAGGGCTGAAGAGTAGTTGCAAGACAACGTCACTTTATCCCCACTCTTCCCATAAACCTCAGTTAGGACAGGAGTGATGACATCTTTACAACCGCCACCTGACAAAGAGAGTATTTTGTAAATAGGTTCATTATGGTCTTGTACCGTATTTTACGTGATCTCTGTGAATCTGACCTCTGGAGGATTTATTGTACATGCAGGGATTATAAAGATCTCATAATGAAAAATCTGACAAATTTGTAGTTACAATATGTAAGTAATTAAATATAATCAAATATTGAGCTACTCACCTCCGAATGTAGATAGAAAGCTAAGTAAACAGAGCAACATTGTTCAGGCCGATGCTTTGACTGACAGCTCTGTTTGTAGCTAATCTATTTCAAAACCACATCCTCAGGATGGCCTAGATGGTGTCAAAACACTAAAGCCCCTCCTACTGACCCCAAACACACGTTTTAGGTTTTGAGTTGGGGGTCCACTTTTTAGAGAAAGCCCATCAATTATTAGGAGAACAAACTAACTAATAATAATAATAATAATAAAAAACAACATAAATTATTAGGAGAAATTGAAGGTGAATATTCTGAATTTACTTTATTATTTTTATTTTATACCATTCAAGCAAACAGCATACTAGCTAACTCAACTCAAAGCCCAAACTTATATGGAAAGTGGGGTATCGAGACTAAAATTTTGAAACAATTTTGACTAACAGCAGGAGACAGACACTAAAACGAATGTTTGAGTGACATATGTTTCATACAGTACCTGTAACTTATTTTGGGTTCAAACTCTAATTCTAACAAGGATTGCATTTTCAATAGTGATGATATTTTCAGATAGGCCTACCCAAAAAATGAAAATTATGTCATTAATTAGGCCTACTAACCCTTAAGTCATTCCACATCTGTGAGCTCATCTTCGGAAGACAAATGACGATATTTTTAATGAAATCCAAAAGGTTTCTGTCACTCCATAGAAATCCAACGCAACTACTTTCAAGGTTCAGAAAGGTAAAGAAAGAAAAGACATCATTTAAGTATGTGACTCCAGTGGTCTAACTTCAATTTTATGAAGCGAAGTGAGTGTTTTGTTTGTGCAAAGAATATAATTAACTTTTTTATATTATATTATCACTTTTTTACATTATCCAAAGCATGTTCACTCAACAACGTCAGGTCTTATGTGAACAAACAACGCATGCGTTGATGCTCTCGTGAATGCGCGTTACACTGGCAGATCAATATTTTTGTAAATAAAGTGGAAAATTATGTTTTTTTGCGCAAACAAAGCACTTGCGTCCCTTCATACAATTGAGGTTTAACCACTGGAGTCACGTGGATTACTTTAACAATGTCTGCCTTTCTGGACCTTGAAAGTTGCGTTGGATCTCTATGAAGGGAATGATCTCGGATATCATTAAAAATATCTTCGTTTGTGTTCCAAAGTTGAACGTCGGTCTTACGGATGTGGAACAACACGGGTGAGTAAATAATTTATTAACATAATTAAATAACAGATTTATTTATTTATTTTTGTTGTTGGTAGAACTAATTTAAGATTTAGGTCAATGTAGGCCTATACAGCACTGCTTTTCAGTACATTGTTTTGTTACACGTGCTGCTTCATTAAACCTTTTATTTTGTGGGTTTTGGCTACTGTATCAGTCGCAGGTGTTGGTTACCACATACAGTAATGGTTACGTCTTGGTTTGGCTAATACTTTGATGTTTTTGAGTTCAAAGTATGTGTGTTTTTGTACAGGTTCTCTTAAACTTTGTATCACTGGGTCTTTCCAAAGAGCACAGTAATATAGAGCAGAATCTTTCAGAGCAACAGCTTTGATAATCAGTTGAGTGGATGTTCTGTCTGTATGTGATTCAAAATGAGGATCTGGTATATCACTTTTTTTACCGTCTCTTGATCGCGCACCTTTCCACAGTAAATACTGTGGCTCACTGTTAGGAAACTGTTTATACCAATATAGATCGACATGTTCACTGCTTGTTTCATATGAGCAACTTAATGTCACCGGTTCCATTTCATTTTTAGTAATAACAGCTTCATCTGGTCCAATGCGATCACCAAGAGCAACTGGAAAGGAAATAAAAAATGTTGTTTGAAAGTTTTGTGATAAATTCAGATTTATTAAGCTTTGAAATTATACATTCATTTAAAAAATTCAAATACATTTTCAGGCTATATCAAATACCTGATGTAGCAATGAGAATTAGTACTAGCAATCTCCTCATCCTGAAGTTACTGATCAGCCGTGTGCTTCTGTTTACAATCCCTTGAGGTGTTAGTATGTGGTTGATAGTAGGCTACAATATTTCAACTTTCTACATGCAATGTTGTTGAGTCTTGAAAAGTGTTGCCCTCTTGTGGTATGTGTGCAGACTTTCTCTAAACCTTTTAGCTTTGAGCAGGTTTTTGTATGGTGTTCATGGTGTTTCCTCCAACTGTGGGCTGCAGTGCACAGTAATACATTGCAGAATCCGCCACATCTGCAGGGAAGATTTCTAGATTCACCATCTTGTTTGCTTTATCAACTGAAGCTGTCAGCCGAGGATGAGGAGGTGTAGCGTTCTGTGTTTGTCCCGACTCCATGATTAGAATCAGGAATTCCGGTGAGGTATTGTTGAGGTGTTGTCGATACCACTGTAGATTATTCATCGACACTGTGTACTGGTATTCACAAGAAATAGTCACTTTTTCCTTGTCCTTTGCATGGACAGCAGGAGATGTTGGATTAATTTTGTCTTGTATACTGGCACCTGTGAAGAATGTTGAATTTATCATTTTAAAGCAAATCAGCTCACATTTATTTGTAAAACTCTTTAGATAGTTTCAATGCTTTGCAGAAATAAACAGGAAAATAACAGCATTGCAAAAAAATAAACAAATTTAGCTAAAGCAGCTTTACAGAATGCAACAGTATCACTATTCAGCTCAATTTAATACATTATTGACTTTAATTCAGTTCATTCATGTCAATGTTGCAAAGCCACTAAATTAAGCATTAATTATCATGCTTATTACATAAGCACTGCTAATGTAGAAAGAATGTGTGAATGCATGTAGAATAGAAATCTTACCTATAAATGCCATTAAAACTATCAACAAACAGAAAGACATTGTTTTAAACGATGGTTTCCTCATGGAGCTTTGCAGAACTGCCATAACAGAAACCTTCTGACTACTGAAGCTCCCAGTCAGTGCTTTCAACATCCAATCACACTGCAGTGATGTCACTGGTTGGTGTCACCAGATGCTGACTCTAGTCTAGGGCTGTTACAAACTCTTAAATTGATGTTCTTGTCATCTCCAGTGGCCTAAAGTAAATGTGCGATTCAGTTCATATTAAGTTTGTAAATTTTCAAAATACATATAGTTTCAAAGCAGCTTTACATAAAATGCATGTGTCTACATTACAATTTAGAGGCATCTGTTATCAGAGGTCACTGTGCCCAAGTATATATACAAATCACGCAGTTAGCTAACAATGTGTTAATTTAAGGCAGAAACAATGAGCTCATTTAGTCATTATTACAAGTTGTGAGAATAATGATTACAATATATAGAAATTTAGCACTGGTGATTCAGTTTGTGTCATCTGTAGTCCTCGCAGGAGTTGATGTCTTCTCTTCAGGTGTTGGGTCAATTCATTTAAAACAGGGCATTATTGTAAATTAATGTATGTTTGCAGGTTAAGAACTTTGTATAGGCCAGTTTTTAGGTGCTGTCCATCTAACAAAACAAAACGTCACAAACGATGATAGATTTCAAATTGGCGTTGCGTTACTGGCCTATGACAATTTAGGTTATATTACAACATTGGCACAGAAGACAAAAGTTTCAAACTATGACAAAGTCTATTTTATTTTTATATTTTCCCCAGATAAATTAGTCTAATTATGTTGATCCAGAACATTTTATGACATATTACATGACATATTAATATTTTGTTGATTTCCCATTTTTTTATATATATAGGTCGATACTGTAGATTGTATTATTAAAACATTTTAAGTATAAAATGTGTACTATGTATAATTTTAAAATAAAATTTACTATATTTTATATATAAATACTGTTCACTGTATTTGTTTTTATATATCAGCAGTGTTTTATCACACACTCTTAAAAATTCTTTATTGGTATTGATGGTCTCATTAAGAAACTTAAACAGTCATGTATACTTTCCATTGCACAAAAGGTCCTTTAAAGGGATAAAAATCATTCTTTAAATCCTTTAAATCATTTAGTATATGGCATAGTATTCCTACTATGGAAGTCAATGAGACCAGAAACTGTCTGGTTACTGATATTCTTCTAAATATCAGAAAATCGGCTGAATGCATTGGAAAACAGTAAAACTCAACTGTTTAAATCTGGGGGAGTTGTAAAATGAGCCTATTTAAAAAAAAAAGTATACCTTTAAAGTAAAAAAAAAAAAGTTCAGATTATTAAAAATGTCTTCGCTCAAAGGAAAACATGCTTTTTCAAGACCTGTTCGGTTCTTTGTGGAGCCAAAAATGGTTCTTGAATTGCATTACTGCGAACTGTGCGAAGAAAAACAAAACCTTTAGGAACCTTTATTTTAATATACAGACAATGAGAGTGACAACAAACTGTTGGTGGGCTGCGAAGTTCAGGTTTTTGTTAGAAAACTCAATATCCTGTTTTCACAGTGGGCCTCAAAGCACAGAGGTACACAGAAGAGTCAGACAGATGAAGGTTCCGGACAGTCAGTGTAATTCGTCTTGCTGCAGAATCCAACAGGGACTGAAATCGCTTGTTGGGGAAGTCTTTGAAATTACTTCCATTTCCAAGATTGTGTCTTACTAATATAAATTCTGGAGGTAAATGCTTGGTTTGCCTGTACCACAGCAGAGCAGGCATCGTGTCTGTTGTATTATATTCACACTTCAGGGTTACAGTCTCTCCCATGTAAGCTGAAGTTATCGTTGTTGGCTGACGTACAGTATGTTGTCCTCTGCAATCTGTGGAGAGCACAAACTGTAACATTATTTAACTGCCTCCCACAACACATTCTCAAACAGCATTTTCTAAAAAGAATGAAATGAATAAAAACCTGCTCACCTAGACAGAATATAACAATAAGGATATCCCTCAGCCAAATTCTCATGATTGACCAAAACCAATCTGCTAACAATAGCTAAATGTATACCTGACAAAGGATCTCACAGTCTATTCAGCCTGTGAACTCTCAGGGTTGTGTATAGCCTACTTTCACACAACCGACTTGCATTGTAGATTAAAACTTTGGGTGCTCCCTGCTGGTATAATGTAAAAATGCAGAATCATTCTTATGATCATTTCAGGAACTTCTCTCTAAATCAGACTCAAAGAGAAAGCTTAGAAAGACAAAAAAGTGTAAACATAAGTTAAAACAAATTAATTTCAGAAACCAAGAAATGAAGCAATGTTCACAGTGACAATCTCAGTGACAATTCAGCACTCTGGTCAACTATTTGGCCATATACTGGTTAAATAAATATACTTTTTGGTGCTGAAATATACTTTTTTTGTGTGAATATCTAACTGTTTCTTGCTTTTGTTTTTTGTTCATTCAATGTTTAGTGTTTTCGTGAATACATGCAATAATAAAAGACAGAATAATACTGATATACTTATATTTCCATGTCTAATTTTATAAATAAACACATTTTTGCCACTTAGATTAGATGACAGTGATATTTTACATTTTCACTGTTTGATTTCATAAAACCTCAAAAACATATTCACAAGTTTATCCGGCCAGTGTTGTGCGCCTAATGGACCACTAGATGGCAGATTAATCTTTGATGAACATAATGATTGTCTCTTTTTTCATAATGAAAGTCATTATATTTTCTACTGTACATATTGTATATTATGTGTTATTGAAGGAGGATTACATGGTAGGAGTTCAGGAGATCATGTTTGTTTTTCGTGAAAGGAACTGTTTGTTATGGGTCTATATCTTTTCTACTTTGTTTAGGCAGGTTTTTGTACCGTGTTCTAGTGTTTCCTGTCCCTGTGGGCTCCAGGGCGCAGTAATACAGAGCAGAGTCTGACACTTTAGCAGAGGAGATGATCAGATCCACACGGTTTTTCTTTCCATTTAGTCTCACAGAAAACCGAGAATCCAGATTCTCTGCACTCTGGACCCGTCCAGAGGATTGCAGAATTGATAAAATATATTCAGGAGCTGATTTGGGATACTGGTGGTACCAATGCAAACTAATTGCTGATGAGTAGCTACAGGACAAAGTGACACTGTCACCCTCCTCATGAAAGACCTCAGTTTCATCTGATGTAATGAGACTCTCAAAACTTCCATCTGAAAATGATGATAAAAAAATAACTATAAAAACACATATTGTTCTAATTTGGCTTAAGTCTGGCATAATTTACAGTGTAATTATATTCAAATATGGTATAGACAAACAAATAATGTTGACTAAGCATATTGAGTTATACTCACTCCCAACAGCACAGAGCAGGATAATTGTGATGAGCAGCATTATGCTGAAATGACAAGTCTGTGATGGCACTTGAGCTCTTTAAAGCAGCTTGAAGCTCCTCCCCCTAAGTAAGTGTGAATAATGGGCATGATAACTCTCATGCTGTTAGGTTTTTGTACAGTAATGTATGATTTCCTGTCACTGTGGTCTGCAGCGCGCAGAAATACAGTGCTGAGTCCTGTACTGTGGAAGAAGGGATTTCCAAATCTACACGATTTTTCTCCACGTTCAGTTTTCCTGACAGTCGCTCGTCTGAACTCTGTATAACTTTTCCAGAGCTTTGGAGAATGAGCATGAGGAAATGAGGAGCTGAACTGTGATGCTGTCGATACCAAAGAAGACTGTATGCCGAGGAATACCTACAGGATAGTGTCATGTTCTCGTTCTCATTTGCATGCACTTCTTTGTGTTCTGAGGTAATGGCATCTGCAAGTGTGACATCTTGAAAAAAAAGGAGAAATATGTTGATTTCCAAAGCTCAATTGGCATTTAAAGAAACACATTTTCAGAAATACAGTGACACACACACTAGGTAAAGAAGAAAAAAAATATTTACCTGCAACGGTTAAAATCCAAATGACTATGTACAGCAACATTGTGAGCCCTAAGCAGAGCAAAACAAAGTAACAAGACAAGTGACAAATCTGAAGTCTCCTCTGGAAGCTCCGCCTCCTTCCTTAGTTTGACATTTGTGCAATCTCATGTTTTTTGAAGTATTTCTCTACTTCATTTGTATAAGCCATCCATAGACCTGTAGCGATTATTGGCAGTTATTCAATCTAATAGCAATTATTTGAGATGAATGCAATACTTGTGCAGTTAAATTTTCAATAACATTTTGCCAAAGAATATAAAATACTGTTGGAAAGTACATTAAAGGTACAATATTTAGGATTTTTCGCCACCAGGGGTTGCTAACCTCTTACAATAACAATGAAGTATATCGATGACGCAAAACATTTAGCGAAATTATGGATCTTGTCGTCAAGCAGATGGATCTTTTATGGATGAGTGAATACATTGATGTTTGTAACATGACTGTGGTATGAAGCAGGGTGCGATTGCTAATATAGGCTACCAGTGCCACATGCGAGTCTCACGGATATAAAGGAATAAGGACATTTCATTCTACCGAGTTCAAGTGAGTTATTAATTGATTCATTTAACTCATTCGTCCCTAACTCTGATTCATTCTTGAACAAATGTGTTCCAATGAATCGTTCAAACATTTTTAGCTTGGAGATGCCGCGTTTCTGCTGCGGCTTTTGCGTTTACGGATCAAAAACAAAGTTCTGACAATGTTTCTAAAATGTAAGTTACTCAGTATTTACATTTTGTTAATAATATTCAGAACCATGCTGACAGTATAGCTCACTAAGTAATCATTAATATTACCTGTACCTGATTTTTCATTTCAACATTTCAGCCTACTGTAGGTTAGGCCTATGATGCAACTCTTTGTTAATTTTCAGCAGGTGTTACCATATCCTGCAATTGGGCTCTGTGGCTTATAAAGAAAAAAAAAGTGGTTTGATATTAATTTGATAACTTAATTTTCAAAGCAACTTTTCTGGGTGAGTTTTTGTAAAGCCTCCCAGGCATGTTGTATCATTGGGCTGTTACTCTTAGAGCACAGTAATACAGAGCTGCATCTGACAAAGTTACAGTTGTAATGGTCAGTGAGGTGGATGTCTGGGATGTAGTTGATCCAAATCGACGGTCTGGTATATTCTCATATGTCTCTGATTTTCCGCCTTTCACCAGTACAAATTGTGGCTGTGTGTTAGAAAACTGTCTGTACCAATAAAGGAGAACATAGCTGCTGCTTGAATGGTATGTACACTTCAGTGTCACTGAATCTCCTTCTGTATTGTTTACGCTGGTCCTCTGGTCACTGGGTCCAATCCGATCCTGACAGATAACACCTGGAGGGATATTGAGATTAGTATGTTAACATTAAGATGTTTATAGATATGTAAAGATCTGAATAAGCATGCAACTTATGTAGTGGATCTGTGGATTGTACCTGATACTGTAAGGAGAATCACCAGATATTTTTCTATTTGTTGAGCCATTTGGACTCTTTCCATGATCACATCAGTTAAGTCTTATGTTTCTTGAGAGGTTGAACTTTAAATGTCTTGGGGTGGATGCAAAAGCAGGAAGTACAAAAATGATGTCAGCTGTTTGTCACAAGATTCATCTGCATTCCTCTATTCTATGATGTTCCTATGATTTCCAGCAGGTGGCGTGCTAATATCATAAAAGTACTGTACTTCTGAGAATAATTGGTACTCTTGTAGGCTACATAAAAGCCTATTACTAAAAGTTGTATTAGCTGTTGAGTGATGTATTTGATTAGCGTTCTTGTGATTCAGTTTTTTTGCATGAAAACTATTTAATGATGATAAAACAATTTTATTGATTTTTTGATTGCTTCTAAAACATATATTTAATATATGGACAAGGTTTTATTTTATTTTATTTTATTTATTTGCAGATATTTCATGAAGATATGCAATTTATTGTACTGTACATTCACCAACACGGTGTTGCTGTTGAGAGGGTTTTTGTACAGTGTTCTTGTGTTTCCTGTCACTGTGGGCACCAGGGCACAGTAATACATCGCAGAGTCTATCACTTTAGCAGAGGAGATCTCCAGATGCACATGGGTTTTCTTTTCATTCACTTTTCCAAAGAATCGAGGATCTCGATCCACAATATCTGACTTTTGTGAAACCTTTCCTGTGGATTGTATAATGACCAGAAGAAATTCTGGAGCTGATCCGGGATATTGTCGATACCACTGTAGTGTTGATGCTGAGGAGTAGTTACAGGACAGAGTAACATTTTCTCCTTCTGTCTCATAAACTTCAGTCTGTACTGGTGTGATATTTGCAAAACTGCCACCTTCAAAATCAAGAATCAAAATATAATGTACATAAAACCAAGCAACAAATTCATTAACTAGCCTACAAGAAAAGTAATAGAAGAGACAAACAAATATTCTGTTTGCAATGGAATACTTACTTATAAGAGAACAAATCAGACCAGTTAAGAAGAGCAACATGTTGATAAGCATGATGAAGTTGTAGTTATGTTGTTCAGCTAAACTTTGCATTCTTTGCTATTCCTTGTCAAACAGAAGATGTCTCAAGCAAGCTCCTCCCCTTAAAGCTGGCATTAAAAACAGATTGAGCGAAAGTATAGAGTGGAGTCAACATGAAAACAGGTCAGAAGTTTTGTTGTGCTGATCAGAATGGTTCTTTGAAGAAAAACACAAGTTAAAACTTATGACACTCACTCCTTAAGAGACTCTTTAATGTCCAGTTGTCTGAGTGTTGTGTGACCTTGTTTGGAGATTGTGTACTGCGTAGTTTGTTTTCCTATCTCTGTGGGCTTTATGGCACAGTAGTGCATCGCTAAATGAGATCTTCAGATCCACATGAGTTTTTTTCATTTTTTTTTTCAGTTTTGCTGGAAATTGAGGATGTACTACTAACAAATTCTGATGTTTGATTAACTTTCCCAGTAGCATATAATAGAATAATATATATATATATATATATATATATATATATATATATATATATATATATTGGAGCTTGTCAGGGATAATGGCAATACCACTATAGAGTGAAGAGTGGTTACAAGACCAGACCTCTAGACAGAACATCTCATTTTTGATTGGAGTGATAATAACATTCCCAAAAGCGTCTACTGCAAGAGTCAAAATTCATTCAACATCATGCAATCATTTATAGAAAAATCATAACACTTAGGATGTTATGTTGTAATGACAGTAATTCAGTATACTGTATTTAATCCATAAAATATACACACAAAGCAAATGAAAATGTGCAAGCAGACAATCATTTTGCTCAAACTGCTGTTCGTATAATCATTCATTCCTTGTCGAGTAATTAAAGGAAATGGTCTCAAATTAACTCCTCCCCTTAAAGCTGCAGTCCATACAGCTTTGAATCTATAATCATAATAATAATCAAATAGCATTTGATAGATGTGTCAGATATGAGCATATAGGTCAGGAGTTTTACTGTAGTACCACTAGTCTGTGTTTGCTGCAGAAGGTAACATGGAAAATGTCTTGTTGTCTATTTTGGTCTCTTTATTTTAGTCAGTGTATATCTACTGATGATGATAGCATTAAAAACTGAAATACAGTTTAATTGTAATATATCTATATTTATGCTTAATATTTATACTTTTTAGTTTTATTGGGATTTTAGCAAGAAAAATGTATTTGTGAAAACTTTCTTTTGCGGAAAGGATTACAATGGAATGACAAAAAACATGAATTAAATTCATCCTTTATAGTTTCCTCCTAGCACACAAGTTCTTCTCCCAACAGGTGTCACAATATTGTCTTGTGGTTTACACAAGATACAGTTGTGGTTTAATTCTTATTTGAATCAAGGCAAAAAACTGCATGTGAGTTTTTGTAAAGCCTCTCTGGCATTTTGTATCACTGGGATACTAATACTCTTAGAGCACAGTAATAGAGAGCTGAATCTGACAGAGTTACACTTCTAATAGTGAGTTCAGTGGATGAATCTGATGTAGTCGACTGAAACCGTTGACGGTCTGGTATATCCTCTCTATCGCTCCTTGACTGGGCACCTTTCCACAGTAAAAATTCAGGTTTTCTATTAGGATACTGACTATACCAGTAGAGATAGACGTAAGTGCTGCTTGCATCATACGAGCAGCTCAGTGTCACAGACTCTCCTTCATTTTTGTTTATAGTTTCCTTGTCTTTTGGTCCAATGCTGTCAGACAAAAACCCTGCAAGAAAATTAGACAGATTTCATGACAGGTCAGAAGGCTTGTATACTTATCCAAACATTAACATGAATTAAAATTACAATACCAAAAATGGTTTCTTGAACAAAATATATAGAATATATATTTTTTTAAATGTACATACCTGGCACAGACATAAGAATCATCAAAAAACATCTCTCCATGTTGAGAAGATGTACTAACTTGCTTTATAAACTGAAGCTTAAAGCTAAATAGTAAATGTGTGATTGTAGTAGTGTATTGTGAAGCTTTCATGTGGGTGTGGTTTATTTAGACCTCCTTCTCCTGTCCCCCTGTCTTTCCCTCAGTGTATGAATGGCTCAAAAACTAACAATGGTTTTTGTTGACTACTGTACATATTTATTTTTCTCCACTAATTCAGTTTAATCAAGTGTGACTTACAGTATGTTCATTATCTTAATAGGGATCATTCAAAGCTAAACAAAATAAAGGCTATTTAGTGAGTTAGAATGTTTAGTTAGAATATTTATTATTAGTGGGGTCTGTGCTTGTATTATTGCAGGCTAGTGTCACATTTTGTTATAGTGTGTTGATTGATATCTTATAAATTATTGGTCAAGTGCAATGAGTGAGGCAAAACTAAATCTTTAGGCATATACCCATAAATCTGTCCCATAATGATTCTTTTCAGTAAATTTCACAATCGTATGTGAAACATGTTTATATTTTACCCAAGTAATTATATTTTGCATCGAGGACATGAAGCTTGCTTAGACATTTTGGCATTATTTTCATGACAGTTAAGCTCAGTTTCATCAAATTCAAGATGTATTCAGAGGGCAAAGGGACTGTTTTCTTTTGTTCCTTGCACATGTGAATTCATTACAGAGACAGTTGGGCATCCTCTATGAAATGTTTTAAAGTACACAGCACCCCCCAGAGGTGATGTAACAAATATTTATTCAGTCTTTGACAACGTCCACAAATTTTCAACACTAAGTCTTGACAATTTGTGAATCTGAAAAAGATGATGGATGATGAATGTGATTTATTTATTTTATATATTTGACATGATGACGCATCTGAGAATCTAGTTTGTTATTCCATCAATGTTCATTGAAATGCTCAAATAAAATAATTTGAATCTATCGATGCATGTACATAAATTTACAGAAATACTAACCAGAAAGAAAATGTAAATATTTATATATGATATTGAATGTAACCTCAGAATCACACTAAGACTATCATAATCAGGTTTTTGTATGGTGTGTGGAGTGTTTCCTGTGACTGTGGGCCTCAGAGCACAGTAATACACAGCAGAGTCTGTCACTTTAGCAGAGGAGATCTCCAGATCCACACTACTGGCTTCTTTTCTGTGGCTAATGGATATTCCAGAAACTGGAGGATCAGCTTGAGTCTTTGTTCCATAGTAGTCCAGTATGAGGAATTGTGGTGGTGAACCTGGATATTGTCGATACCAGTGAAGACTGTCAACAGAACCAGTGTAGTTACAAGAAAGTTTCACACTCTCAGTCTCAGTGGCAAATGTTGCATCACTGTATGGAGTGATGGCATCTTTAGCTCTGTTACCTGCAACAAAACCCCATTTCAGCATGTTTAAAATGACATATTGTGATATAATGATACATGTTATATTTTACCTTGAGGTAAAGTCAGCAATACAAGTACAAAAGTGAACATGATGAACAGGTTCCTGCTTCCCTCCGTGATCTGTGATGATTACTCAACTACTCTGTGTTTTACAGGTCTGTGTTAAGCTCCGCCTTCTGCCATAACCCTCTTATAAAGCACAGAAATTAACATATATTGTAAAGAAAATACATAAATTATCTTGCACTTGTTATTTTCTTAAGTTGATCTGTTGATGTAATTTCTCAAGTGTTTAATTGAACTGATATGATGTGTTTTAGGCTGTTTTCTACAGTTTTTACACAGTAATATTCAGTTTCAGTTCCAGAGCACAGTATATCGCAGAGTCTGTCACTTTAGCAGAGGAGATCTCCAGATACACATGGGTTTTCTTTTCATTCACTTTTCCAGAAAATCGAGATTCTAGATCTACAATTTTAGACATTTGTGAAACTTTTCATGTCCCATGTAATATTATTAAAAGAAATTCAGGAGCTGTCAAAGGAGCAGTTTATCATTTATGAAACACCAGCAAGAACACTAACAGTCGCTTTTTTTAATATCAATAATAACCCAGTGAAACCATTATTCTTTTATCTCAGTTAAATTTGGACAGGAACATTACCATATCCTGCGATTCACAGAGCCTTTTTGGCAAATGAAAAGAACAACTGTGCTTTTATTTGTATATTATTAGACTGTTCAACTTTAAAAAATAATTGTGTGATTTCATGTACGTTTTTGTAAAACCTCTCAGGTACTTTGTATTTTGGGGCACTACATGAAATGTGCAGTAATAAATAGTAATGTAATGCTAAGTCACATTTGTCAAGCTGATTATATTTTACAAATTATAATTAAGGAGGTGAATATGTATTATGTTTCTTTTATTTTGATCTCTTCTCATTTGCATCTAATTTGCCTTTATAACTTGAACTAAACGTGTTCCATAACCACACACAGGTGTCTTCAAAAGTAATTATATTGTGTGAGTTATAGATTGTGGGTTTGATGTGGCTTAAGATCAAATGAAAAACGATTTTCAGTTTTTGTACAGCTTCACACAGACTTTGTATCACTGGGCTGCAGAGCACAGTAATAGAGAGCTGAATCTGACAGAGTTACACTGTTAATAGTGAGTTCAGTGGATGTCTGGGATGTAGTCGACTGAAAGTGAGGATCTGGTATATTCTCCTCACGGCTCCATGATCGAGCACCTTTATTCAGTAAATACTGAGGTTCTGTATTTGGATACTGTCTGAACCAGAAAAGCATAACATAACTGCTGCTTGTATCATATGAGCAGCTCAGTGTCACAGACTCTCCTTCTCTTTTGGTCATTTCATTGTGTTTTGGTTCAATGCTGTCAGCAAATATACCTGCAAGAGAATTAATAATATTGAACTACCCCCTGTCCTTTCTGTTGTTACAGTAACAGTGCTATAAATGAACAGCATTAAATTGAACAATAATGTCAACATTATCAATTAAAAAATGTGCATAATTACCACTTTTAATCCTCAATATATTTTAGTCTAGTGCTGATATGAAGTGCACTTTACCTGGTACTGTTAGAATCAGTAGGATGCATCTCTCCATCATGAGTATATGTTTTATGATTTCAGATTGAAAGGTAAATGTATGAATGTAACGTAGAGTCATTTGTGCAGCAATATTACAGTATGTGTAAATGTGGGTGTGGTTTGTAGCCTGACTTCGTCATACTCATATTCAAGAGAGAATATGAGTCTGAAACTCCTCCGTTGGGATTTGATTATGAGGCGTGTCGTAACCGAACCAGGGGAAAAAAAACCCTCTGCACTCAATTGGATAGTCAGTAGACCTACAACCAATCAGAGCAACGCAGTAAGTCAACTCCTTTGCATAGCGCAGTTTTCAAATACAGAGCGTAGCCTAACTTTATTTATTTTAGAAGTTAAATAACGAGTGTTGCTTCTTTTACTTACTTCTCCATGAGTGCCACCAAAGGAGAAACCACAACAACCACAGGCTTTTCATTACGTCCCATCTTCTTAACAACTGTCAGAGCCAGCTGATAAGTTACACTTTTCCCGAATCATGTAGGAAGGACGCCAAAAATATCTTTCCGATCGACAAATGCCTTGATTGCAGTTCTCTTAAAATGAATGCGCTGTCGATTTATTTTACAAAAGACGCGACAGCGGAATCTATACATCTCAATTCTCCAGCTGCAGTCATCTTTGACAAGCGCTCTTTGATAACGTGATGATAGACCTTTTTCACAAAAACCGGAAATACGTAATCGTTGTGGAAACGGAGTTCCCGTCAACTGTTAACACATCAGAAAAACCTACTCTGGGAGGAGAAAATTGATCAGAGAGTCTTCAAAACTTCGAAAAAATTTAAACTTGTCATGGTCCAGTTGTTGATGACTTTGTAAAATGATGTGGTGATGCTTGTCTGCAGCTGATTTATCTAAGACCAAAGATATGATATTGATTTTAGAACTGAAGCTCATTCTTCCCAATATACGTTAATTAAAGGTAAGAAGGTGGAGTGTGTGGAAAGTTATTCATATTTAGGGAGTATTAGGCCTATTTACAATAAACTACATTTTGATGTGAATACCAGAAAGAAGTCTGTCAGTTTTATTCTCAGTTATCCTGAATTTTTTGCACTGCTGTTGCTATAGAACGATCAAAGAAGAAGAAAAATTATACAAATATTAATTTATTCCTTGTACACTCAGATTGTTAAATACTCAGAATGGTATTAATATTTTAAATTTATATGTAGCCCACTGTTGTGTGTTATTTATCTTGTTTTATATTGTGGTGTATATTTTATGTGCTTATTCCGCTGGATACAAATATCTTAATAAAGTTGAACATGAACTAACGTTACTTCAAAAATACGCAAATCATAAAACATAAAAAATAAACAAACAATGACGGCTTATTAGTGAATGGTGACATGAGAAGTACAGAAGATCACAGGATCAATAACATCCCGCCAGATTGCCTGAATCCATTTCCGTCGAACTTCATCGACAGGGAACTGACGGGAAGGAATGAAAACGACAGGTATGGCTGCTTTTGGGAATAACAAAAAAGATCGGTACGCAACAACTCTCACTAGTTGCCTTCGGCGCTATCTGTTATGAATGGAGCGGAAGAAGATTACCACGACAATTGCGTATTTCCGGTCACAAATACGGAAGTTGTGAGAAAGGTCTATTACGTTCCTGCAGATCATCTGTCCATCATCGTATAAAGCCCGCCCTGGCAATTTGATTGGTCCGATCATTTTTTGACTGGTCATAATTACTCCTCAATGGATCGAGTCCAGACTGAACTTCCCGACCAAAAAATGTTGTGGGCGGAGTTTGGGCTGGCATCCAGGCTATGTGGTTTGGGTTTCTGATATTTAAACCACCTTCTGTCTTGCCATATTAAAACTGATATTTTTGATCTATTGAACTTGCTCAGAGTTAGCTCAGAGTTAATGTCTTTTTGTGTGTTTGATAGCTTTGATTGTTTTGTCATTAATATTCTGTGTGTAAAAATAAAGGTAAAAAAAAAACCATAAGCATTTTGAAAGGAAATAGTTATTCTCAGTTGCATCTATCTTTTAGTTTGATCCAGCTTCACCCTCTAGTGGCAGATGACACACATTTACATTATGCATTCATAATGGAGATACAAAATTGATAAATTGCTTCAACTAAATAGTGGACAGGAATTTATGATAACTTTTGTTGTCACAAAACAGAAATGTTTTCCCAGGTTTGCGCTATATTGCCTTTCATGGGAAAACAATTCATTTCAAGAAGACAGAGTAAAAAAAAAACATGACAGTTTGTTTCAGAATAAAGTGTGACTACTGACTAACTATTTTAAATTCATCTTGTCTAATCATTTCAATTTTAAATTCATAAACATCACCAATGGGTTTAATCAACATTGTACATCTGTATTTTTTAATACAAAGCTCACAGTAAATTATTAATCAAATAGTTATTCAATAGCTCAATTATATTGTCAAGATGGCTAGACATCATTGCAAATTTGTGCTTTTTGTATAGGTGTGTGGAGTGTTTCCTGTGACTGTGGGCTGCAGAGCACAGTAATACAGAGCAGAGTCAGTCACTTTAGCAGAGGAGATCTCCAGATCCACACTACTGGCTTCTTTTCTGTGGCTAATGGATATTCCAGAAACTGGAGGATCAGCTTGAGTCTTTGTTCCATAGTAGTCCAGTATGAGGAATTGTGGTGGTGAACCTGGATATTGTCGATACCACTGAAGACTGTCAACAGAACCAGTGTAGTTACAAGAAAGTTTCACACTCTCAGTCTCAGTGGCAAATGTTGCATCACTGTATGGAGTGATGGCATCTTTAGCTCTGTTACCTGCAACAAAACCCCATTTCAGCATGTTTAAAATGACATATTGTGATATAATGATACGTGTTAGATTTTACCTTGAGTTAAAGTCAGCAATACAAGTACAAAAGTGAACATGATGAACAGGTTCCTGCTTCCCTCCGTGATCTGTGATGATTACTCAACTACTCTGTGTTTTACAGGCCTGTGTTAAGCTCCGCCTTCTGCCATAACCCTCTTATAAAGCACAGAAATTAACATATATTGTAAAGGAAATACATAAATTATATTGCACTTGTTATTTTCTCAAGTTGATCTGTTGATGTAATTTCTCAAGTGTTTAATTGAACTGATATGATGTGTTTTAGGCTGTTTTCTACAGTTTTTACACAGTAATATTCAGTTTCAGTTCCAGAGCACAGTAGTATATCGCAGAGTCTGTCACTTTTGCAGAGGAGATCTCCAGATACACATGGGTTTTCTTTTCATTCACTTTTCCAGAAAATCGAGGTTCTAGATCTACAATTTTAGACATTTGTGAAACTTTTCCTGTCCCATGTGATATTATTAAAAGAAATTCAGGAGCTGAACCATGATATTGTCGATACCACTGTAGACTAACTGCAGAGGAGTAGCTACAGGACAGAGTTATATTGGCCCTCTCTGTGCCAGACATCTTAGTTTGGACTGGTGTGATGACATTACCAAAACTCACACCTGCAGGAAGATAGTTAAAAAAATAATAATTAGCATGTGTCATGCCACAACAAAACAGCAAACAAGAAATATGATAAAAGCCTGACACTTTGGAATAGACTTGCATGTTAGAGAACAAACCAAAACCAAAACTAAACGCATTATGTATGATGTTTTAGTTCAGTTCATCTTCAGGACAGTGTTACTAAAGTGAATATTCATTCATTGTCTTGCAGAGGATGTCTTCAGCTAGCACCTCCTCTTAAAGCTACAGTCTTCATATTCAAATAATCTGCTGCAAGAGTGATATTTTATTATTGTTCTTTAAGTTTAATCAGTGAAACATGTTTAAATTGCTTATACATTGACACAGTCACTTTTTTATATATCAATAATAACCCATTGAAACCATTGTTCTTTTATCTCAGTTAAATTTGGACAGGAACATTACCATATCCTGCTATTCACAGAGCCTTTGTGGCAAATGAAAAGAACGGCTGTGGTTTTATTTGTATATTATTAGACTGTTCAACTTTAAAACAATAATTGTGTGATTTCATGTACATTTTTGTAAAGCCTCTCAGGCACTTTGTATTTTGGGGCACTACATGAAATTTGCAGTAATAAATAGTTATGTAATGCTAAGTCACATTTGTCAAGCTGATTATATTTTACAAATTATAATTAAGGAGGTGAATATGTATTATGTTTCTTTTATTTTGATCTCTTCTCATTTGCATCTAATTTGCCTTTATAACTTGAACTAAACGTGTTTCCATAACCACACACAGGTGTCTTCAAAAGTAATTATATTGTGTGAGTTATAGATTGTGGGTTTGATGTGGCTTAAGATCAAATGAAAAACGATTTTCAGTTTTTGTACAGCTTCACACAGACTTTGTATCACTGGGCTGTTACTCTTAGAGCACAGTAATAGAGAGCTGAATCTGACAGAGTTACACTGTTAATAATGAGTTCAGTGGATGTTTGGGATGTAGTCGACTGAAAGTGAGGATCTGGTATATTCTCCTCACGGCTCCATGATCGAGCACCTTTATACAGTAAATACTGAGGTTCTGTATTTGGATACTGTCTGTACCAGTAAAGATAGATATAACTGCTTCTTGTATCATATGAGCAGCTCAGTGTCACAGACTCTCCTTCTCTTTTGGTCATTTCATTGTGTTTTGGTTCAATGCTGTCAGCAAATATACCTGCAAGAGAATTAATAATATTGAACTATCCCCTGTCCTTTCTGTTGTTACAGTAACAGTGCTATAAATGAACAACATTAAATTGAACAATGATGTCAGCATTATCTTTTAAATAATGCACATAATTAACACATTGAATCCTCAATATATTTTAGTCTAGTGCTGATATATGAAGTGCACTTTACCTGGTACTGTTAGAATCAGTAGGATGCATCTCTCCATCATGAGTATATGTTTTATGATTTCAGATTGAAAGGTAAATGTATAACGTAAAGTCATTTGTGCAGCTATATGTGTAAATGTGGGTGTGGTTTGGGTTTCTGATAGGCTATTTAAACCACCTTCTGTCTTGCCATATTAAAACTGATATTTTTGATCTATTGAACTTGATCTATTAGCTCAGAGTTAATGTCTTGTTGTGTGTTTGATAGCTTTGATTGTTTTGTCATTAATATTCTGTGTGTAAAAATAAAGGTAAAAAAAACCATAAGCATTTTGAAAGGAAAAAGTAATTCTCAGTTGCATCTATCTTTTTGTTTGATCCAGCTTCACCCTCTAGTGGCAGATGACACACATTTACATTATGCATTCATAATGGAGATAAAAAAAATTGATAAATTGCTTCAACTAAATAGTGGACAGGAATTTATGATAACTTTTGTTGTCACAAAACAGAAATGTTTTCCCAGGTTTGCGCTATATTGCCTTTCATGGGAAAACAATTCATTTCAAGAAGACAGTGAAAGAAAAGCATGACCGTTTGTTTCAGAATAAAGTGTGACTACTGACTAACTATTTTAAATTCATCTTGTCTAATCATTTCAATTTAAAATTCATAAACATCACCAATGGGTTTAATCAACATTGTACATCTGTATTTTTTAATAAAAAGCTCACAGTAAATTACTAATCAAATAGTTATTCAAAAGCTCAATTATATATTGTCAAGATGGCTACATCATTGCAAATTTGTGCTGTAAGTTTTTCAGGTTTTTGTATGGTGTGTGGAGTGTTTCCTGTGACTGTGGGCCTCAGAGCACAGTAATACACAGCAGAGTCTGTCACTTTAGCAGAGGAGATCTCCAGATCCACACTACTGGCTTCTTTTCTGTGGCTAATGGATATTCCAGAAACTGGAGGATCAGCTTGAGTCTTTGTTCCATAGTAGTCCAGTATGAGGAACTGTGGTGGTGAACCTGGATATTGTCGATACCAGTGAAGACTCTCAACAGAACCAGTGTAGTTACAAGAAAGTTTTACACTCTCAGTCTCAGTAGCAAATGCTGCATCACTGTATGGAGTGATGGCATCTTTAGCTCTGCTACCTGCAACAAAACCCCATTTCAGCATGTTTAAAATGACATATTGTGATATAATGATACGTGTTAGATTTTACCTTGAGTTAAAGTCAGCAATACAAGTACAAAAGTGAACATGATGAACAGGTTCCTGCTTCCCTCCGTGATCTGTGATGATTACTGAACTAGTCTGTGTTTTACAGGCCTGTGTTAAGCTCCGCCTTCTGTCATAACTCTCTTATAAAGCACAGAAATTAACATATATTGTAAAGAAAATACATAAATTATCTTGCACTTGTTATTTTCTCAAGTTGATCTGATGTAATTTCTCAAGTGTTTAATTGAACTGCTATGATGTGTTTTAGGCTGTTTTCTACAGTTTTTACACAGTAATATTCAGTTTCAGTTCCAGAGCACAGTATATCGCAGAGTCTGTCACTTTTGCAGAGGAGATCTCCAGATACACATGGGTTTTCTTTTCATTCACTTTTCCAGAAAATCGAGATTCTAGATCTACAATTTTAGACATTTGTTTTTTTTTTGTAATTCAACTTTTTTTTTATTGTTCAACAGTCAAAACATCATAGTACATCACATTATTCAGTAATCACCTTTACAATTACACATTCCGCCACTAGTCCCCATCAGTGGCATACAACCAAAACAAAACCACATGAAAATTAAACAGTTATTGAGCAGTCCCATTTACACCATTTTTATATGCTGCCAAAAATGGTCCCACGTTTTTTTAATTTCTCCCTCATTATGCAGTCTCCCCAACATGCTCTCATATGAAGCAATTTCAATCATCCCATCAACCCAGTCTTTAAGGTCTGGGGTTTTGGGGCATTTCCAATTTCGCAAAATCATCCTGGCAGCTGTAATACAGCCAATCTTAATAAGGGTAAATTTATTTTTTTCTATGTTGGGTATAATTGATTTATCTCCAAGAAGGCATAATCGTGGTTCCACAGGTAAATTGGACCCCATCCACTCTTCAAGTATTGCCAGAATTTTACACCAGAATGGGTAAACTAAAGAACATTCCCAAATCATATGTAAATAAGTACCCTCTTCTTCATTGCATTTCCAACATAGATTATTTCCAGCTATCCCCATCCTGTAAAGCCTAGATGGTGTATAATAATATCTATGTATTATTTTGTATTGAATGAATTTCCCCCTAACTTCCCTTATATTCTTACCCACATTAGATATTATGTACCGCCAGTCATCATCATTGATATTAATGCCCAAATCCTTCTGCCATATTGTTTTCAGGTTGTTACAGGTATCTGCAGTTACACTGAGCATTGATTTGTAACACATAGAAGCACTCTGAGCTACACGTGGCAACTCAAGATAGGCATAAACAGGGTTATTACTTGCATTAAATTTGTTCTTAACACAATGTCTAATCTGCAGATACTTCCAAAAGTTTCCTTGACCTCCAATATTGTATTTTTTCACCAATTCAGAATATGACATAAAAAGTCCGTTCTCATACAAATCGCCAATTACATTTACCCCTTTAAGCTGCCATTGTTTCCAAAACACCCCCACTTTACCTATACGAATTTCAGGGTTATTCCACAATGATGCATATGATTGTTTATAATGTGAAGTCCTGCACCCTTTATGAATTTTGCCCCAAACATGTCTTGAATGTATAATTTTAGACATTTGTGAAACTTTTCTTGTCCCATGTAATATTATTAAAAGAAATTCAGGAGCTGTCAAAGGAGCCGTTTATCATTTATGAAACACCAGCAAGAACACTAACAGTCGCTTTTTTTAATATCAATAATAACCCAACCCAGTGAAACCATTATTCTTTTATCTCAGTTAAATTTGGACAGGAACATTACCATATCCTGCGATTCACAGAGCCTTTTTGGCAAATGAAAAGAACAACTGTGCTTTTATTTGTATATTATTAGACTGTTCAACTTTAAAACAATAATTGTGTGATTTCATGTACGTTTTTGTAAAGCCTCTCAGGCACTTTGTATTTTGGGGCACTACATGAAATGTGCAGTAATAAATAGTAATGTAATGCTAAGTCACATTTGTCAAGCTGATTATATTTTACAGATTATAATTAAGGAGGTGAATATGTATTATGTTCCTTTTATTTTGATCTCTTCTCATCTATTTGCCTTTATAACTTGAACTAAACGTGTTTCCATAACCACACACAGGTGTCTTCAAAAGTAATTATATTGTGTGAGTTATAGATTGTGGGTTTGATGTGGCTTAAGATCAAATGAAAAACGATTTTCGGTTTTTGTACAGCTTCACATAGACTTTGTATCACTGGGCTTCAACTCTTAGAGCACAGTAATAGAGGGCTGAATCTGACAGAGTTACACTGTTAATAATGAGTTCAGTGGATGTTTGGGATGTAGTCGACTGAAAGTGAGGATCTGGTATATTCTCAATATGGCTCCATGATTGAGCACCTTTATGCAGTAAATACTGAGGTTCTTTGTTTGGATACTGTCTGTACCAGCAAAGATAGACGTAAGTGCTTCTTGTATCATATGAGCAGCTCAGTGTCACAGACTCTCCTTCTCTTTTGGTCATTTCATTGTGTTTTGGTTCAATGCTGCCAGCAAATATACCTGCAAGAGAATTAATAATATCTATCCCCTGTCCTTTCTGTTGTTACAGTAACAGTGCTATAAATTAACAACTATCAAATCAAATTGAACAATGATGTCAGCATTATCTATTATATAATGAGCAACTAACACTTTGAATCCTCAATATATATTTAGTTTAGCTCATATATGAAGTGCACTTTACCTGGTACTGTTAGAATCAGTAGGATGCATCTCTCCATCATGAGTATATGTTTTATGATTTCAGATTGAAAGGTAAATGTATAACGTAAAGTCATTTGTGCAGCAATATTATGTGTAAATGTGGGTGTGGTTTGGGTTTCTGATAGGCTATTTAAACCACCTTCTGTCTTGCCATATTAAAACTGATATTTTTGATCTATTGAACTTGATCTATTAGCTCAGAGTTAATGTCTTGTTGTGTGATAGCTTTGATTGTTTTGTCATTAATATTCTGTGTGTAAAAATAAAGGTAAAAAAACCATAAGCATTTTGAAAGGAAATAGTTATTCTCAGTTGCATCTATCTTTTAGTTTGATCCAGCTTCACCCTCTAGTGGCAGATGACACACATTTACATTATGCATTCATAATGGAGATAAAAAATTGATAAATTGCTTCAACTAAATAGTGGACAGGAATTTATGATAACTTTTGTTGTCACAAAACAGAAATGTTTTCCCAGGTTTACGCTATATTGCCTTTCATGGGAAAACAATTCATTTCAAGAAGACAGTGAAAGAAAAGCATGGCAGTTTGTTTCAGAATAAAGTGCGACTACTGACAAACTATTTTAAATTCATCTTGTCTAATCATTTCAATTTAAAATTCATAAACATCACCAATGGGTTTAATCAACATTGTACATCTGTATTTTTAATACAAAGCTCACAGTAAATTACTAATCAAATAGTTATTCAAAAGCTCAATTATATATTGTCAAGATGGCTAGACATCATTGCAAATTTGTGCTGTAAGTTTTTCAGGTTTTTGTATGATGTGTGGAGTGTTTCCTGTGACTGTGGGCCTCAGAGCACAGTAATACACAGCAGAGTCTGTCACTTTAGCAGAGGAGATCTCCAGATCCACACTACTGGCTTCTTTTCTGTGGCTAATGGATATTCCAGAAACTGGAGGATCAGCTTGAGTCTTTGTTCCATAGTAGTCCAGTATGAGGAACTGTGGTGGTGAACCTGGATATTGTCGATACCAGTGAAGACTCTCAACAGAACCAGTGTAGTTACAAGAAAGTTTCACACTCTCAGTCTCAGTGGCAAATGCTGCATCACTGTATGGAGTGATGGCATCTTTAGCTCTGTTACCTGCAACAAAACCCCATTTCAGCATGTTTAAAATGACATATTGTGATATAATGATACATGTTATATTTTACCTTGAGTTAAAGTCAGCAATATAAGTACACAAGTGAACATGATGAACAGGTTCCTGCTTCCCTCCGTGCTCTATGATGTGATCACTGAGTCTGTGTTTTACAGGCCTGTGTTAAGCTCCACCTCTTGACATATAATTACCAACGCATTCTCACCCCAAGGCGTCACCTTTGACCATGCTTCAATATTTGACGTTTTAGGCGCCCTTTAGCGTCACTTGCATGACGCGATCCTACGGCGTCATCTAACTGACGCTAAAGGAAAGCGTCAGTTAGAGGACGCGGTTAGGTTTAGGTGTGGGGTGGGGGTAGGGTACACGCGATCCTAGGGCGTCATCTAACTGACGCTAAAGGGCGCCTAAAGCGTCAGATATTGAAGCATGTCCAAATGCTTCCCAAGGCGTCAGTTAAGTGACGCCTTGGGGGTGAGAATGGGCTGTAATTACATGTTAAATCCCCAAAACACTTGAGGAATGGAGAAATTAACCAAAATCTCAATGCAAGTGTTGCTGATTTTGTGTTTAATATATTCTTTCTGTTTTTTTTTCTTCTTGCAGTTGCACCAGAACAAATCTTCAACATAAATTGGCATATTTATTTTAATTAGATGACCAAAGGTTATTGATGAATCAATATGCTATACCTCCAAAAGTCCATACAGTTCTATCTTAAACATTTGATTTCTTAAAAAAGCAAAATTCACCAGCTGGGAATCAATCTGACGTGAAATGAGTGAATCGCTAATGGCTTTTATTTTACTAGCCCACCAGATGGCAATCTAATCTCACTGAAGAAAGTCCTCTGCTACCAATTCTCACTTATTTTTTTTCTTAATTAGGCCAATGGTTCATATGGTTAACATATTTCCCCCCCCAATATTTCTGCCGGTTGGCTGTGATGCATTGACAGTGGTTTACTCTCTATAGGGAGGGTTTTTGTACAGTGTAGTTTGTTTTCCTGTCACTGTGGGCTCCAGGGCACAGTAGTACATCGCAGAGTCTGACACTTTAGCAGAGGAGATCTCCAGATACACATGGGATTTCTCCTCATTCAGTTTTCCAGAGAATCGAGTATCCAGATCAACAGACTTCTGTAAAACTTTCCCAGTAGCATGTAGAACGACGAAAAGAAATTCGGGAGCTGATCTTGGATATTGGCGATACCAATATAGACTCACTGCAGAGGAGTAGTTGCACGACAGAGATATCATTTCATTTTCTGTTCTATATACTTTAGTTTGAACAGGCATGATGGCATTCCCAAAAATATCACCTGCAGAAAGAAAAAAAAAAGGGCTTGTTAAAAAAAAATTAACCTGTTAATCTTAAAAGTGAAGAAAGGACAAACAAGCAATAAAGAAAAATCCTGACAAACTAGAACTGAATACATACTTGCAAAGGAGAGCACAATAAAAACAAAGAGTGTCATTTTTCTGGACGATGTACTGTAAGTTAATCTGAAACACCTGCTACTGAAGAAAGCATTTCATCTTTCATTTTTTTCCATCTCTAGTTAGTCCCTCCCCTTAAAGTTGTAGCTCACAAACTGCAAAATATGGGAAGCCAAAGCCAACTGTTTTTTTTTCTTATTTTAAACTCTCTGAGAAATGCACTTGCGTAGTTGTACAGTAGATGCCACTAAAGAAATACTTTTATTGCTACCATAGACTTTAGCTACTAAGTGCTTTAAAGGGATACTCCACTTTTTTGAAAATGGGCTCATTTTACAACTCCCCCAGAAGTGGAACAGTTGAGTTTTACCATTTTTGAATGCATTCAGACGATTTTCTGATATTTAGAAGAATATCAGTAACCAGACCGTTTCTGATCTCATGAGACCAGAAACTGTCTGATTACTGATATTCTTCTAAATATCAGAAAATCGGCTGAATGCATTTGAAAACGGTGAAACTCAGCTGTTTAACTCTGGAGGAGTTGTAAAATGAGCCTACAGTATTTTCAAAAAAAGTGGAGTATCCCTTTAAGTTCACAACAAATTAGAGGAAGCCTGAAGAGGTGGACCTAACCAATGAAAGAGGTGAAGTGGGTGCATTTGACTGTTCTTTTTTTTTTCCTTTTTCTTTTTGAGCAGGTGTGAGCACATCCTGTAGTTTTGTGGTTTAAGACACAGAGATGTGGTGGATAACTGACACACTAATTGTGTGTGTTTTTGTAAAGCGTCTGTGGACTTTGTATCACTGGGCTCCGTCTCTTAGAGCACAGTAATAGAGAGCTGAATCTGACACCTTCACATCGTTAATAGTGAGTGAAGTGGATGTTGAGGATATAGTTAACTTATAACGACTGTCCGATACATTCCCTTCATCGGACGAGCCAGCACCTTTAAACAGTAAATACTGAGGTTCTCCATTAGGATACTGTCTGAACCAGTACAGGTAAACATTTTTTCTGCTTGTATCATATGAGCATCTCAGTGTCACAGACTCTCCTTCTCTCCTGAGTTTATTTGTACCTTCTTTTGGTGCAATGCTGTCAGCAAATACACCTACAAGAAAATGTGTGCTTTAGAACAATAATAAAGATAACCCTAAAAAATACTTAAATACTAATGAAATTATGTATATATATACTATCACTCAAAAGTCTGGGGTCAGTATTCATTTTTAGTGTTTTTGAAAGAATTTTCATATGCTCACCAGTCACCAATAATACAGTAAAACAGTTATATTGTGAAATAAAATAATAGTTTAAAATAGATTAAAATGACTGTTTATTTTAGCAGCCATTATTCCAGTCATCCTTCAGAAATCAATTTAATATGCTGATGTTTGTGCTCAAGAAAAGCATATGAAATAGAAATATTGTTGTGTAACATCAGAAATGTCTTTAATCTGCACTTATGACATCATATATCATTATCATGTATCTTTCCTAAATAAAAGTATTATTTTCTTTAAAAAAAAAAACACTGATCCCAAACTTTTGAGCAATTACACTTTTAAAAAAAAGTACCTGTCATGAGAATCAGCAATTTACATCTGTCCATGTTAATATTCCGAGTGATTTATTGTTTTAAGCCAAATTATGATCAGCTTTAGTAGTTACGCCTGAATCTTCCAGTATGAGGAACTGTGGTGGTGAGCCTGTGTGGTGATACCAGTGAACTCCACGAGCAGAACGGCTGTAGTTACAACAAGATTGTCACCCTCAAGTGCAAATACTCTCTCACTTTTTGGAGTGATGACTTCTGTTCTGTGGCTCTGGAACCTGCTAAATTTGCATTAAGTTTAGGACATATACACACATCTTGTAAAACATACATTAATTTATTAATCTTTTATAGTGTATTTAACTTTGGAACAAAAATCATTAAAAATAATTATGCATTTCATTGGATTTCCTTATTGTGATATTTTTCTTATAATAATGCAGTATTAAACCTTCAGTTAATGACATCAGTATCATATTCATATAGATGAAGTTGCCAGGTTAAGTTAAACAAAGACCAGCTGCTTGATTGTTACCTACATCTGAGCACTAAATGTCCGTGGTAAACTCCTCCTCTTTCCATTGTACAACATGAACACTATGCGTGTCCGCTTAATCCATAGAAGATAATGGGCAGAAAATGGACAATGGACTATACACACTTCAGTAGGATTTTTTTTTTTGTACATTTTTTTTTTAATAATCTCCCATTTTCACAGGTGTTGCCACACTGTTATATCCAGAGCTGTGGTTTGCAAAAAATAATACATTGTGGTTTGATGCTTATAGATTAAAGACTGTTTAAAGCACATTGCATATTTGAGTTTTTGTAAAGCCTCTCAAGCATTTTGTATCACTGGGCTACAACTCTTAGAGCACAGTAATAGAGAGCTGAATCTGACAGAGTTACACTGTTAATAGTGAGTTCAGTGGATGTTTGGGATGTTGTTGACTGAAACCGATGGTCTGATGATCTACCCCCACTCTCTGATCGAGCACCTTTATACAGTAAATACTGAGGTTCTCCGTTTGGATACTGTCTGAACCAGTAAAGCCAAACATAATTGCTGTTAGTTTCATATGTGCAGCTCAGTTTCACAGACTCTCCTTCTTCCTTTGTATTAGTATTTTCTTCACTTGGTCCAATGCTGTCAGAAAACACACCTGAAATTAAATTAAAACAATTGTTCTGTAATCTCTGATCAGGTGGATTGTATGTAAATAAAACTTGTTTCAAATTCGTCTTTTCAATAAAATAGATAAATATTAAAAAATAGCATCACGTGATAATTGCTTTTATATAAAAATGGGATGTTGTTTGTCCAGCTTATTTAGTTCAGTTTACCTGTAACAATGACAATCATGAGTAGCATATGTCCCTCCATGTTGGCAGTCCACAGGTTTGTATTTCTATTACTATTGGATTTATTATAATTTTTTTTTTACCTGAATATTGCCTTATATTGTGAATGAAACTGCTGTTCATTATATTTAGGAGTAAATGAATGCACCGACCGAAGTTCCATTGTGCACTAATAGTGTGGGTGTGGTTAGTGATGTCACAGGTTCACCAGGCTCTCTCACCACCACCACTCAATGATCACAATAACCAGAGTTCTAATCACTCATCAACATTCCTCATCAACCTCCACATAAAAGCACACACCTCAGTTCAGTCACTTGTAATTGGATTAGTAAACAGACCTATTACTGCGATCTCCTGATCTTCTGTGCATGTGAATCCTCTTCAGCATACTCAGGCCTGCTAATTCTCCCTTTTTTTTATTTCTCCTAGTGTGTTGTCTTGTCCTGCGATGCTCACCTATACTCCACCACAATGCTTAGGTGTGTGCTCCAACAGTTTATTCTCCAGCCAGTAAATTACCATCTAATTAATATATTTTGTTGTAGGCCTACATATACGAATAACTTTTTTGCTGAGTCCAATTTACAGTTTAAAAATCCTCTGCCAGGAAGTGCTGTTCAAATTTATGTAATAGGCTATACTTCTAGAGGTTATGGGACGCAACATACAATAAAAAATAATAATAAATCCAATAGAAAGTTGTTTAAAGTCATATATTTTTACTCTATTGAGGAAATGTGATGTGATGAATTAAAACACAGGCAGTGACCAAATTGAATGTGTACTTGCTTTTAGTATTTGGATGTAACAAGACACCTTAATAACACTATAAATTGTGAATCAAATATACTTCTAAACAACAAATTATTTACAACATAAAAGCCCTGAACCAACCCTAAACCATATATATAACTAAACCCTAAACCAACTTTTTTTAGTTAATGATCTAGATTGGGGCTTTATTATCGCTGATCATTGACATTTGAGTATAAATATATGAGTATAAAATACTTATCCCATCTTGAACAGTCCTCCACTTTGGACAGATTTAAGTTGACATCTATTGTTTTCTTTTGAGCAGATTCCTTGGCAAACTTTTCAACATTTTCATTTGTTGCAAAACCCAGCCTACATGAGCTGGGACCCATACAAATGATATTTCTACCCCTCTCCTTTTCACAACTCTAATTGCCAGAAGAATATCATATACAAGGTGTCTTTGAGGTCCCTTTCCCAATAATATTAACACAGAGTACATAACACTTTATGGTTCTGAATCTGCTCAGTCCATTGCACTGCCACCAGTTTTTGCATATAATTCCACTGAAAACACACTTAGGAAATTTGAGATTATTTTAGGCATTCCACTTCCGAACAACAAAAGCTGCACCTGTTTCCTGATCTTTTGAACCATCAGTAAAGATTAATATGTGCTCCTGATACCTTTCTATTATATGACACTGAAATTCATGCACCAAATCTGATTCGGGATTCTCTGACTTAATCCCAAGTATCTCTAAATCAGTCTTTGGGACCTCCAGTTGCCATAAAGGAACTGATGGCCACAGTATTCCTGGACAAAAGTTCTTATGTATAGCCATTTCCTGGCCAATGCCTCCCATTCCAGCCAAAACTTTATATGAGCCATCTAGTCTCTGATTTGTTCTCGGGGTGTCTGGTGAACTCAATGACTGACAGGATCGGCAAAAAACAGAACAGAACCAAAAAAAAAAAAAAAAAACACTACAGGATGTAACATGTTTTAGTTTTATTTGCTCCTTTTTTAACCTTCGTTTAGACTAATGTGATGACAAAAGTGACACTCGAAGAATTATGCATGCTATGTCTTATTTATTTATTTATTTATTGTGAAATCATCTGAAATCTGAAATCAATGAGGGTTTGCAAGACCCTCATTGATTTCAGATTATGTTAAATGACATCCTTATGAATTTATACACCACACGAGGACAGAAAAAAAAAATCATAAAAGCAATAATATGTGAACTCTTATGAGCTGTAACCTTTATAACCTTCCAGATTCACAGCTGTTACCACATTCCCTGTTGGTGGTTTATAAAGCATGATATTACTTCATCAAAGACACTTCAAAGCAATACATTTTTATGAGGTTTTTGTACAGCTTCTCTGGCACTTTGTATCACTGGGCTGCTACTTCAAGTGCACAGTAATATAGAGCTGAATCTGACAGAGTTACACTGTTAATAATGAGTTCAGTGGATGTTTGGGATGTAGTCGACTGAAAACCGTCTGGTATATTTCCAGCGCTACTCCTCGATCGAGCTCCTTTATACAGTAAATATTCTGGTTCTCTGTGTGGATAATGTTTGTACCAGTAAAGATAAACATAATTGCTGTCAGTTTCATATGTGCAGCTCAGTGTCACAGACTCTCCTTCTTCTTTTCTGATAACATTAGTATTTCCTTCTCTTGGTTCAATTCTATCAGCAGCAAATCCACCTGAAATGCAGTCAATCATATATTGTCTAAAATATCATGATCGAATAAGGATATTTTTGTTGTTGTTGTTTCGCTAAATATTTATTTACCTGAAACTGTGATGAGCATTATGAGTAGCATCTGCCTTTCCTCCATCTTAACTGAAGTCCTCTTCTAAGATCAGAGCGTTTGTTTACTATTAAATCTAATTGTTAGATTTTCGAATTGTTGATTGTTGATTTATTTATAAGTTAAGAATATACTGGAAGTGGCTTTATAAACGTGTTGCTGATGGATGAATGAATGCAGAGACACCGAGTTGAGTTCTGTTGTACTAATAATGTGGGTGTGGTTTAGTGAAAGATGGATGCTCTGTGCTTTAAAGCAGGCACTTGTCCATTGTGAATAAAACAAAACGTGAGGTTATGTTGCCCCCTAACGTTGGATCTCAGAACAGCATGTTTTGTCCATTTTATTTTAAGTGTTTTAATGTGCTGTCTATGTTTAAGTTACATTTATTGGCATGTGTTTTATATATAAAACACTTTAGTGTTGTGCTCACACACACTCATCCACAAACTCTTGTTTTTGTACAGCATGCACTATATTTCCTTTCACTGTGGGCTCCAGAGCACAGTAGTACACCGCAGAGTGAGTTACAGCCACAGAGGCGATCTCCAGATCCACACTGCTGTTGTTTTTTCTGTGATGGATTGAGATTCCAGCAACTGGAGGATTAGCTTTTGTAACTAACCCAAGGTAATCCAGTATGAGGAACTGTGGTGGTAAACCTGCGTATTGGACATACCAGTGAAGACCTCGAACAGAATCAGTGTATCTACAAGAGAGTGTTACACTGTCACCCTCAACAGCAAATTCATAAGCACTGTACGGTGTGATGACTTCTGTGGCTCTGGAACCTGCAGTTAATGCGTACAAAAAGAATGGGAAAATGTAAGTGAAATGTACATCCTCTTTCAAATGTACATCTCCTTCCAAATGCAATCAAATGTATATAATTAATAATGCAATGTTGTTATTAGGTTGGTCATTAAAAATATTTCAGAGATAGTAATCAGGAGAATCATTATTTATTTATGAATTACACAAACTAAATTTAGATGGTTTTTTAAGAACAATCCATACCTTGAGCTGAGGATATCAATATTATTAAATAGATGAACATGGTGGCTCGATAATCAGGTTTGAACAGGAGACACAGAAACATCAGATGATCCAAAGAGACTTGTGAAATGTTGACTCCTTTATTGTATCTCACAATGAGTGCAAAACTCCTCCTACTCAGATTTACACCATTCATCAAAAAATATATGACAGACAAGACTTTTGTAATGTTGTTCACACATACAGCTACATATTTAAAATAATATAGATAGATGGATGGGTGGAATGAAAAACTAACATATTTCAGTAACATTTTAGGGGGGGATAATCTTAAACTTAAACATGATATAGATTGTCAGAAAGTGTATTTTTGTTGCTTGAAATGAAGATTAAAGGATTGTATAACATATATTGTATTATATTATAACATGAAGCAAGTAAGTTTTAATTTTTTTTTTTTTGGTGCGCTTGAATTTCTTTTAATTGAAAAATAAAATGCCAGTAGATATATCCTGTATGATTCAATGCTTTTCCAAAATATAGTGAGGTTTTTGTACAGTGTAGTTTGTTTTCCTGTCACTGTGGGCTCCAGAGCACAGTAGTACATCGCAGAGTCTGTCACTTTAGCAGAGGAGATCTCCAGATACACATGGGTTTTCTCTTTATTCAATTTTGCAGTGAACCGATGATCTTGATCCACTATCTCAGATTTTTGTAAAACTTCCCCACTGTTTTGAAGAATGGTGAAAAGAAATTCAGGAGCCGATCCAAGATATTGGCGATACCAAAATAAACTTCTTGCTGAGGAGTAACTACAAGAGAGTCTTGTAATCTCCCCTTCTGTCCCAAACATATCAGTTTCAACTGGTGTGATGAGATTCCCAAAACTCACACCTGCAGATGAGATTACCATCATTTTACAAAATTTTGACAACAAATACATAAGCAGGAAAGATACCTAGCCTGAGCATTGAAATACTTACATGCCAGACAACAGAACAAAGCCAAAACAAATATCATCATTTTCAGGAGGATGTTTTACTTCATCTGCAGGACAAAGTGTTACTGAAGTAAATTCATCATCTAGCAGAAGGTGTCTCCAGCTTGCACCTCCCCTTAACTTCTGAAGTTCTGAAGCTGATCATCTCATTTTTTATATATTTAAGCAAATATTACACAAATATTTTTAAGGACTTTGCATTAATAATATTACAGTTGTTCTGAGTTTTATGAGATACATTTCTGTAGTTATGTTTGATGTTACTGAAACCAATTGTTCAGTTTATTCTGTATATTGAAAAAAGTGGTTTTCTTACTCCACATTATAGTCTCGTTTTCCAGTACGAATATCTTCACATTCTTAAGTCAAGAAACATTACTTGAGAAGCAAAATGACTTGTCAACAAAAAGTCTTCTGAATAATACATCAAAATACAGTGAATTCAACTCAGTTTAAGCTTAAAATGAGAAAAAGTACATACCAGTAGGGTAAAAAAAATATTTTGTATTATATTGTATTATATTTTGTATCATATTATTTTATATGACAATTGTTTTCAGAAAACTTTATTTCTTAAGTCAAGTAAATTTATCTTGGTATGAAAATGTTTAGATATTTGTACTGTAAAAAAAAAAAAAAAAAAAAGACAAACCCCTGGTTTCACTTAAAGCTGCTTGCACTGATGTATCTTAAAATATGTCAGAGCCATTTTGTGTCAAGATGCACACCAGTGTTTTTTTTTTTTGTTTTTTTTTGTTTTTTTTCAAAGGCATATTTAAAAAAGTTATGTCCTAATAGAACTAAAGCCTATCCTGGCTAAATTGTCTGTGTTAATCGTTGAATATGAAAATAACTTTTGCAGTGTACCCGTAAAGCCAGCTTACATTTAACAATTACTTGACAATTCCAGTATATCAGTTAAATGTTTATTTTTTACATTTGTGTTGTTGAGTCCAGCTGTGGTTTGTACATTTTAAGGCTTGATAAGCAGATGAAAACTGTTTTTTTGTACAGTGTTATAAGGTTTCCTGTGACTGTGGGCTGCAGAGCACAGTAATAGAGAGCAGAGTCTGACACTTCAGCAGAGGAGATCTCCAGATACACATGCCGTTCTCCTTTTGTGTGCTTGACGGTTACTCTTGGAACAGGGGGATCAGCTTTAGTAGTTACGCCTGAATCTTCCAGTATGAGGAACTGTGGTGGTGAGCCTGTGTATTGGCGATACCAGTGAACTCCACGAGCAGAAAGGCTGTAGTTACAAGAGAGTGTCACATTGTCACCCTCAAGTGCAAATACTCTCTCACTTTTTGGAGTGATGACTTCTGTGGCTCTGGAGCCTGAAAATTAAAGTTCATTAAATTTAGTTTTCAAACACTTCCACTACAATTAAATGCATTTCCACAATATTATACCTTCAGTTGATGACAGCAGTATCAATATGATCAACATGTTCCTTCACTGAACTGACAAGAACAGCAGCTGCTCCAGTGTTGTGTAGCTCATCTTTACACAGAAAAGTAGTGTGAGTGTCTGTGCTAAACTCCTCCTCCTGTCATGACACTGAATCTGAATTACAAGACACCTAAGAAAAGATCAAATGAGCATAGCCGTTTATATTGTATATGTACGGTTATTTCTTTTAATTCTATGCTTTTGCTTTTTCATTTTGCAGCTCATTGTCAATATTGTATAACCATTGTGCTAATACACGTGAGTTTCTAATTTTGAAAAAAAAAAAATAGACTTTACATTCATCTTTAGGAATTCATTCTACGTAATTTGAAAAAAGAGATGAACAAGATGTCATGAGAAGCTTATAACATACATAAATGATGTACAAACGCTCTTATGTATTTTTACCTCCCAAATTCACAGCTGTTACCACATTCTCTGTTTGTGGTTTATAAAACCTTGATGTGTTTTGATACTAATTGTTTAAAGGCACTAATTTTGTATCAGTTTTTGTACAGCTTCTCAGGCATTTTGTATCACTGGGCTACAATTCTTAGAGCACAGTAATAGAGAGCTGAATCTGACAGAGTTACACTGTTAATAGTGAGATTAGTGGATGTTTGGGATGTAGTCGACTGATAACCGTTTGGTATATTCCCATCGCTACTCCTTGATCGAGCTCCTTTGTACAGTATATATTTTGCTTCACTATTTGGATACTGTTTGTACCAGTAAAGCCAAACATAATTGCTGTCAGTTTCATATGTGCAGCTCAGTGTCACAGACTCTCCTTCTTCTTTTCTGATAACATTAGTATTTCCTTCACTTGGCCCAATTCTATCAGCGAATCCACCTGAAATATTTTAATTTTAAATATATTGATATATTACATTTTTATATAACAGTATCGTATACATATTCTTTTAAGGGGTTAGCTTTTGATTAAAAGTATATTTACCTGAAATTAGGAGTATCACGAGTAGCATCTGTATGTCTTCCATGTTAACCACCCAAGTCCACTTTAAATATTGAAACTGTCAATTTATTGTATTGTCAAATTGATTTATTTGAAATCTTAAGTTAAATTAAATGAATTAAAACAATTTAATGAATGAAAATGAATGAAAGTATGAGTAACTGATGGATGAATGATGCAGTGAGTGAAATTCTGCTGTATACTAATAATGTGGGTGGGGTTTGTGAAACATGAAATGTTCTCTGCTTTAAAATACAATGCTAAGCATTGTTTCTTATAGACGTAAATGAGTACGTTGGACTATTGGACTTTTCTGCTTACCCTAACCATATTTTAAAAACAGATTGAATTGGTAACACTTTACTATAAGGTTAATTATTAAACATTAGTTAATGTATTAATTACCATGAACTGACCATGAGCAATACATTTGTGACTGTGTTTGTTAATCTTTGTTAATGTTAGTTAATACAAATCTGTTTGTTCATGTTAGTTCACAGTGCATTAACTAATGTTAACAAGATTTTAATAAAGTATTAGTAAATGTTGAAATGAACATGAACAAAGATTAACAAATGCTGTTCATTCTTTGTTAATGTTAACTAGTTAACTAATTAACCGTATTTGTAAAGCGTGACCAATAAATCTAATGCAAGTAAAGTAGAAAGACTTTCACTTAAAGGTTGAGGATACTTTATTAAGTATTATTTCACATATTCTGTGTGTTATATGAAATCTTGTAGTTTTTCCTATCTTTTCATATCATATTTATTCTTCTGTCGTAATATATTTTGTAAAAGTGTTAATTTTTTTTTTCTTTTCTCATGTGTGTGCTGGATTATGAATGTGAGGATGAATGTATTAGCATGTAGAGTTTCTGTAGATTTTGGTCTGTAAATTATATTTATTATTAAATAAAGATGAAAAAAATTATTTTACATTCACCACATTCACATTACTTCAGAAAACATCAGGGAAATGCGTCTAAGATGTGAATTAAGCAGAACTTGTGAGATATTGTTGCCCCCTTCTGTTGAAACTATAAGAACAGCATGGGTTTCCTGTGACTGTGGGCTCCAGGGCACAACATCACAAGTCTGTCACTTTAGCGGAGATCTCAACTGTGTTCTATGTACATGTGAACTATGTTTAATCTATCTAGTACATTAATATGAGTATAGTGATTGTTTTGAAGCTGTTTTTGATTGTTGAGTGTGTGAGTCACAGTGGGCTTCAGAGCGCACAGCAGAGTCAGACACAAACATCCTGGATTGTTAATGGAACTGATGTTGAAGAAGTGTTGATTTTTGCATGAAATCTCTCCTTAAAATCTTCATCCTCATTACTCGATCCAGCACATCTCTTCAGCATTTGGAAAATGATTTGCTTTATATTGGTACCAGATTTTCATACTGGTTTTGTATGTGCAGGGGGACGGTATGAAAATTTCATATCAAGATTATAGTGTCCAAAATTATCGTTATTATCAATATTATCTTGGTTTTGTTAAAATTATATGCAAGTGTTCATTCATTGTTTAGGAGGGGATTTTTGCCAAAAGAGTTCAAGAATAATTTGTAGTAACTGTTTGTCGCCCTCTTCTGCATTGCAAGAGTTATTACAAGGTTATACAGTAAATGTCATCAACCATCAGAAAGTGTAACTCAAGACCATGAGAGTTTTTGTATGAGTGTTGAGTGTGTTTGAGTCACAGTGGGCCTCAGAGCACAGTAATACACAGCAGAGTCAGACACACTCACATCCTGGATTGTCAGAGGAACCGATTTTGAAGTTTTCATGTGATTTGCAGCAAATCTCTCCTCAAAGTCTTTGTCTTTTTGTACATTAGCAGCAAATATCATCATCATGTATTTGGGGATTCCATTCATCTTTTGCTGGTACCAGAAGAGATACGGGGATGGATCACTGGTTTCATACGTACAGTTAATCGTTACTGATCTCCCTTCAAAAGCAGTTTGAACTCTTGTGTTCTGGTCAACTCTCTCCACAGAGTCGCATACTAGAAAATAATTTAAAGAATTATCAAATCATATTCTGCATGTTTTAATATATTTAGAGACTCCTTAGAGAAGGATCCTACTCACCCCAGAAATATGTTATAAAGAAGATCAAATATCTTTCCCAGTGAGCCATTATAATAACTGTTCTGTGTAAATGACTGAAATATTTCAATCCACTGGAGAGTGTGTTTGTTTCAGTTTGTCTTTGATGAGCCTGTTTTAAAACCGTCACAGACACACATATCGTCTGGGAGGAGTTTGATCTGTTGAATGTTGTTCTCTTTCCTTATACTTTTTTCTTTCTTTTTTGGTTCAGTAAGTGGGATTTTTTAATTTATTTAAAATATATGTTTTACACACAACTGTTAATTTTTCTATTAACTTTATCTTCTGTTTGAGTTACTGTTTTTTCCAGTATTTCCTCTGAATAACATAGTAGTCTGTTATAAGGGGAACATTTCAAAACAAAGTTTATATTGCACTCCCCTGGTTGAGAATGAATATATGAGATCTCAAGTATTTATGAATGCATGCAACCCTTGATTTGAGAAATCTAGATGTAAATGTAAGCCTATTTCATGTGTTGAAAAATTGGCACTGCATAACATTGATTACTGACTTTCAAAGCAATATTTTTGTGTGTGAGTTTTTGTAAACACTGCTGTATAGTTGAATCTTCATTGCACAGTAATAAAGAGCTAAATCTAACAGAGCTGCTTCATCAATTGTGAGTGATGTGGACGAATAGGGTGTTGTTGACTGAAACTGATCATTTGATATGTCCTCCTTATAGCTCCACGCTTGAGCAGCTTTCCACAGTAAATATTCTGGTTCTGTATTAGGAAACTGTCTGAACCAGTAAAGATAGACATAACTGCTGCTTGTATCACATGTGCATCTCAGTGTCACAGAGTCTCTCCTTCTCTTCTGTTTTTATATTATATTATTCGGATCCTTGTCATTTGGTCATGCTGTCAGCAGCAAACTCACACACACACACATATATATATATATATATATATATATATATATATATATATAACACTATAAGTTGACGTTTTGAACCTAAGCATCTAAAATGTTGAAAGTGTACAGTAAGTTACCCTGCAATGAGAGTCAGCAGTAGACATGTCTTCATGTTGATCAGAATGGTTTCAATAATTTTATGTTTACATATTTATGAATCAATGCTCTGTTTGTTTGCTTTTAGGAGTTTTTGTGATTATTCATTTACTTTGATATTTTGAATGTTGATTTGGATAAAGTAATGCACTGGAGAGGTTTGCTGATATTATAATGCGGGTGTGGTTAATGCCATTAAGACTCCTCATGCTGTTTATTCTGTGTTATTTAATTATTTATATATATTATTATTTTTTTAATATATATAATTATAAGTTTTTAATAAATATTTAAATAATTTGAAATGGATTTTTTATTTTTTATTTTAGTTCAAGTTTAAGGGGTAATACTTAACACTACAATATGGTTTCATCAGTTAACATAAGTTAATATAAATTAACAATACGTATACTGAATTTATTCATCTTAGTTAATGTTAATGTCAGCATTTATTAAAACTTTTTAGAGATTAATAGTTGCATGTGTTAACATTTGTTAATAAACATAAAATATAAGATGTGTGTGTGTGTGTGTGTGTGTGTGTTTATACTGTGTGTATATATATATATATATATATATATATATACGTATATAATACACACACATCTTACATTATTTTATGTTCATTAAATTAAATATAAGATGTGTATATCTTATATTTACCTATATATATTGACACACACACATATATATATATTTTACACACATACATATATATATATATACACGCACACACACATATATATATATATTATAAAGTATTTAATTTGTTAAATAATCTTATTATTATTTACTTTGATCTTCTTTCTTTCACTCTAATTAAAGCAGCTGTTACCATATTGTGGTGTAGCTACTGTATATGTTCTGTGTGGGTTATGAGAGATATAAAATGTGGCTTTGTGGGAGAATCAATTGATTTCTCTTGTACATTTTTGTGTGAGAGTTTTTGTAAAGCCTCTCAGGCATTTTGTATCACTGGGCTGCTACTCTTAGAGCACAGTAATAGAGAGCTGAATCTGACAGAGTTACACTTCTAATAGTGAGTTCAGTGGATGTTTGGGATGTAGTCGACTGAAACCGTTGACGGTCTGGTATGTTCTCCTCACGGCTCCATGATCGAGCACCTTTATACAATAAATACTGCGGTTCTGTGTTTCGATTCTGTCTGAACCAGTAAAGCAAGATCTCATTGCTGGTTGTACTGTATGTGCAGTTCAGTGTCACAGACTCTCCTTCTTTACTGATTATTGCTTCCTTGTCTTTCGGTCCAATGCTGTCAGGTAATACACCTGCAAGAAATTTAGACAACATAACAGTCTGTTTAATAAAGCCGAACCAAAGTGCATATTTGTAATTGTATAGCTTGAAGTAGTGTTTCTCACAGCTTAAAACACTGCTTTAAAATTTGAAACTTTGACTTAAAAATTTGTCTTGAATAATCAAGAGTACTTTACCTGATACTGTTATGACAATCAGTAGTAGATGTCTCTCCATGTTCATGCTTTTGATCTGTTCAGATTTATGTTTTAAGTTTCAACAGAGACATGATCTGTTGTTTATTAATAATATGGGTGTGGCTAGTGACGTCCCCCTCTCTTCCAACTACACACACACACACACACACACACACACACACACACACACACACACACACACACACACACACACACACACACACACACACACACACACACACACACACACACACACACACACACACACACACACACACACACACATTATACTGTGATGAAATGTAGGTGAGTTTTAACACACAGTAAAATATGGAGGGTATTTTTTTGCATTAATTTATTGTACATTAATCAAATACATTATACAAAATATGTGCTTAAATAAAACAAAAAAAATGTGTTTAAGTAGGTGAAAAGCTTGTGTAAAAATAATACAAAGATTATTTTTGCTAGAAAACACTAATTCAGTCCATTTACTTTAAAATGTAATGTTTAATTAATTCAGTGTGTCACTTTTTGTTTGTAATTGTGGAATTTACTAGCAATTACTGAGTGAAAATGGTTTCAAAACAATTCAAACCAAACTAGTTTTCTGGCCTGGAAATCACTTCATGTCTTTCCTGTAGCTCACTTATAATTATACTTAATGAATGATACAACACAAACTGTTTCACTCGACTGTTTCCCCTATGCTGTAGGTTTCTTTCTTTTGATTTTGTGTGTGAGAGAGACATCCTGTTAACACTGTGGGCCTCAAAGCACAGTAATACACAGCAGAGTCAGACACTCGTAGGCTCTGCATTATCAACGGGACTGATTTTGATGCTTTCACTTCAGAGAAAAATCTCTCCTGGAACTCTTTTCCATTAACTCCTCCTCCATATGAATTCCTTTGTAACACAAGTTTGGGAGATTCGTCTGTTTTCTGGATGTACCAGAAGAGCTCTTGTGATGTTGAGACTGTAGTATATTTGCAGTCCAATGTTATTAATTCTCCCTCGAATCCAGTAACATGTTTAAGTGGCTGATCAACTGTGTCTTCTGATTGACATCCTGGTAACAAACAAGAACAATTATGTGACAATTAGCAGTATCCAACGCATTCTCACCCCAAGGCGTCACCTTTGACCATGCTTCAATATTTGACGTTTTAGGCGCCCTTTAGCGTCACTTACATGACGCGATCCTACCGCGTCATCTAACTGACGCTAAAGGAAAGCGTCAGTTAGAGGACGCGGTTAGGTTTAGGTGTGGGGTGGGGGTAGGGTACACGCGATCCTAGGGCGTCATCTAACTGACGCTAAAGGGCGCCTAAAGCGTCAGATATTGAAGCATGTCCAAAAGCTTCCCAAGGCGTCAGTTAGGTGACGCCTTGGGAGTGAGAATGGGCTGCAGTATCATGTAGAAATAAAACCACAGTCAAAGAGTAACATATTTAGTTTACATACCAAGAATAACTGATCCAAATATGAATAATATCTCCTTGAGCCATTGTTTCATTGCTTGTTCTTCGAGATAATACGAGTGATACCCAAAGAACAGACGATTCAATTAGCAAAAACAGAGTAACTGAGAAAAGAGTGATTCAAAGCTATTATTACACAAGGAAGGGAGGAGCTCAAAGCACTGTCAGATGCTCATTGTTATCAGTATCAGTAGAGAGTGCATATCTCCCTCTCCTGGTTTCTTTATGAAATTACAAATAGAAGTGCTTGGGAGTTGTTTGGTGGACGTCATATCTTCCTTTAGTTGTTTAATCTTTCTGGAAAAGTGTGTACATCACAGATATTGATTTGAGATTAAGAATGTTTCAAATGTATTATTCTCTATAAAAGTTATTCTCAACAAAACTCAAACCAAATCAAGCAAATCAAAGCAAATATGATTTGCATGCTGATTTTTTTCTATTAAGTCAGTCCATCACAAGTGGTCCAATAATATTCTTATTGTGGATAGGAAGAGATAATCAATTCTAAAATAATAGATATTTTAGAAAAAAGGGCACTTTCTGCCCACAACCAAGAACTGAGACTCAAACCTTTCCAATAAATTGACCCTAAAAGTGGAACATTTTTAAGCGGTATTTATCATTATATATCATTATGTTTGGGCCAATTCTAAGGAACAAGTATGTGCATTGGATTTTGCAAAATGTAGACCCTGTTTACATGAGAATGCTCGCGGATGATAACGTAAAAATAGTTTATTATTGTGCCTTTCCGTCAGGCTTAAACACAAAACGTTATTTACCATAGACGTAAATAGTCTGTGGTAAAAACACAAAAGTCTACTAGACAGTGAAGGCACAGATCTGCTTACGGTGGCCACCTAGCCGCCTGGAGTGCATACTACATTCTCACACTTTCGCGTCACCATATGCACGCAGATGTCCCACTCATAACGCTCATCTAAACCCAGAATAAAAAGTGATAACGCTACGCCACTTTTGCGTTTTATCTTCAGATCCTTTCTTTGTAAACAGCCTTAAATGCAACTTGAAATGTACTCTAGAAAATGTTGTTCCAACTTCCAAGGTGCTAAGACCAATTGAGATATTGAGGTATTTGTACACCCCTGTGTAACCAACATTAGCTGTGGGCCATGATATAAAGACTGTGATCAAACCACAGCTAAATTAATAAATAAATAAACTGGTGGTTTTGTGGTAGTAATATAGAAAAGGAAAATTAAAAATGGCCAAGAAATCAGCTTTAGATAACATTTAGATGTTAACACAGTTGAGATTGAGAATATTATTCAGTTTTGGTCTACATCGCTGTATACTATGCTGAGGAATAACTTTAAAACATGAAATAAACAAATTGTATATTTACCTTATTTTTTATGTAAGAAGTGTGTATGGCCATTTGTAACTTAAATGTGTCTGGCTTCCGGTCTCATCCGTTTTCAGTTGTTTTAGCTGTAAAAACTGTTGTTTGTTGTCATATTATTTTAATTTGTTATCAAAAATTATAATCTCTAGTTTGTAGCGCAAATTGTTTTACAATTTAAAGCATTTCTGTTTGTCTTTCAGGTATTTATCTATACAGCGGCTAAAGCATTGCAAGTTTACACACATTCACAGAAAATAGCTTAATTCCGCATTGCAAAAAAGGTGGATAAACATCCCATACAGCAAGTTCTTATATCTTGATGTCATATCCTGTCTTTTCAACTCTGTTCATGCACTTTAAAATTGTTCAACAGGTGTTACCACATTCTGTTATTTTCAGTCTCAGTGGTTTACAATATATATATGTGGTGTGATAAACCTCTGATAGCTGGCTTTTTAAGTTTTTGTAAAGCCTCTCAGGCATTTTGTGACACTGGGCTGCTACTCTTAGAGCACAGTAATAGAGAGCTGAATCTGACAGAGTTACACTGTTAATAGTGAGTTCAGTGGATGTTTGGGATGTAGTCGGTCGAAACCGTTCGTCTGTTTTATCCTCTCCTCCACTTGATCGAGCACCTCTCCACAGTAAATATTCTGGTTCTGTGTTAGGATACTGTCTGTACCAGTAAAGATATATATAACTGCTGCTTGTATCATATGAGCATCTCAGTGTCACAGACTCTCCTTCTCTGCTGGTCTTATTAGGATCCTTGTCATTTGGTCCAATGCTGTCAGCAGAAAACACACCTGCAATAAAATAGAGCAATTGCACACTAAACCATCAGCCCTTTTCCCTAAATCAAAAAAACATTCTTGTTAAAAACACCATTTGATCTGTAAAGCATGTAATATATTCACCTGAAATTGTCACGAGAATCACTAGCAGACAGGCCTCCATGCTAATACTGTCCCTTAGTTTAAACATGTTTTAAGTAGATTTTGATCTTTAGGAGGTTTCACGATTTATCGTTTTTGAGATTCATATATGCACACCCATTCACTTTTGATAAATGGTGTATGTAGATGAATGCATGGATTAAACTACTGTTTATGAATAGTGTGGGTGTGGTCAGTGACATCAGAGCCAATCATCTCTCCCCTTTTCTTTCTTAATGTAAATATACAGAGCAAGTGCCATTTTAACTAATGTGAATTACTGTAAATGCAATCAATACTTTTCAATCTCATGACACTGAAAGTCGGTGACTCTTTTTATGCAATTTCTTCTTTACTTTGGATCTTAAAATAATGGACAAGGCAAGGCTGTCCTCCAGTTTTTATTAAACAATCATTGTTCATATTAAATCAATCTGAAACAGCTTCTATAATTCCCCTTTCTTATTTATTATAGTTCAAATATTAGAAGTCAGATAACATGTGCTAGTTTTATATAGATGTCTTGTGTTTAAATTTAAACTTAAAACAAAAGGTTTCACTTAAAAAAGTCAATTTTATTCAGCTGTAAAGTGCCTGTACAGCAACTTGTTCTTGTTCATTATCATGTCACTCCTTCTCTACTCTCTTCATGCACTCCTGAATTGTTCAGCAGGTGTTATACCACATTCTAATATTTACAGTCTCAGTGGTACATGTGGTATAATACACATTTGATAATTAAGTTTTAAACCAAGAATTATGTGTATGAGTTTTTGTAAAGCCTCTCAGGCATTTTGTATCACTGGGCTCCAACTCTTAGAGCACAGTAATAGAGAGCTGAATCTGACAGAGTTACACTGTTAATAGTGAGTTCAGTGGATGTTTGGGATGTAGTCGACTGAAACCGTTGACGGTCTGGTATGTTCTCCTCATGGCTCCATGATCGAGCACCTTTCCGCAGTAAATACTGAGGTTCTGTGTTAGGATACTGTCTGTACCAGTAAAGAATAACATAACTGCTGCTTGTATCATATGAGCATCTCAGTGTCACAGACTCTCCTTCTCTGCTGGTCTTATTAGTATCCTTGTCATTTGGTCCAATGCTGTCAGCAGCAAACACACCTGCAATGAAATAGAGCAATTGCACACTAAACCATCAGCCCTTTTCTATAAATCATTACATAGTTGTGTGATATTTAAATTGTACAATATATATTCACCTGAAATTGTCATGAGAATCACTAGCAGACAGGCCTCCATGCTAATACTGTACCTTAGTTTAAATACCAGTATGTTTCAAGTGGGTTTTGATCTTTAGGAGGTTTCACTATTTATCATTTTTGAGATTCATATGCACACCCATTCACTTTTGATAAATGCTGTATGTAGATGGATGCATGGATTAAACTACTGTTTATGAATAGTGTGGGTGTGGTCAGTGACATCAGAGCCAATCATCTCTCCCTTTTTCTTTCATAATGTAAATATACAGAGCAAGTGCCATTTTAACTAATGTGAATTACTGTAAATGCAATCAATACTTTTCAATCTCATGATACAGTGACTCTTTTTATGCAATTTCTTCTTACTGTGGATCTTAGAATAATCTACAAGGCAAATGGCTGTCTTCCAGTTTTTATCAAACAATCATTGTTCTTCCCAGTTCATATTAAATCAATTTGAAACAGCTTCTATAATTCCCCTTTCTTATTTATTATAGTTCAAATATTAGAATTTAGATAACACAGTGCTAGTTTTGTATAGATGTCTTGTATGTTTTTAATTTAAACTTAAAACAAAAGGTTTCACTTAAAAAAATGCCGTAAATGTACGGCAACGTGTTCTAGTTCATTATCATGTCACTCCTTCCCTACTCTCTTCATGCACTCCTAAATTATTCAGCAGGTGTTATACCACATTCTAATATTTACAGTCTCAGTGGTACATGTGGTATAATACACATTTGATAATTGAGTTTTAAACCAAGAACTGTGTGATAGTTTTTGTAAAGCTTTTCAGGCATTTTGTATCACTGGGCTCCAACTCTTAGAGCACAGTAATAGAGAGCTGAATCTGACAGAGTTACACTGTTAATAGTGAGTTCAGTGGATGTTTGGGATGTTGTTGACTGAAACTGTTGATGGTCTGGTATATTCTCATATCCGCTGTATGATCGAGCACCTTTCCACAGTAAATACTGAGGTTCTTTATTACGATACTGTCTGAACCAGTAAAGACAAACATTATTGCTGGTTGTGTCATATGTGCATCTCAGTTTCACAGACTCTCCTTCTTCCTTGATTATATTCGAATCTTTGTCACTTGGCCCAATGCTGTCAGAAAACACACCTGAAAGTAATAAAAGACACTTCACAGATCCAATCCTTTCAATGAAATTAAAATGGAGACATAAAAACAAACATGAATAAAATTGATGTAAAATGTACTCTGTACTCATTGATATGATGCATTGCTTAACATGTATTTAAGAATTGTTAAAAGTGTGATTTACCTGATATAATTATGAGGATCAGTAAATACCTCTCCATGTTGATATTTCAGATCTAAACTGTTTTTGAAATTGTGGACAATTGTACTAGGCTACTATGTGGAATGATAAAGTATCATAATTAATACTGTACATAAATTAGGTACATGAATGCCCTTAGATAACTGATATGCTTTATATTAGTAATGTGGGTGTGGCTTGTAGGCTCGGATGGGCTTTATAACAGTGGAAGTAGTCACATCTCATAGGAGGTTAAACAACACTCAGGGTGCACACCCAGGGTTTTTGTGTTTGTGCGGAGTGTGTTTGAGTCACAGTGGGCTGCAGAGCACAGTAATACACAGCAGAGTCAGACACACTCACATCCTGGATTGTCAGAGGAACCGATCTTGATGTGGAATCCAGTTTTGCAGAAAATCTCTCCTTAAATTCATCCTCAGTAGTTCCTTTGCCAACTGTAAATTCACTCAGAATGAATGTTGGTGATCTGTTTGATAGTTGTTTGTACCAGAAGAGATAAGCGTTTGCAGCACTCATGAGTGTATAATTACACAGTAAAGTCACTTGATTTCCCTCAGCTGAAGTCTTTTCTCTTAAAGGCTGATCAACATTGTCCTGTCCCCGGCACACTGAGGAGATGAAGCATACATTAACTATCAGATATACTCAAATAGTGTAAATAATTAAAGACTGTTCTTACCTAAATCTTGTGCCATGATGAAAAGAGTAATTATTGCCCATTTTGACATTGTTGCTCTTGAGTTTAAGAGACTGAAGAGAAAAACAACTGATCTAACATGTGAGTCTCTCCTTATGGCGAATCTCTTGATATTTTCAGCAACTGCACAGTCACACAAGAGTTTAAGTATGGTTCCCCCTGGTGGCGAATTCATTGAATTAAACACCTTGGTTTTGAAGTTAATTTGTAACCTTTGAAATAATTTGTGATTTTTTTTTTAATGATATAAACCATGGAGTGCAATGTCCTTGACAGATATACATACATATAATATAATAGAGTTCTGTGTATTTGAATCAAGATTTAATTAGGTAATTAGGTGAGATAATGTGATTTTCAGGGAAACATTTCTTTTTCTCTTAGTTTTAGATTCTTCATAAGGTTTAGCCTTATAAAAGAATTTAGGAATCATACATTACTTTTAATACATTTCTTGGATTTATCATACTTTTTCAGGCAGACTCAAAAAGATGTAGATATCAAATGATAATGTAATGTTTAGTCACACTTTTGTCTAGCTGTTGCCAAAAGTCTGTGGGATGTTACATATCTAGAAGAATATGTATTATTTATCTTTTATTCTGATCTCTTTCACTCTTTCATTTAGATTTAATAAAATAAAAATAAAATTTCATTTGTAACCACACACAGGTTTTTCCACCGGTGTGTATTATGTTAATTATAGAATGTGGGTTTGATGTGGCTTGATCAAAGTTAAAGTTCAGTTTTTGTACAGCTTCACATACTGTATCACTGGACTCCAGCTCAATAATAGAGAGCTGAATCTGACAGAGATACTCCATTAATTATGAGTTTAGTGGTTTAGTGGTAAAACACACAAGGTTTTTGCATGAGTGTTGAGTGTGTTTGAGTCACAGTGGGCTTCAGAGCACAGTAATACACAGCAGAGTCAGACACACTCACATCCTGGATTGTCAGAGGAACTGATCTTGATGTGGAATCCAATTTTGCAGAAAATCTCTTCTTAAATTCATCCTCAGTAGTTCCTTGGCCAACTGTAAATTCACTCAGAATGAGTGTTGGTGATCTGTTTGATTGTTGTTTGTACCAGAAGAGATAAGCATTTGTATATATGGTAGAATAATTGCACAGTAGAGTGACTTGAGCTTGTTCATTTGCAGTCATTTCTCCTGAAGGCTGTTCAACATTGTCTTGTGCCCGGCACACTGGAAAATAGATTTACATTATTCATGTGCACATATTGAGTATACACAGTACAGTGAGAACTATTAAATAACGTTCTTACCAAAAATGAAAAGAGAAATCATCACCCATTTTGCCATTGTCGATTCAAGTTAAAAAGAGATGCTGTTTAACAGAAATTTCCAGAAGTATTTTCTGTCTCTCTTTCTCTTTCTAGTTTCAGATTCTTCAAAAGGTTCAGTCTTATATGAATTTGAGGAATGATGCCTCCTTGTGGTGAGTTTGAATAGAGTTTGCTGAGCTGAACCATTTCAATTCAATTTATATTCTGACATATCAGAATTGTGATTAATGTCAGAACCAATTAATCAGAATAAATAAGAAACAAAAATGAAATTTATTGGACATGCTAGTTTGTACTATATGACGAATTTAACTTTGAGTTAAGTTTTTACTTTTCATTTCCCTTACAGTAACCACACAAACAGGTGTTTCAACAAGTGTAATTATATTATGTGAATTATAGATTGTGGGTTTGATGTGGCTTGACATCAAAGGGCAAAATTAATACGAGTTTTTGTACAGCTTCACATAGACTTTGTATCACTGGGCTCCAACTTCTTAGAGCACAGTAATAGAGAGCTGAATCTGACAGAGTTACTCCATTAATAATGAACTCAGTGGATGAATCTGATGTAGTCGACTGAAAGCGAGGATCAGAGGGGCTCCCACTTGAGGTAGCTGATCCGGCAGGTTTAAATATTAAATATTGAGGTTCTCTGTTAGTATACTGTCTGTACCAGTAAAGATAACGATAACTGTTGCTAGTGCTATATGAGCAGCTGAGAGACACAGTCTCGCCTTCCTTCTTTATGAGGCTATCTTCTTTATTTGGCTTAATCTGGTCTGCAGTCATCACACCTAAAACAATAAAAAGCGAAATCATTTGTGAGTCAATCATTTAGATAATTACCACTGAATATCACTGTAAGTAATTAAGAGTGAGATTGTACCAGAAATTAGAATTAAAATCAGAAAAAGGTGTTTTTCCATGTTTATAGGTCAGATCAGTTGTGTATTAATCTTCTCTGTGTTCTGAGCTGTAGCTTTGTGTTACTGAGTTTCTGCAGTTTCACTGATAAACACACCGGAACTGCTTTCAATGTGATGTTTTTGCTCTGCCATTCCCTACCCCTAGAGGAAAACTTTTGCAACTGCAATAAATTATACATACATTTATTTATTTAGCAGATGATTAATAGAAATATGAATAATTAATTAGCCAATAATAATATTAACAGTGCTATGATGCAAGATTTTAACGTATTAAATAGTACTGATCTAGAGAAGAGGTATATTAAACTGTATAATTATAATATTTAGCAAGGTCAATGTCACTAATTTGACAGTGACCTAAAAATAGTTCTATGAATCTTAAATCATTCTTGTTTAGTGTCATAAATATTCTTGTTTTAAACGTTTCAAAGTCTAAATACTTTATTTTCAGATTCAGGTCCCCACTGCATGCTCATGCATAAGTTAAATGTTCACTAAAGAGATGGACTTCAGGTGTTTTTGATTGTTGTGATGGTTTGAGGCTGATGTGATTGATTCAGATTTGGAAGTTCACTCCAAATACATTGAGTGTAAACGTTTTTTTGTAAGATGTTGTAACTTTATTAGACCACTAACTGGCCGTGGAGAACGAATGCTGATCCAGTTTTGATCACATGTTTCAGTCACAGTGGATAGCAGAACACACACAGTCAGAGGAACAGATCTTGATGTGGAGTCCAATGTCCAAAGGAGGAGCTAATTATCCTGTAATAAGACTTGATAATATGAATATGTGGTGCATATGGTTACCCAAAAGCATTACAAAATGAGAATCAAGTTTAATTTAAGTGGTTTAAAGGAGCTGTATGCAGGAAATTTATTTCAATTAATCATAAATTTTCCCTTATATGTCACCATATATTAAGAAATCATGTTCATTTCAAATACTTAGCCTATATCACTGACAACAGTAGTCCGGCCACGATATTGTATTTAAAAAGTGAATTCGCAGCCTTTGACTGATGTTGATGTTGTTAAGTTGTGCTTTATTCTGTTTATTATTGTTTTGTTTATTCAGTAGTGTTGCAAAATTCAGGTTGCCAGCTCTTCTAGTTACCACAGCTGCAGATTCCAACGTGTCGGATAAAATAATTCTAACGTTGCAAAACCCCCAAAAACTCGATATGAATCCGAAATACTTTGTTACAAATTACGAATTAAATAATTAACAGATAAAAAAAAACTTGCAATTGGAATCTTCTTGTAGCAGCCTACATTCCTGCTGGAACCTGCAGCATATCTGGTAACCTCGAGTCAATTTGAAATTGATTGCAGTATCAGTTTTGGCTACAATCTTGCATACAGCTCCTAAAGTCTGGTGTTTCTTCTCTCTCTGCATATTTTTTTATTTTATTTTTTTTTATTTTTTTTATGCAGGTAGATGTTGCATTGTGAAATATCTTTCACTTACAGCACATATAATGGCTGTAATGTTGGGTTTGAACAAAGTTATTATCTAATTTCAAACATGGGACTTTAAATGTGTTCTATATGTCTGAATTGGCAATTTGGGAATATGATTCTTTTGATTGTTATGTGTTTCAGTCTGTTAAGTAGAAGGCATAAATGCCTTTTAGTTGTGTCAGGTTTTTGTACAGTGTTCTAGTGTTTCCTGTGACTGTGGGCTCCAGAGCACAGTAATACACAGCAGAGTCTTTCAGAGTAGCAGAGGAGATCTCCAGATTCACATGGCTTTGTTGTTCTTTTCTGATCTCAGAAGTGAATCTGGAATCTACATAAGACTTCTTAGCTTCTTTTGCACTGTCTAAGATGAGCACAAGGAATTCAGGAGCTGATCCGGGATACTGACGGTACCAGTGAAGAATATATGCAGAGGAATAACTGCAGGATAATGTAACACTTGAACCCTCGACAGCAAACTCCTCCGTTTCGGTTGGTTTAATTTCATTTTCATATGTTACATCTGCAAAAGTAGATCAAATATTTAATGAACTGGTGGTTCAATTAAAGGAATACACTTCATACGTGACAAGTATTCTGGATCCAGAATCCATATTAATTGCTGTAGATGAAAAACACAAAACATTTTATTACTTACATGCAAAGGCAGAAAGCAGAATGATAGAATGGAGTATCATTGTGTGCGTTTCTTATCGTCTGTCTTAAGTTTAACAATATCTCACCAAATATCAATGCTTTAAACCCTCCCTCTTCCAGAGAGCTCTTGGAGAGAGCAGATCAGTTTCATGTTCATCGTCCAGTGTCATCACTACTGCAATATCGAATAGCACCCTCTTGTGGTTATTTACAATCTCTGTCATATTATTTAAATCCACAGATCTCAACCTACAGAATATAATCTGCCTTATTTTGGTCATACTTTGGCTGTTACAGTATTTTAGATACATTAACCATCAGCAGATATACTCTGTTTAGATGTGCATATGTACACAGCAAAAGTTTAGGGATTTATTTTTAGTGGTTTTGTAAAGTTGGGACAGCATTGTACAGTGTGAATAAATATAAATAATAGTATTAAGAAAAATAAGCACTACTTCAATAGTTTTCACCTTCAGATATTTATTTATACATTATGGATTCAAAATCTACTTTAAATTCAGGTAGATTTTTTATGGTAGGGAATTAGTTGTGCACCTTCGGCTGTGACAGGTTTTTGTACAGTGTTGATGTGTTTCCTGTGACTGTGGTCGCCAGAGCACAGTAATACACAGCAGAGTCAGACACGCTCACATCCTGGATTTTCAGAGGAAATGATTTTGAAATTGTGTTGAGATCGGCGTTAAATCTACCCTTGAACTGATTTTCATTAGTACCGAATCTGTCCAGCATGTATTCTGCAAATCCATTTACTTTTTGCTGGTACCATAAGACATTTCGTAATACATCAGTGGTTTCATATTGACAGTTGATTGTGACAGCTGATCCTTCAACAGCAGTTTGAAATCTTGTAGTTTGTTCAACACTGTCCAGAGAATCACATCCTGTAATGTATAATATCACTGATGAGGATCTCATATTCATATTAGAGGAATATTAGAGCATGTATACTTAAATAATTTGACTTACCCCAGAAATATGTGAGAAAGAAGACTACAATTTTGTACCAATTTTCCATCACAATAATTGTTAAATAATACTTGAGATAAAAAATTAAAGAAAAATGTTTTGAAATCTACAGTAGACTCTTGTTTCAGTCTGTCTTTGATAAAGTTGTGCTAACGCTGTCACACATGCAGAAAACTGCAGGAGGAGTCTGACTGCACCTGTTCCTGAATATTAAATATCTCCTCCTCCTTAATGATTATTCTGACTGAGTATATTTTTAGTAGGGCTGTGCAAAAATTAATTGCGATTAATCGCATCCAAAATAAAAGTCTGTGTTTACATAATATATTTGTGTGTGCTGTATATAATTATTTTGTATATATAAATACACACACATGCATGTATATATTTAAGAAAATGTGCTATTCATATATAAAATATTTATATTTATATAATATAGATTATGCATTTATATATATATATAGAGAGAGAGAGAGAGAGAGAGAGAGAGAGAGAGAGAGAGAGAGAGAGAGAGAGAGAGAGAGAGAGAGAGAGAGAGAGAGAGAGAGAGAGAGAGAGAGAGAATTTAAGCGCAAATAATTCTTAAATATATACATGCATGCATGTATTTATATATACGAAATAATTATATACAGCACACATATATTATGTAAACACAGACTTTTATTTTGGATGCGATTAATCGCGATTAATTCTTGCACAGCCCTAATTTTTAGACTTGTCAATGTTCTGATGTTTGTTTTATCAGTCTCTTCACAGTTTTTCGTTCAAGCACAGATCCAAATTTCTCTAGAAGATGGAGCACTTAACATTATTGTACTTGGGTAAATTATTTGAAGAAACTCTGAAAAATATCAGACCTGTACCATTAAAAGATTATATGTAATGTTGCTCAACTACTATTGTTTTTTTCTATAATTTAATTACTATTGAGAATTGATTCATTATGTCTATACATTTGTCACCAATATATGTAAGAGAAGAGACATGTATTTTTGCATGAGTGTTGAGTGTGTTTGAGTCACAGTGGGCTTCAGAGCACAGTAATACACAGCAGAGTCAGACACACTCACATCCTGGATTGTCAGAGGAACTGATCTTGATGTGGAGTCCAATGTTGCTGAAAATCTCTTCTTAAAATCAGGCTCAGTAGTTCCTTTCCCAACTGTAAATTCACTCAGAATGAATGTTGGTGATCTGTTTAGTAGTTGTTTGTACCAGAAGAGATATGCATTTGCAGAACTCGTGATTGTATAATTACACAGTAAAGTCACTTGATTTCCCTCAGCTGAAGTCTTTTCTCTTAAAGGTTGATCAACATTGTCCTGTCCCCGGCACACTGAGGAGATGAAGCATACATTAACAACCATATACAGATATACTCAAATAAATAAAGTGTAGGCTAAATGATGAAAGACTGTTCTTACCTAAATCGTGTGCTGTAAAGAAAAGAGTAATTATTGCCCATTTTGACATTGTTGCTCGGACTGAGTTGAAGAGTGTGAGAGAAAAACAACTAATGCGAGTCTCTCCTTATGGTGAATCTCTATATCCTTAGATTCTCTTGATATTACCAGCAACTGCACAGTCACACCAAAATTTAAGAGGTACTTCCCCCTAGTGGTGAATTCATTGAATTAACCACCTCAGTGTTTTGTAACCTTTGGAATAATTTGTGATTATTTATTTATTTAAACCAAAGAGTGCAGTGTCCCTTTTTGTACAAATTATGCATACTATGACATTATTGTTTAAAAAGATGTTGCATTGAATACATCTCTATGTTGAGATATACAGTAGATGAGATGACAGGATAATGTGATTTTCAATCAAACATCTCTGTTTCTCTTAGTATTTTTAGATTCTTTATTAGGTTCAACCTTATAAGAGTATGAGTAATAGCAAATTTGCTGAGCTGGACAGTCTACATTACATATTTTCATGTTGTCAGCAAAGGTTTCTTAATTTGTGTTTGTAATTTATTCTTAAAATATGTTTGTTAATCGTTTGTGATATGTCCACATCTATGATAAAAAAAAAACACTTTACAATAAGGTTCACAAGATCAATATCACAAATTTGATAAGGGACTTTTAAATCTTATTTTATTTTTTGTCATACTTCTTGTTTTATTATTTTTAAAGTGTGACTACTTCAAGGTCTAAATTAATATCTGAATCCCAGATTCACCGCAGGACATGAATGCTGATCCAGTGACATGTTTTGAACAGACGTTATTATCTATTTCATGTTTTTGTATGAGTGTGGAGTGTGTTTGAGTCACAGTGGGCTGCAGAGCACAGTAATACACAGCAGAGTCTGACACACTCACATCCTGGATTGTCAGAGGAACTGTTTTTGATGTGGAGTTCAATGTTGCAGAAAATCTCTTCTTAAATTTATCCTCAGTAGTTCCTTTCCCAAAGGAAAATTCACTCAGAATGAATGTTGGTGATCTGTTTGATAGTTGCTTGTACCAGTAGAGATAAGCATTTGTAGCTGTGGTAGCGTAATTGCACAGTAGAGTGATTTGATCTTGTTCATTTGCAATCATTTCTCCTGAAGGCTGTTCAACATTGTCTTGTCCCTGGCACACTGAAAAAAAAAGATTAAAATGTATAGTTTACATACTGTATATTGAGTAGTATAACTAAAAGAGATACTTAGGTGTAATTGATTGTCTTTCTTACCAAAGTCCTGTGTTGTGAAGAAAAGAGTAATAATAATCAGTTTTTGCATTGCTGAGATATAGATTATTTTAATATATTCTAATAAATGTGTCTCTCTGTCTTCACTGTAGCTCTCTGTTTCCTCTCTGTTGCTCTTCTCTTGATATTTTCAAGTCTTCAAGTAGGTCCTCACATGCACAGTTGATGGCACTTTTAAAAGATGCTGCCCCCCAGTGGTGAAATTATGTATTTCTAACACATTACCATTTTATATTTACATTTTGTAGAAGTGGACATACAGAGGATGCACTTTTTGAAATAATGCCATAGGGCTAGATTTACTAACGTGCACTAGCACAAACCCGCTTTGGCATTAAAAAAATGTCAGAATTTACTAAGACATGCAGTGAAAATTTTATAGTGAAATGCTGTGGACAGTTATTTTTGCAGCTGACCTCATTGCATACATGTGCTTTTAGAGGAGCTTTCCTTTCAGATGCAAAATTTATGTGGGGAGAGTATTTAAATAAATCATACAATGTGATGTAGGCTAAGGTTTCCCGTTGTTGTCAGTTTACTGGTATTTGCACTATTATTAGATGCAGGAAAAAGCATGTCTTGACCCATTTTGTGTTTGAAATGGCTGTGTTTGTGTTCTTAAATTTGCGTGTTGTTGTCAGTAAATCACCCACATACTAACATACAGTAAATGGGCTTGGGTGCCGCGTAGCATTCTGGGGTGCCGTGGCGTCCATGTTGACAGCTTCGAGAATGTAAACATACAGCAAGTCAAATAAGGAGAAGCAGCAGAAATGAGAGAAAGAAAAGAAAAAAAAGATGTTAAAATCCCTTGGATGTGTAATTTCAACGCATTCTCATCCTTTAACGTCATATAGAGCGCTATATGACAAAACGGCGCTATACTACGCTAAAGGCACCCGTTATCGTTAATATAACACGTGCTGTGAGGGCTAAGTTTAGGTGTGGGGTAGGGTGTACGTGTCATATTCACGCTAAAGGATTTCTAACGTCTTGGGTTCGCGTGTTATATTAACGATAACGGGTGCCATGTGCGTAGTATAGCGCCGTTTTGTCATATAGCGCTCTATATGACGTTAAAGGATGAGAACGGGCTGGTAATTTACAGGGATACGTTAAATAGGGAAGCCAGGGATGGACAAAAGTATGTGGTATGTGGACAAAATCTGACCTTTAACGGTTTGGATCCATATGAAATTTCCCCAAAAAAGTGGGAGCACACATGCGCTCCGCCTAGCTGCTAGTTTAGTAACAGTTAGTGTTAACAGACATTCACACATGTGATGTAACGTACTTTTAACTATGTGTTTTAAAAGTGTAGTTAGTTAGTAGCTCTTTTAACAGGATCAGTACAGAGACTGACAGGTTCGATGGAAGCGGTGGGCCTAACGTTAATGTAATGAGTATTAAAATACGGGATATTTTACAGGAAAATACTAAAACGGGAAGATGGCAGGGAAAAGAGCTCAAATATGTGAGAAATTGATGAACAATAATAATATACTTTTAATGACAGCCCATTCTCACTCCCAAGGCGTCACCTAACTGACGCCTTGGGAAGAATTTGGACATGCTTCAATATCTGACGCTTTAGGCGCCCTTTAGCGTCAGTTAGATGACGCCCTAGGATCGCGTGTACCCTACCCCCACCCCACACCTAAACCTAACCGCGTCCTCTAACTGACGCTTTCCTTTAGCGTCAGTTAGATGACGCCGTAGGATCGCGTCATGTAAGTGACGCTAAAGGGCGCCTAAAACGTCAAATATTGAAGCATGGTCAAAGGTGACGCCTTGGGGTGAGAATGCGTTGTTAATAAACACAAAGAGTGATAGCATAGACACATACATAACGATAGGTGGATTGGTACCGCAAAAGCGTTTCAAAAGCATACAGAGCCGTCTGCTCTCTTATCGCTCTCGCGGTACTGTGATCAGTCTTTCCAGTGCCGCTTCCAGTCGAACACACCTAGAACATGACTGTGACATCAGGTGTTTGCAGACATTTGAGGTAATACAATGAAATGAAATAAATCAGCAGGTGTCACAGTTAAAAACAGAACAGAAGCCACAGGTCTTCATCAACACTGATGATCAGTTGCACTTTCATAACGCTTTGTAGTCAATAATAATAATCTCTTACATTACCATACGCAGGTGTTGCATGAAATATTATGGGTAGTGGTTATGTTCAAAATGAAAAATGAATTTGAGTTTGTGTACAGCTTCACGTAGACTTTGTATCACTGGGCTTGCTACTCTTAGAGCACAGTAATAGAGAGCTGCATCTGACAGCGCCAGATCATTATTAATGAGTTCAGTGGATGATTGGGAATGGGATACACCGGCCTGAGTCATTAAATACTGAAGCTCTCTATTAGGATACTGTCTGTACCAGTAAAGTCTAACAGAACTGCTGCTTGTATCATATGAGCAACTCAGTGTCACAGACTCTCCTTCTCTCATGATGAGACTTGAACCCATATTTGGCCAAATCAGGTCCTCGGCTATCACACCTGCAAACATGAACGGACAGAAATGCGTTACAAACATCATGCATATAACTGATAGACTTTCAAATTGAATTCTCTATATTACTAATGTAGTGGAAAAGTTTGGTTCCTACTGGACATAATTAAAATCAAACTCAGGTGTTTTTCCATGATATGATAAAAAGATGATATGGGTTTGTTGGAGCTCTCAGCTCTGTTCTGCAGGCCAGTGCCTTACAGTGACTCTGATATTCGGTCTTTGGCACTAAAGCACTTCCTGCTCTCTGTGAAATACGAAATACTGCCCTGCATTTGCATGTCTATCTACCGGTACTCTGATGATGTGTTTCATCAGATTTGTGCAGCCCAAGAAAAGTTAACAATGCGTTAAGTGGACAAATTCCTTGTTTTTGTAAGACACTTCCGATTCAAGAAACCATTCACCCAAAATTGACAACTCTACCATTATTTATTTATTCATTTGTTATTATGAGTAATATCATAATAGTGAAAACTATTACTTTAATCATATTCCCTAAAATCATTGTGATTTGTGTCCAGCTAAAAATGTAAATGTAAATATTATTTAGTGTGTAACATATTCATTAAGTGTAATTTATGTAACTGTGCTTTTAATTTATGATCTTTTTGGCACATTAGCAGTGAGATCTTCTCTGACAATATATTTATTGTGCTGTTTATAAAATCTGGTAGGAACTGGTCAGTAGAGCTGCCTGTTTTTAGGTGAAAGTGAGGCACATGAGATCATATGGGCTTCAGAGCACAGTAATACACATCAGAGTCAGACACACTCACATCTTGAATCATCAGTGGAACGGTTCTTGATGTGGAGTCCGATGTTGCAGAAAATCTTGTCTCAAAAATAGGTTAAGTGAATCCTTTTCCATAGATTAATTTGCTCAAAATGAACTTTGGTGATCTGTTTGGCAACTTTTTGCACCAGAGGAGATACCCAGCACACTGAAAACACATTTAACCATTTTTTTATTTATTTTTTTTACAATTTTTATTTTCTTTTTTTATTAATGAGTAACTTATACATTAATGTTTATGTATAATTATTGAATGCTCTACCAAATATGCAGTGTTTAGTGAAGAATAGAGCTTTTTTTCAGCCAGTTTGTCGTTGTGCTTTATAGAAAGAGAGTTTAACTGTGCATGTCTTTCTCATGAATGTCAAGTCTTATGTAGCAAAGCCTTCAATATGAATATGAGAGATGCTGCCACCTTGTGGTCACATAAACTGATTCACACTGAAAATACACTTTATTTAAAAGGCAGTGTTTAAGTACATTGTCTGTTTTTGACTTAGAATAATGTTTCCTCAAGGCCTAATGTAGATTTTTTCTGTTCTTTGTTCAGTTGCTGTATAGGCTAAGGAGCCCTGCTCATGCCATGCAGGAAAAATATGTCATGGCCACAAATAATAATTTGTTCTTACAAATTACAACGTCAGCGAATTTTACTAATTTGTTACCTAAAGTATGCGCACAATAGAATAATTCTTAATAGTTACCTTGTTTTACTAAATTGTGCGCATGATAAAATTTGTTCTCTTGTTTCACTAAATCGTGGCTTATTTAGACAAATCAAAATGCTGGAAATCATTAGTATAACGTGACCACAATTTAATAAATCGAGAGAACTGTTATATTGTGCACTTGATAGACTTAAAACGAGGGAATTAATTGGTAGTAGGCCTAAATAGGCTACTAAAACAAGAGAATGATTTCTTAATTCATTGCCACTATATATACTTCCTTGTATAGCACTTTTTTGTATGAGTGTTGAATGTGTTTGAGTCACAGTGGGCTGCAGAGCACAGTAATACACAGCAGAGTCTGACACACTCACATCCTGGATTGTCAGAGGAACTGATCTTGATGTGGAGTCCAATGTTGCAGAAAATCTCTCCTTAAATTCATCCTCAGTAGTTCCTCCACCAAATGTATATTTATTTAGAATAAATGTTGGCGATCTGTTTGGTAGCTGTTTGTACCAGAAGAGATAGGGATTTGTATCAGTTGTAATATAATTACACCTTAAAATAACTTGATCTCCATCACTTGCAGACATTTCTCTTGAAGACTGTTCAACTTTGTCTTGTCCCGAAGACACTGGAAAAATACAATGAATGAGCCAGGGGTCATACAATTAAACTCACAGCCTGATGTATTATCTCTCTGTATATATTAACATCCGCTTTCCATTAAATGCATGTTTGTTTCCATGTATGGAAAGAGGTCTGGGCCAGCACACAGTGAAACAACCAATAACAATAGGCTAAAAAATCATTTACATGAAGTATCAGTACAGTAAACACAATTAATTTAGTAACCTAAACAGAAGTAAATATTGTTCTGTTAAAAATGTACCAGAACAGAAAAAAAGAGCTTACCATCATAATGTGCTGTGAGACACAGGGAAATCAAAGCCCATTTAAACATAGTTGTTCTGTGCTGTGAAAGAGCAGAAAGAACTGTGCTTTCTGTGCTTCTCACAGCTCTGCTTTAAATGTTTTCATCCTGTCAGTTGATATAATCATGCACAAAGAGAGCAATGTTGACCCCTTGTGGATAAAGTTTGAACTTGTTAAACCTGATATTATTTCGTAAACCCTGAACAATTCTTTATAATGGTAAAATTGGTAAAATAAAATGTATACTTATCTCTCTGTATGTTATAAGGCTTTTGTACTGGATATACCCTGGAGCATTATTTTATTTTATTTTTTTTCAATAATCTGAACATTTTTTTAATCAAAAAAGGGGCAAGTATGTAACAAATCGCAAATTAAATATGTATCAAATGCAAATTAAAACAGGTTTTATTCAGCTTTTATAACTTCCTTAATCTTTTAAACAACTGAGAAGATGATGATCAAACAATTTATAATAAACGGAGCAATTCCAGGAGGGTCCTCACACCTATGGCCGTAAAGATCAATGTCAAGTTTATGTTACATCAATTAACATATGAAAAACAAATTGGAAGACTACAGAGACTCATCTCAAGATCACTCATTTAACTGTGTATCTATTGCAAAAAATATGAAAAATTTCAAGAACAGAAAATTAGCAGGAAAGTACGAATCAGACGCAATGGTTTTGGGGGTTATAGGAGGGTTGGGGATTATTTCTGAAGAGGGTGTGACTTCTTTTGTGTATTGACAACTTTTATACATTTCTGACATGTTTTAGACAAACACTTTTTCACTTACAGTATTAATGCATTTGCATTAAAAAAAAAGCTCAAAATTGCATGCAGCTTCTTGGTATACTGTATACTGGATGCGATCTGGGAATAATTCAAGATTCAAGGGTCCCACTTCTCCTGAACTATCGAAGACCATTGATTCCTCATCCAGAGCAGAAGCAGGTTTTTGTACAGTGTTCTAGTGTTTCCTGTGACTGTGGGCTGCAGAGCACAGTAATACACAGCAGAGTCTTTCAGAGTAGCAGAGGAGATCTCCAGATTCACATGGCTTTGTTTTTCTTTTCTGATCTCAGTAGTGAATCTGGAATCTACATAAGATTTCTCGGGGTCTTTTGCATTGTTTGAGATAAGCACAATGAATTCAGGAGCTGATCCGGGATACTGACGGTACCAGTGAAGAGTATATGCAGAGGAATAACTGCAGGATAATGTAACACTTGAACCCTCGACAGCAAACTCCTCTGTTTTGGCTGGTTTAATTTCATTTCCATATGTTGCATCTGTAAAAAATAGATACAATCTTTAATGAACTGGTGTTTTAAATTGAATCAGTAATTTTAGACGTACCAGCATAAAATACAATATACTGCACAAAATAATAGACTTTATACTTAATTTTGAGCAGAAATTAGCAATTCTGGCTGCTCAGAATACTTAAACAATGCTTTAACACTTACATGCAAATGCAGAAAGCAGAATGACAGAATGGAGTATCATTGTGTTTGTTCCTTATCCTCTGTCGAACAGACTCTCTAACAGACGCTTAACAAGATCACATCAGATGTCAAAGCTTTAAACCCTCTCTCTTCCAGAGAGATGAATGAAAGAGCAGATCAGATCATAGTCCATACAGTGTCATCACTATATGCTATAGTGCATAGCTCCCTCTTGTGGTTACTTACTAACTTGTACAGCATAAATGCTCAGAACACAAACCGAATGTTATCTGGATTCATTCCTCAAGCTTTGGTTGTTAATAGTTATAGTGTAGATCTATAAATCAGGTATTCATTTTATGGCCTTGTTCAGTCACCAGCTCACTACAGCTTAGACACAAAAAAGCAAATTAAATTGTTTTTAAAACAGCAACTAGTCCAACACATTCTCATCCCAAAAAGTCATATAACTGACGTTTTAGGACGTCTTTTGACCATACGTCAATATTCGCCTTTTTGGGGCCCCCTTAAACGTCGCTAGATGGCGATCCCGGGCCGTCATACAACTGACGCTTTACCTTTAACGTCAGTTAGGTGACGGGTTAGGTTTAGGGTTAGGTTTAGGTCTGGGGTAGAGTTAGGATCCCATAACCTCATCTACCGACGTTTAAGGGGGCCCTAAAAAGGCGAATATTGACGTATGGTCAAAAGACGTCCCAAAACGTCAGTTATATGACTTTTTGGGGTGAGACTGCGCTGCAGTTTGGAGAACAACCTAAGATTGCAGTGTGTACGAATTGTGTTTAGTAAATAAATTAAAAAAAATCATGATCTATCATACTCATATCACTGCTGATAGTTTTCATCCTTATAGAGTAATACAGTATGAAATGATAATCTACCATTTATTCAGACTTATGGAAAGGAATTAGTTGTACACCTTCAGTTGTGTCAGGTTTTTGTACAGTGTTCTAGTGTTTCCTGTGACTGTGGGCTCCAGAGCACAGTAATACACAGCAGAGTCTTTCAGAGCAGCAGAGGAGATCTCCAGATACACATGACTTTGTTTTTCTTTTCTGATCTCAGTAGTGAATCTGGAATCTACATAAGACTTCTGAGGGTCTTTTGCACTGTTTGAGATGAGCAAAATGAATTCAGGAGCTGATCCGGGATACTGACGGTACCAGTGAAGAGTAAATGCAGAGGAATAACTGCAGGATAATGTAACACTTGAACCCTCGACAGCAAACTCCTCTGTTTTGGCTGGTTTAATTTCATTTCCATACGTTGCATCTGCAAAAAAAATAGATCAAATATTAAGTGGTGTTTTATATTGAATCAGTAATTTTAGACGTACCAGCATAAAATACAAAATACTGCTCAAAATAATAGACTTTATACTTAATTTTGAGCAGAAATTAGCAATTCTGGCTGCTCAGAATACTTAAACAATGCTTTAACACTTACATGCAAATGCAGAAAGCAGAATGACAGAATGGAGTATCATTGTGTTTGTTCCTTATCCTCTGTCGAACAGACTCTCTAACAGATGCTTAACAAGATCACATCAGATGTCAAAGCTTTAAACCCTCCCTCTTCCAGAGAGCTGAATGAAAGAGCGGATCAGATCATAGTCCATACAGTGTCATCACTATATGCTATAGTGCATAGCTCCCTCTTGTGGTTACTTACTAACTTGTACAATATAAATGCTCAGAACACAAACAGAATGTGATCTGGATTCCTCAAGCTTTGGTTGTTATACTGTAGATCTATAAATCAGGTATTTTATGGCCCTGTTCAGTCACCAGCTCACTACAGCTTAGACACAAAAAAGCTAATTAAATTGTTTTTAAAACAGTAACTAGTCAGTGGTTTGGAGAAAATCCTAAGATTGCAGTGTGTACGAATTGTGTTAAGTAAATAAATAAATAAAAAAAATCATAATCTGTCATACTCATATCACTGCTGACAGTTTTCATCCTTATATACTAATATAGTCTGAAATGATAATTCAGATTTATGGAAAGGAATTAGTTGTACACATTCAGTTGTGTCAGGTTTTTGTACAGTGTTCTAGTGTTTCCTGTGACTGTGGGCCTCAGAGCACAGTAATACACAGCAGAGTCTGTCACTTCAGCGGAGGAGATCTCCAGATCCACATGTGTTTGTTCCCCTTTAGTGAGTTTAACAGACAGTCTTGGATCTACATCAGACTTTTTGGTGATTGTTGTACCATCAAAGATGAGCACAATAAATTCAGGAGCTGATCCGGTATACTGACGGTACCAGTATAGATAATCGGCAGAGGAATAACTGCAGGATAGTGTAACATTTGAACCCTTCTCAGTAAAATGCTCTGTTTTCTTCGGTGTGATGTTTCCAAACGCAGCACCTGAAAAAGAAATACGGAAAAGGTACATTTTTAATTATTTTTGTTTTAATTAAACTCATCATTAACAATGTATAATACATATAGTGTAAGTATACATACATGCCAGACTGTATATGAGAATAACTGAATAAATCTCCATTGCACATTCCACTGTTCACTTTAAGATGATTCAGACTGAATTGTTTCTACAGTCTGTATATCAGATTGTGTCATATCTGTGTAGTCCCTCCTCTCTGAGATACATCATAAGTTTTACATTTCATACCTGAGGAACAGATCAAATATCCAGTTTCACTCATGCTTTTGTCAGTATTTTTCTTGTATTACAGCAAAAATGCATGATCATTATTTAATTATTTAAAAATAAATAAAGTATAGCACAATTTAATTTCTGTCAATTTTAAACCTCTTATTATCCAATGTCAGTTACTTAAATTTATATATTTTTTTTAATATATTTTATATATTTTTTATATATTGTACTATTAATCTTAATCAAAAATATATAGATTGATAAAAGACATTTAATATTGTATTGATAATATTTATTTATTATATTCATGTGGCAAAACATGAAGTTTTTAATGTAAGGGTCTGGCAAATAAAACACTCTAATGCATCTTATTAGATTTTAAATGCTCTTAATGTTCATAATTTTGCCTCGTCGCATGTGTCAGGTTTTTGAACAGTGTTCTAGTGTTTCCTGTGACTGTGGGCTGCAGAGCACAGTAATACACAGCAGAGTCTGACACTTCAGCAGAGGAGATCTCCAGATCCACATGATTTTGCTTTTCTTTGTTGTGTTTTGCAGAGAATCTGGGATTTACATCAGACTTTGAATCTTCTTTTGTTCCATATACGATGCTTACAAGTAATTCAGGTGCTGATTGTGGGTACTGACGGTACCAGAATAAAGTCAGTGCAGAGGAATAACTGCAGGATAATGTAACACTTAAACCATCGACAGCAAACTCTTCAGTTTTGGTCGGTCTAATTTCATTTCCATACGTGGCACCTGTAAAAGTAAATCAGCTTTTAATCCTCAATGATTTTAATCTATTTATATTGACTCAAGTGTGATCAGTGTTTTTTTTTTTCAATTAATACCACCACACTAATTAAAGCTCCTCACATTGTGGTTGTTTAGAATATTTAGATGCAGAACAAGAAAATGAAATACTTACAAAGAGTGGCAAAGAGTGGAATAATAGATAGGAGCACCATTGTCTGTGTTCACTGTAACAGACTCTGAAGGGGTTTCACAAGATCACAGGTGTCAGTGCTTAAAGACACACCTCTACCAGTGGAAATATAACTCAGACTTTGAATGTCTTGAAAGGGAAAATAATTTGAACGTAATGGGGATAATTTTTAAAAATATTTTTTAAAGAAACTATGGTGACACTTTATTTTAAGGTACTTATAATAAGCAGTAATTAACAGTTAATATGCCACTTATAAGCCACTTATAACTCATGTAACTTCTGAGGACGATTCGTTTCCCTTTTGCCGTTCTACTCAATCGTGACACCGACGAGTCGCACGACAGTTACAGCCAGGGTGTAGAGTGTAGACTCCATCCCCTGGGGTCCAGCTGGGTCATGACCACTCCGGGGCCGCTCAGTTGCCTTTCCGGGTTCGTCTTGTGCTTTAATTAACCCTTATATGAAGTAGTTAATTCTTATATGCATCTTATAAGGTCTTATAAGTGTCTTATAAACTGTTAATTACTGCTTATTACAAGCACCTTAAAATAAAGTGTTACTGAAACTATTTTTTAAATGACCATGACAGCAAATATTAGGGACTCATTTCTGCTTCGAGGGCAGTCAGACACATGAAGGTTTTGAAATGTAGTTTTTTGTGGCATCATCTGTTGTAATGAATAAATGCAAAACAGCAAACTTCCTCAGCGTAGGTTCGGGTGTACTCTGATAACTGTAAAGAGCAGCATATATTTTACTATGATGGGATTGGGAAAGATCTAAAAAATAAATGGTAGAAAAAAATATGAAAATATGCTGAAATTATTTGCTGTTATGTATCGTTTGTTATTGTTGTAATTATATTATATTAGTGTATAAATAATGTTAACATTAATTAGAAGGCAATCAGTACTTCTATAGTGCAGGACTGATTTCAAAAATCATGACACATGATTTATTGTTGAGGAAGTTTTTGTACAGTGTAGATGAGTTTCCTGTGACTGTGGGCGTCAGTGCGCAGTAATACAGTGCAGAGTCTGACACTTCAGCAGAGGAGATCTCCAGATACACAACATTTTTGTCCACTTTTGGTAAAATGCGAGGAGGAAGAGGGTCACTCGTGGTTCCTTGTGGGTAAATCCAAGCCAGGAACTCTGGTTTGGATCTGGAATATTGGCGATACCAGTGCAAATTAGTTATGCTTCCTTCATATTTACAGGAGAGAATGGCTTTTTGTCCCACAGATGCAAGTGTCCTGTTTGCCTGTGGTGTTATTGACTGTGCCATTGTGTCACCTGAAACCATAAAATATAAAACATTTCATCAAACTGAATTTGTTTCATTAACGTTAAAGCATTAAACAAAAGTATATCTTAAAATATTGTTTTTACAAATGTCCAAAAGTAATGAGTAAACTTCACTTACTTTTAATCTGCAATACCAGAAGAAGAGTGCAAAGAATCATCATGTTTGCTCTGTGAGAAGTTTAATGATCACTTTGCTTTTACTCAAACCCACACGAGCTCCTCCTATATACAGTCAGTGTAACAGAATGAGAAGCACTGACATAAACAGTGTGATCAATATTTGATATGAAACAAATCTAGAAATCTAGTTTTTTCACAACATGCAGTTTATTGTATTGCTATTTTTAATATATATTTTTCATTTCAGTTGACATTTATTATATTTCAAGTAACAAAAATGTATTTTTATGATTTTAGTAATATCCCTGCTTTGAAGAGCTGAATGATGAGTGTATATCGCCCTCTTCTGGTGACTAAAGGGTTTCATATTATAGCAAGTGCATTATTTGACAGAAATGTGCAATGAAATGCGATTTCTGCTCATATAATAAATTATGATGTTCTTATGATTTGATTCTTATGATTCATAATACATTTATAGTAAAACCAAATACGTTCAACTTGTGTTTTTAAATGCGTTAACCGGTAAGTTAATGTCAAATATAAAAATTGGGTAAATTGATTTATGATATGAAGTGGAATAGTTTAAAATAGACTTAATCCAAAGACAAATCAAGAATATTTAATTTAGGACTGTATTTGCAAGATTTTCGAGAGTGTTTGAGTCACAGATGACGCTATTATATTTTTGCAGTGTTTGTCTTGTTGCTATCCATTTGTTCTGTATGTTGCTGTGGACTTTAAGATGACATAGATACAGGTCAGATGATGAAATAAATTCAATGCAAACTTAAACTGTAATATCAATTTCATGTCCATATACTGTATTAATCTATACATGGTTGACTATATTATATCTTACTTAGTAGATTGACTGGGCTAAATAGCATGTAAAAGTTGTCCCTTTGTGTAATTGAACTGCAACACTGTCAATCAGGTTTTTGTACAGTGTTCTAGTGTTTCCTGTGACTGTGGGCACCAGAGCACAGTAATAGACAGCAGAGTCTGACACTTCAGCAGAGGAGATCTCCAGATCAACACGTTTGATCGCTTTTGTAGCTTTTGAATACAGACGAAGATCAGGCTCAGATGAACTTGAATATTCAGTGACAAAAAGTAAAAATTCTGGTTTTGCTCCAAGGTACTGGCGATACCACTGGAGAGAGTTAACATTGCCAGTAGTGGCACTGTAGTTACAAGAGAGAGTCACATTTTTACCCACAACAACATGCTTTTCTGAAGACAATGGTCGAATTGTATCAGCAAAAACAGTTCCTGCGAAAAAGAAAAGTCTAAATTAGTCAAGCAATTAAATAATATACCAGAGCCTTCTGTTATATTACGTTTACTGTATAATATAGATAACAGTTATTAATAATAAACATATTGAATGAATATTTCTTACCCATAAAAAGTTGTATTATTATCCAGGCAAAGAGAAACATGATGTCTTCAGGGAGACAGTGATGGAATAGATTGTTTGAATTTGAATAACCTGTCTCTCAGTCTCAACCGTCTGTGTGAATCAGCTCCACCCACTGCTGGAGGGCTTTTCTTTTTTAACCAAAGGGGAAAATAGGCTCATGTCAGAAACTGCACGCTCTTAGTTTTTGTGAAGATGTTTATAGGCATAATTTACAGTGGGCAGCAGAGCACAGTACAGCTGTGTTTATAGATACAGTACACTGAGATTCTGGATTGTGTTACATGTGTGTCCCCCATTCTTTGTGTATTTGGTTGGGTCCTGTTTCTAGTTTCCCGCTCCTCGTTTGTATTCTGTCCCTTCACCTGTGTTTGGTTAATTTTGCCCCAGCTGTGCCTTGTTCCCCTAGTCTGTTCTAGTGTATTTAAACCCTGTTTTCTCCTCACTCCTGGTCCGTTCTCGTTGATGTATAGTGTGGTTACTGTTTCCCTGGATTATTTGATTAAATTCCTGTTGACCGGTTCTCCTTGTCTCCTTGTGCTTCCTGGGCACCACACACCCGTAACAGATTGACAGAGAAACGTTTTATTTTATTTTTATTTTTTTAAGAAGATATATTAACAATGTTTCTCAGTTTGTGTAAAAGTTGACTTCGGAGAATTAACTTTTTCTTATGTTCACACGTCTAGTAATTATGTGGTTTTGGTTCAATTAATTCAGTTCATTAACATTTTAAAGGAGAACTCCACCGCAAAATGAACCTTTGGTCTAATAAAACATCAGTACCTAGTCAATCGTTCTCTGAGATTTTTCATGACAATCGAATGTAAAGAGTTTTATCTCTAAAAACCGTTTAACGTATAATGCTAGTACTGGGGGCATTTAATGAGTTAAAAGAAATCGCTAGTTAATACCAATAAGGCTCAAAATAGCCCCACAATAACACAGTAACATAATGAGGGTCCTTACATGCAAAACGAAGCATTGAGAACTTTGTAAGTGTACAGACCGTTTAATAAGAAGACAGTTCACTTCGTGTATACAGCCATCTTGGAAAACAGTCTCGACAAGTCGAACCACGAACGCTGTTCTAACAGTTCAGCTCACTTTACATGTCGTTCGTGGTTTGACTAGTCGAGACTGTTTTCCAAAGATGGTTTCACAAAGTGGACTGTCTTCATAAAGTATCTTCTTATTAAACAGTCTGTACACTTACAAAGTTATCAATGCTTCGTTTTGCATGTATGGACCCTCATTATGTTACTGTGTTAGTGTGGGGCTGTTTTGAGCCTTGTTAGTGGTATTAACTAGTGATTTCTTTTTACTTATTACATGCCCCCATTACTAGCGTTATACGCTAAACAGTTTTTAGAGATAAAACTCTTTACATTTGATTAACATGAAAACAAATCTCAGAGAACGGTCGATTAGGTACTAATGTGTTATTAGACCAAAGGTTCATTTTGTGCAACCCCAATTTTGAATACTCTCAGAGCACAATAAAAGAGAGATGAATCTGACAGACATACATCAGTAATAGTGAGTTCAGTGGATGTGTGTGATGTAGTCGACTGACACTGAGGGTCAGAGGGACTAAATACAGTATAATAAATACTGTGGTTATCTGTTTGGATACTGTCTGTACCAGTACAGCCGAACTAATACTTGTATTATGTGAGCAGCTCAGCTTGACAGTTTCTGTTTCACTTGAGTTTTTTCTGGACCTTTATCTGGCCCAATGTTGTTTCCAGTCAACAATAAAAAGTGTTTTCTTTTTTTATTTGTGATAGCTAGCTAGGTCAAAATAATATTGCAAACACATTTCACAGCACTTACAAAACACACACACACACACACACACACATTTCCTCTGATTTTAATGAACATGGAAATATTAACTGATGGAACTATATAATTTTTTAGCAAGCGTTTAGGCTATATATTATATATCCATAATTTGGAAAAAGCAAGAGTTCTGAATATATTCTCTATATATTATGATAATTTGAGATATTTTAATGTTTTTGTTACATTTTTATTGAATTATGTCTAATTGAATTGTCTCTGATGTGTTTCTTACAGGTTTTTGTATTGAGCTGATGTGTTTCCTGTGACTGTGGGCTGCAGAGCACAGTAATACACAGCAGAGTCTGATACTGTAGCAGAGGAGATCTTCAGATGCACTTGGATTTGTTCCTTTTTTTCAACTTCAACAGAAAATCTTGGATCTACATCAGACACCTGAGCTTCTTTTGGACTTCCAAAGGTGAGTACAAGAAATTCAGGTTTTGATCTTCCATACTGACGATACCAGTGAAGATAATCTGTCCCTCCGGGCGAAAGACTACATAATAATGTAACACTTGAACCCTCCTCATAAGCAACATATGTTTTGTTTGGCTCGAAGACATTTCCAAAAACAGCAGCTGAAAAACAAACAAACATTTGTTCATTTTTTGTGAGCGATTTTAAATAAAACCCATTAATATATTAAAAAAATAATATCCAAAGTAACCAAATAAACTCACCTGCTGAGAACAGAATAAATGACAGAAGATCCATTGTTCACTGCGTGAAGAGTCAGACTGAATCGTTTCATCCACAGACTCTTTCAGACACGATGAGATCATGTCAGATCTGTGAACTCTGAGTCCCTCCTCTCTGTTCTGTAAATTCAAATCTGTTGTTCATTGTTGCAGTTCATTTAGTTATTGTCTGAGAACACTGCCATCTTGTGGCACGTTATAGCAACCTACACAATGTGTTTGTACTACTTACTACTTATAGGTTCTCGTAGATGGTATTGGCCTCATTACATCAAATGATTTAGACATTCTACTTTATGTGCTGTGTTAATCACAGCTTTCTTTGTCTTTGTGTATCTTTCTTCTTTCACTAAATAAGATTATGAAGGGTTTTTGTACAGTGTTCTAGTGTTTCCTGTGACTGTGGGCTGCAGGGCACAGTAATACACAGCAGAGTCTGACACTTCAGCAGAGGAGATCTCCAGATCCACACGTTTGATCTCTTTTGTAGCTTTTGAATACAGACGAAGATCAGGCTCAGATTTGCTTGAATATTCAGTGACAAAAAGTAAAAATTCTGGTTTTGCTCTGCTGAGATACTGGCGATACCAATAGAGAGTAACACTAGTGCCACTAGTGAGACTGTAGTTACAGGAGAGAGTCACATTTTCACCATCAAAAACAAGTTTTTCTGTTGTAAATGGTTGTATTGTATCTCCAAAAGAATTTCCTGTGAAAACGAAAATGACTTTAATTAATCAAACAATTAAACACATTTAGACAATTTAAATATAAGCCTTTGTATTGTTTAGATTGATTAAAAGAATATGCCTTACCCATACAAAGTTGCATTATTATCCAGGTAAAGAGAAACATTATGTCTTTAGACAGACAGCGATGACAAAAATAATATTTGAATGTTTAACCCTGTCTCACACTCTCAACAGTGTGAATCGGCTCCACCCACTGGAGGAGTTTACTCTACAGTAGGAAAAAATGTTCTGATGTGAAATCAGAGCTCTTAGTTCTTGTCAAGATGTTTATGTGTTTAGTCACAGTGGAGTACATCAGACAGACACACACATGGATTGTCAGAGAAACTGAACTTAACGATTTGTTGAGATCTGCATGAAATCTTTCCTCAAATTATTTTTCACTGCTGCTTGATCCAGTTAAAGAGCATGTAAACTGGGAATCCACTGGTTTTATGTTGGTATCAATAAAGATGAATGTAGTAGTAACTGGTACTGAGTAGCCTGGATTTAAATTCAAATCTAAAAAAGAATTTATATATAAGTATTTAAGTTGATTGCATTACTAATAAAATATAAGTATTCTACTAATTTGTGGACATAATTTGAATGTGTGAATAAATGCAAGTTAGATGGACTCAAATTTGGAAGTTTTTCTCTTGACCACGCCTTCCACAAAGTGGTTTGATTATGTGAGTCAGGTAACGCCATTTTGTCATGGTGTATGTGAATTCAAGGAGCGGTTGATGAAAAATTGGAACAGTTTTAGCAATTTCTGTGGACATTTTCCTGACATTTACCTTTTTATCTTTTCATTGTATTCCTCGAGAGTCCGTTTCGCCATGCTCGAACCCCTGACCGGCGAGTTCGACATATACGTTTTTGTTTTGTCTTCCTTCCTATTGTTTCTTTTTCACTCGAGGCGCTGTTATTGATAGTCCTACTGAGAGTGTAACTGTTTGAACCTCTGGCCGGCGCCCCGCACCGTGAGGATCGTGGCACGAATATTGTGGTGAGTGCAAAACTTTTAACAAACACATTTTATTTGAGTAAGTTAAACTTAAACTCAATTAATGGGTTGAATACAAAAACATATGGATGTACTACTTTTTATCTAAGTCCATAGCCCTCTTAACGACAAGACTAACTTGTTTTGTGTTGCAGGACAAGAAGAGATGCTTTGGACCTGCGCATTGCCCTCATAAAAAAGAGGGCTCAAACATATACTGTAAGTTGTACATTTCCTTGTTTACATCTGAAATGTATGTACATTTAAATCACTTTATGCATAATTTTCAACTTATCCTGCCATTCACACCAAAACTCCAGATTAGCAGTATGTAATTTGGTTTTACTGAGACTTGTTCTGAGGCTGATTAGTGTATTCATAATCTGCATACTGCAAAGTGCACAATTACATTTAAACCATAAAGTCAGGTGTCATTATAAAGACTATAACTTTAATGTTTGCTCCTCACAGAAAAGTTGTCAACGACAAGCTTTGACATCAGCCTGATGGTACTTCAATGGTCAGCTCTTTCTACAGTAAACCAGGTATAGGTGCATTCACACCATGTTGTATTGACCATTATTATGAGATTCCAGCTTGTAAAAAAGTACTCTCGTAGAACTCGTAATTGCAACCTGTAAACTGAGAACTTTCTGAGAGCTCCTACTTTTACCACATGACCTTGTATGACATAGGGTATGACATGACAGGGTGTACTGCTGATGATTAATTTAGATAATTTAGATGATGATAAATTTCCCAGTCAAAGAACATGAATTTTGTCATCTAGGAATTACAGTAATACGACTTGGCATGAATGCAGCATATGACTTTGAGTAGGCTATTCGACAACAGAATCATCTGACTATGTATTTGTCTATCTTTTTCTTCTACCTCTTTCATATGAAATAATAATGGACCCTCCACAAACTGCTACAGCAAAACTAAAGAGCACGCAGTTCTCTACAATTGGCTTTATGCCCAGCTGCACTACTTCCTGAACTTCAGCCAGCTCCTTGTTTCCTGTCTGCCATTATTGGCCAAATTGATTAATTCAGGTGTGTCTGATTATTGTTGCCATGACTACTGAGGTCAGGTACACCTGAATTAATCAATTTGGCCAATAATGGCAGACAGGAAACAAGGAGCTGGCTGAAGTTCAGGAAGTAGTGCAGCTGGGCATAAAGCCCATTTAGATAAAAATGTCTTAAATTAATAAACGTAAACTTACTTTAATAGCAAAGCCTAGTACTTTAAAGTGATTATTACATACATTTAGCTACATATACTGTATGTGGCTTTGTTTTTTGAGAACTAGATTTGAGCATTGACATTGGCTTGTCAGAAGAAGATCTATATAGTATATATAGTAAAATAAACCCAACAGACCCAACAATTGGTTAGATGTTGTTGGAGAGACAGTAGCTCAATAGGAGTGGTGCTGAGAGACACAGTCGCTTAAAGAAATACAGTCCTAATATCTCCGCACCCCTACAACAAATCATAGGCTTAACTGATCTCTCTCTGCTGGCTCCCTATTTTTAAGCAATTATTTTAAGAATGTGTAAAGTGCTTAAGGAACCACATGGAACGTGATATATTGTGTAATGTTTCCCTGAAGTTTTTTAACAACTCGCACAGGTGTTACCACATATTTTATTATATTTGGGGCTGGATAGATTGTGGTTTTGATTGTGGTTTTCACTAGATCGGTTCAAAGTGAATATAGCTTCAGGTTTTTGTACGACATATTTCATGTTTTGTGTCACTGGGCTACATCTCTCAGAGCACAATAATAGAGAGCTGAATCTGACAGACGTACATCAGTAATAGTGAGTTCAGTGGACGTGCGTGATGATGTAGTCAACTGAAACCGACGGTCAGAGGTGTCTTCATAAGAACCCGCTGAGCGTGCATTTTTTACTAATAAATACTGCGGTTCTCTGTTTGGATACTGTCTGTACCAGTAAAGATAAACATAGTCACTATTTGTATTATATGAGCAGCTCAGCTTGACAGTTTCTGTTTCTTTTGAGTTTTTTTCTGTCCCTTTATCTGGCTCAATGTTGTCTCCAGACACCAAACCTGTCAACAATAAAAATAAAATATAAAGATTTCTGAAAGCAAGGTTTACAAAATAATATTGCAAACACATTTCAAAACATGTTTTACAAGAATACAAATGATTAAGTTAATATAAATGTAGCCTTTTTGGTTTGGGAATAAAAAAACAAAGTATTTCATTAATCATTTAATAAATAATGTACCTGTTCCCACAATGAGAATAAGTATGAGGCATCTGTCCATGTTGAATCAGATCAGTTCAGTTCTCTGTTGAGGCTCGCAGTTCTCTGAGCTGTAAGTCACGGAAGAACATACAGGAACTTCCTCCTCGCTGAACTTCCTGCTGCTGTTTATGATTTTGTTTTAAACATTACTGATTTTTGAATATAACGCACAACATGAGAAGAATGTTATAAACTGTCTTGATGGAGTTCCGTTGTCTGAATGTGTGCAAACATGATAGTAATGACCATGATGGTGCATAGTGTATGCAATGGAGTATTTCTACAAAAAAAACATTAATGTTCAAAAAAGTCTACTCAACAAGTGCCATAATAAATTGTAACGGCCAGTGAAACACACTGTACACCGAAATATTATACCTATGTTCTTAGTTTATTAAGACTATATTGTTTTAAAGTACTTAATTTTTTCAATACAGTTAATGCTGCATAATATGCATATGTATAACATAATATTGTAGAATGACCATATCTTCTTTTATTATATAAAATTTGAAACAGCAGTATATTTATGTGAATGTGTGTGAAACCTGTGGCATATATGTACCTGCACTAGAGCAATGGCCAAAAGTGATGTTCAGCCTATAGGACATTTCATATCTTCACTCTTTATCTGTAAATCCGGTGGAGGAAAAACTACAGGATATTGTAACCTCTGAACCCTATTGCATAATTAATCTAGATATAGTAATATAGAATATATAGAATATAGATAATATTAAAGTAACACATCCTTGCCATGGCCCTACAAAGGATACGTTTTTGAGATTGATTGATACATTATTTTAAATTGATTGATTTTAGTTAATTTCATAGCTTTTACATTTCAGGAATGCTTATTGTAAAAAACAAAACAAAAAACAATCAGACACACGTTTATGCCTCAGAGTTTTTGTATGTGGTTTGACTTGAGTTTTGTCACAGTGGGCCTCAGAGCACAGTAATACACAGCAGAGTCAGACACACTCACATCCTTGATCATCAGAGGAACTGAGTTTGATGAAAGTTCAGAGTGAAATCTCTCCTGAAACTCAGTGCCATTTTCTCCTCCATATTTGCTTCTCCTCAGGATGTATTTAGGAAAGTCGTTTGCTCTCTGGATATACCAGAATAAATCTTCTTGTACAGAATCTGTTTTATATTTACACTGTAATGTCACAGATCTTCCTTCAGTTTCAGTCAAATGTTTGTCTGGCTGATCAACTGAGTCCTCTGATCTGCACCCTGCAAAAGTTTAAGAATTTTTTTAATGAACAATACAATACAAAATGTAAGCAATTTAATGTTGCTGTATTAAACGAAGATTCATACCAAAGATTAATAGCGTGAAGAGAAATATATTCTTCAACATGTGTGACATGACTGTGTCTGCTGAAGACATCTTGAAGTCCAAATAAATCAGTGAATATGGGAGCTTTGCTTTTGCTATTATAATGTTGGTCTAAGGAGGAGTTGCTTGTGGACGCCCATGGAAGTTTCTATAATCAAATGTGAGTAACTACTGCCCTCTTATGGTTACTTGGAAGTATTGCAAAGCTGAAATAGTACCATCTCATATGACAAAAGGACCTCATTGTGTGGTTTTAATATAATTTATCTTTCATACTGCCACACAAATACACATTAATTTGCTGTTGGATTCATATTCTCATTGTAAACATTTTTGAAGTAGATTCATATTTTTATTCTAGCTTTCTGTTTACTATCTCTGTGTTTCTCTCATTGTTACAGGTTTTTGTACAGTGTTCTTGTGTTTCCTGTGACTGTGGGCCTCAGAGCACAGTAATACACAGCAGAGTCTGACACTGTAGCAGAGGAGATCTCCAGATCCACATGTTCCCCTCTTGTAATTTTAACAGTGAATCTTGGATCTACATCGGACACCTCAGCATCTTTTGCTTTACTGTATGTGAGTACAAGAAATTCAGGTTTTGATCTTCCATATTGACGATACCAGAGGAGATAATCTTGACCTCCAGAGGCAGTAAAACTACAGGATAATGTAACACTTGAGCCCTCCTGAGCAAAAACATCGGTTTTGTTTGGTTTGATGGCATTTCCAAATACAGCAGCTGGAACAGAAAATATACATTTGTATATGTTTAGTGAGAGGTTTTAAAAAAAAATATATATATATATATATATATATATATATATATATATATATATATATATATATATAATTAATAATAAAAGATAACATACCAGTTGAAGCACAGAACAGAATAACTGAAAGAAGATTCATTGTGCAAGTGTTCACTGAGAAGAGTCAGACTGAATCGTTTCAGACACGTCGATGAGATCATGTCAGATCTGTGACCTCTGAGTCCCTCCTCTCTGAGCAACATCATGTCTATATTTCACACATGGGGAACAGAAGATCACTCTCATCAGTGTTTTATCTTGTTTTCTATGTGTTATTAATGTGTTTATGTGTGATTTTGGAATATGTTTGTGATGAGTTTCTTTGTAAGGAATAAGAAGACAGGGTTGGCTGTGGCGAACTCGTAAATTCTGTTAGTGAACACTCTTTAATAAATCAACAAAAACAACACTTGTGCTTCACTCAAACAATAGTTCTCTGGGTTTTTTTTTTTTCCTCCAGCAAACAGACTGCACACACTAGTTTGCTGTAGTCTCTCTCCCTCTTACCCATATAGTCAGCGGCCTTACATCTCTCCATGCCGATAACTGCAATGAGACACAGGCGTTAGTCATTCTGCACTTGCCCTATCACCGCTCGTCTGACCTGACTCCCTCTCTGTGTGCAAATTTATACTATTTATTATAGAATTTTGTATATAAATTGATTCTTCAAAAGCACCATTTCACTCTTGGCTGAGATTCAGCTCATGTGTTTTTGTATGTGGTTTGACTTGAGTTTTGTCACAGTGGGCTTCAGAGCACAGTAATACACAGCAGAGTCAGACACACTCACATCCTTGATCATCAGAGGAACTGAGTTTGATGAAAGTTCAGAGTGAAATCTCTCCTGGAACTCAGTGCCATTTTCTCCTCCATATTTGCTTCTCCTCAGGATGTATTTAGGAAAGTCGTTTGCTCTCTGGATATACCAGAATATATTTTCTTGTACTGAATCTGTTTTATATTTACACTGTAATGTCACAGATCTTCCTTCAGTTTCAGTCAAATGTTTGTCTGGCTGATCAACTGAGTCCTCTGATATGCACCCTGCAAAAGTGAAAAAAAAAAGTAAAAATAGTACAATACAAACTGAAAGCAATAATGAATATGTAGCTGCATTAAATGAATATTCATACCAAAAATAAATAGTGCGAAGAGAAATACATTCTTCAACATGTGTGACATGACTGTGTCTGCTGAAGTCCAAATAAATCAGTGAATATGAGAGCTTTGCTTTTGCTATTATAATGTTTGTCCAAGGAGGAGCTTGTGGACCCCCATGGAAGGTTATGTATTGTTCAAGGTAATATTGAGTAACTGCTGCCCTCTTATGGTCAAGTGCAAGTATTGCAAACGTGGATTTTAAACTTTTTGTAATTAAAGATATGCTCCATTTAATTTCATTATTTTTTGTTACTCTTTGTTTATGTATGAGCTAAATTTGTCTGTGAGGTGACTCATTATTCCTTAGTGCAATACCAATAAGCATGCCTTAGTGCACACAAAATGAAAAGACAGCTTCTCTTCTGTCTCACTTCTGCGCTATCTTCTGGCAAAACTGTTTGCTGCACAATTTCGGTCATATGGGAGATGTGAACCCTTAACTGTGAATATATATGTTATGAGTTGTTTCAGAAAAAGAAGAGACTAATGTGGCAATGATGCATTTGCATTTAAGAGCAGATGAAGTAAGTGTTTAGAGCTTCATCTTATTATGGCATGTGAGGTTTTTGTATGACGCTGTTAGATTTCCTGTGACTGTGGGCCTCAGAGCACAGTAATACACGGCAGAGTCTGACACTTCAGCAGAGGAGATCTCCAGATCCACTTGTTTAATATCTTGATGAACTTTAGCAGAAAATCTGTCTGGTCTATCTTCACTCATAACTCCACTTGGTAAGATGTAAAGAAGGAACTCCGGTTTGGATCTGGGATATTGTCTGTACCATTGTAAATTCTGTACAGTACTCGTATAGTCTTTGTAACTGCAGGACAGAGTAACAGCGTCACCAACAAGTCTATTTTCATCCTCTGACAATGGTTTTATTGCATCTGCCTCTGTGTGGCCTATAAATGGAAATAAAAGCCTAATTAGATCAATCAAACAGTTACTAAACCGTAAAAAGTGGTAGTAAATAATATTTATCTTACCAATAAACGTCCACAAAAAGCTGAGGAGAGTAAAAATAATCATGATTGCAGATATCTGAAGAAGAATCGGAAAGACTTGAGTATCATTCAGACTGGATGCCTTTGAATTGTGACAACCTCCTTCAGATGAAAATGCTTCTACATCATGATATCAAGCTCCGCCTTCTGGCAATATGATTTACTTCTATTATGGAGTCTTTATGCCTAAACCAGTTCATGTTCAAAGTCTCTGGAAGTGTGTATTCAAGAAAAGGCCAAAGACTGTAATACTTTCTTGAACTTTAAAAAAATATTGTTGCTTTAACTTAAAAAATTAAGTAACTTCGTTGCCTTAAAATGTTAAGTTGATTGAAATGAAAAAAGTGAGTTAATACAATGAAGGAGATTAATTTAATCATCAGAAACTCAAAATAATAAGTTATCTGATCTAAATAAATTATTTAAGTTGATTTGACAAAAGAAAAAATGTTGTGATAAATCTTTAAAATATTTTTTACAGTGTGGAAACATTAAACGTTGGAAACATTTCTCTCTCAAATATGTTTTTGATTCGCACACGCAAATAATGATCCCCCGGTTTCACAGACAAGACTTAAGCTTGTCCCAGACTAAAATGCATGTTTGAGCTGTTTTAACTGAAAGCAACTTGCACTGACATATATTAAAATATTAAAATATGTCAGTGCCATTGTTTTGTGTCAAGATGCACCAGTAATGTGGTTTCTTTATCTGAGTCATGTTTATAAAAGCTTCTTAAATGTCCTAATTGAACAAAGGACTACTTAGGCTTAATCTAAGTGGCCGTCATATCTTTTTTTCCGCACCATTTTTAGTGATTATTTTGAACAAATATTCCTTGTAGCACCACAATAAATTTGAGGTATTAAAAAAAGCATACATAATAAAATGAAAATGAATAAGGATTCAACCGTGTTGTGAAAATATTTTTCGATGGAGTTTGGCGTCAAACCACTGGAGAAAAATGCTACAGGAGCCTACAAGCATATAGATTAATCAAAACATTTGAAACGTTTTTGTGTTTCTATATGTGCCTGTGTCTTGTGTGTCACTGCAGTAAAACACAGCAGAGTTAGATACAGCCACAGAGTAGATCTCCAGATGCACACGTTTGTTATGCATATGACTGATATATGCAGATGAGGTGGACTATGGCACTAACTTTGGTGGATTTAACTATTTATGTAGTTTGAATTTAATCAGTAAGTGTATCAAGCCTCTTCTGAACTCTTCTTGGATACCACATTAAGTTTGTGTGTGTATTCTTAATGGAAATACGTGTTATGTTCTTGTGGAATTATTCATAGATCCCTGTGTTACTGATAGTGGATTCAGTCACAGACACAACACACAATACATGTGCTTGTTAAGCATCAATGAAAAGCAAGGCTAATATGCAGGAAGATTATGTACTGAGGAACAGGTTTCCTGTCACTGTGGGCTCCAGGGCACAATAATACTGTGCAGAGTCTGTTACTTTAGCAGGGCTGATTTCCAGTTCCATGAGCTTTCTGTGTTTGTCAACTTTAGCAGAAAACCAGTGGGCTGATGGATCTGCTTTAACTGGATCTCCAGATTCAGTCATGGAGAGAAGGAGTTCTGGTTTGGATCTCTGATACTGACGATACCACAGTAGATTGTAAACAGCACCACTGTAGTTACAGGAGAGAGTAACACTGTTACCATCCTGAGCTTCTTTTTCAGGACCATGAGATGTTATTTGATCTCCAAGAGAGTCTCCTGAAGAAGAACAAAACATACTGAATTCACTATTGAGATCGGATAAATGTAATATTAACATTTTTAAATAAAAAGAGGTGGTGATAAATAAATGAATCTTACCTGCAAGTGTTGAAAATATTACAAAGTGCACAGAGCAGCATGATGAAATGAAATGACAAACTCTTGTTCTTCACTCACTGATTTAAGTCTGGAGCTCCACCCTGTGGCAGGATTTGATCTTCCATGATGAGTCTTAGCTCTTTGTGTACATAAAGGCCAACAGAAATGAGAAGAACACCCTCTTCTGGCTGAAAACATACACATTCATGAATCATAGAGGACTTGCTTATCTGTATTTTTACACTCTAAAAAGACTACTGTAACGATAATGCATTTGTATGCATCCATCTTAAAGCTGTTCTCAAGATTTATAGATTTTTAGATGTTAGATAGTAGGAATAATTGTATTAATTTTTTTTAAAAACATTAATTTTAAGTTATTGAAGCTTTCTTTTAAAAAGACTAAAACTAAAATTTTCTTTTCATATTTTTGACACAAATAATCTTTTTAAGAACTGTTGTAGAAGTGATTAAAAAGGAAGCGAGACGTGAAATTAAATGGTCAACCAATGCCCACAAACTTATATAATTTGACCATGTAAGAGCACTTATCATATGTATGTATGAGTGATCATATTTATGTAAAAATATCTTTCTTGAAATGTTTTTACATTATTTCTAGAACTATTTTTAAATTAGAAGAAAAGTTAAGAAAAGTAAAGGCTCAGTCTGCAAACACACATGAGGCTATGACAAAAGAGAGATATAATGTTCTTTCTCCTTCTAGATTTTTTTGTACAGTGATGATGTGTTGAGTGAAGAGCTCAACTTCAGGTCTAGAGGATATTGTCGATACCAACCCATGCTGACTTTTTGCACTGCCATATGTTTACATGAGACATTTACTAGCTTCCCCTCTGTTGCACATTGTTCTGCAATGGTCTAATTGACTGCGAACAAATCGTACGAATTTGTACGAGTGAGGTCTTACGAATTCATACGAATCAGTCACATTTTGCTCACTTGTACGAATTTGTACAAATTGGTCGTGAGATATCGTGCATAGTTCCCTCTTGTGGTTACTTACTAACTTGTACAAAAGGCTCAGAACAAAGTCAAACCGAATGTTATCTAAATTCATTCCTCAAGCTTTGGTTGTTATACTGTAGATCTATAAATCAGGTATTCATTTTATGGCCCTGTTCAGTCACCAGCTCACTACAGCTTAGACAGAAAAAAGCAAATTAAATTGTTTTTAAAACAGCAACTAGTCAGTGGTTTGGAGAACATCCTGGATTGCAGTGTATACAAATTGTGTTTAGTAAATAAATAAAAAAAGTCATAATCTATCATACTCATATCACTGCTGATAGTTTTCATCCTTATATAGTAATATACTGTAGTATGAAATGATAATCTACCATTTATTCAGACTTATGGAAAAGAATTAGTTGTACACCTTCAGTTGTGTCAGGTTTTTGTACAGTGTTCTAGTGTTTCCTGTGACTGTGGGCCTCAGAGCACAGTAATACACAGCAGAGTCTTTCAGAGCAGCAGAGGAGATCTCCAGATCCACACGTTTGATCTCTTTTGTAGTCTTAGTAGAGAATCTGGGATCTACCTCAGATGTCTTACTCTCTTTGACACCCTCTATTATGAGCACAAGGAATTGAGGAGCTGATCCGGGATACTGACGGTACCATAGAAGTGAATATGCAGAGGAATAACTGCAGGATAATGTAACAGTTGAAGACACTGCAGCAAACTCTTCACTGCGATCTGGTGTGATTTCATCTCCAAAACTCACACCTGTAAAAGAACAAAAGAGCATTTTAATTTTCAAATAGTTTTAGTTTTGATGTTGATGGATTTTACTGTGAATTGAATCAATTCAATTAAATTTTAATTTGACTTTTGTCATTTAAAAAATAGGATGTAGTAAATATTTAAATTTAAAAAAATTAAAATTGAAAAAAAAAATTAAGATGAGAAAATAATTTGACAAAATATTATATGTATATTCTAAAATTAGAAATGCAAATGCACACAAAACATGGACAAATGTACTTACATGCCAAGGCAGAGAGCAGAATGACTGAATGAAGTATCATTGTACGTGTGTGTGTGTGTGTGTTCACTAGCAGGACTGAGCTTTGTGACAGTCTAGCAAATGTAACAAGATCATCTGAGATGTTAAACTCCTCCTCTTTCATCCTCTGTCTGTTTGATGCAAAAAAAAAAAAAAAAATCACCTTTACGCACAATTTAAAACCAATTGAGTTTATTGAGTTTATTGACCAATTGAGTCTATTTTATATTTCATGCAGGTCAAAAAATAATCGTTTTTATGCAGGTTCAAAGAAAAATAAGATGTTTTTTAGCACGGCTACTAAAATGTATAGGGAAGAGTGCATGAAATGCAATTTGCACAGCACAAAAAAAAAATATATATATATATATATATATATATATATACAGTGTTCATATTGTCGACAGAATTCAACAGCATGTGGATTTGCACTTTGGCATATAATTGAGCACTTCCTCTGTTTTTTGTATGAGTGTTGAGTGTGTTTGAGTCACAGTGGGCCTCAGAGCACAGTAATACACAGCAGAGTCTGACACACTCACATCCTGGATTGACAGATCAACAGATTCTGATGACACTTTAGAGTGAAATCTCTCCTGAAACTGAGGGTCAGTATCTTCTCCTCCATATTTGTTTCTCCTCAAGAAGTATTTAGGAAGGTCATTTGCTCTCTGGATGTACCAGAAAAGATCTGGTTGTGATGAAGCTGTTTTATATTTGCATTGTATTTTTACTGATCTTCCTTCAAATTCAGCGATGTGCTTTTCTGGCTGATAAACACTCTCTTCTCCACAACACTCTGTAAAGAAATTTAAAAAATGTACTTATAAACTGTAACAATTGTAACCTGTAATAAGGTATAAAACGGTATGAAGTAATTAGGAAACCCCCCACTTACCATGATAAACCGATGCAAAGATGAACAACGTGAACAATCTACGAGTTATCATTATTTTTTATGAGGTGACTGGAACAGGAGAAAAAGATGAATCATTCAACCAGTTGTGTCAGCAAGAACAATGCTGTTATATAGCCGGGAGGTGAGATTAAACATAAAAAAGGCAAGAAATTCAAATAGACTTTAAGTGTCTACACTGCCCTCTTCAGGATGTTATTTAAAAAAGATTTTAGTTTAGTTTTTCATTCATCATTCATGTAGCCTATGACAGAGCATGATATTTAACATTTTGTTCCCCGTGTCAACATTGAAGTTATTGATAATCTACACTTCAGACGTGCTGTACAAAGTGACAGGAATAAGCGTCATTTATCATATAGTGTGTATTTGGATAAACACCCTTATTCATGTAACATACTGAATACCCTTAATGTTTAAAGAGAATAGAAAAGTTAGATTTACATTTTTTGTGTATGATGTGTAAGATCTAATTGTAAGTGTAAGATCTATCTAAGAAGTCCCTTTAAAGGTACAATATGTAAGAATTGTGTATCAAAATATCCAAAAACCACTTGCACAGTATATATTTCTTTTAATTGTGTACTTCCATTAAAAAAAGTGCCTGTTCCTGTTCACTTGTCGCCTGTCAATGACATAATATCCGCGTTATCCCTGGTTTTTGTCAATGATGTAATATCCGTGTTATCCCTGTTTTTTTAACCATGGCGACAGATGTGGATTATGTAGTGCATAACTTCTATCTGCACGCTGTTGTTGTTTCGTTCAAACATTATGGACAATGGCAAGCAGACTTTAGGACAAAAGGAGAATTAAAACGAGGATCAATATCAGTGGCATTTTCCAGAAGCTGAGAGCTCCTCGTCCGCGACTAACTTAGACTTGACAAAGCTTCATGAGTCACGACTTGACAGAGACCGGCACAGACAGCAAACACAAGGGGATAAAAATAGGGAGAAACTAATAATGACAACAGATTAGGTTATAAGGACAAAACGAGGATAACAAGGGGACGGGGCAAGGGAACAAGACAACACAAAGGGAAAATGATTTTGAATGTTTTTACTAGGAATTTTTTATGAATTTTTTTCCATAAAATGGCCATGGCAACATTTAATAGGAACTCATTTCACTTCTGAGTGAAGTGAAAAATTTAGGTTTTATATATATTTTATAATGTAAGGTTCACTCAAATGTGGTGTAACCAGATCTCTCCATCTCAACAGCCTCTAATGGAAAGGTATGAGCACTGTGTTTTTATCTGCCTAAGACAGACATAACACGTACTGGGATAAACACAATTAAAGCTAAAATAATTATATGAACTCATCACTCTTGTGACCATTGGCATAAAACCTGAATTTTGGGTGTGGTAACTGAAAATAGTAACACCTACAGTATGTTATATTTTACTATGTTGGGATTGGGAAAGATCTGAAAAATAAATGGTAGAAATTATTTGCATTTATCTTTTATTGTTATAGTGTTCTAATTATATTATATTCATATAGTGTTTAAATAATGTAAATATGTAATCAGTACTTAATTTGTTTTTCATCAGTTAGTGCAGGACGGATTTCAAGAATCATGACACATAATTTATTGTTGAGGATAGGAAGTTTTTGTACAGTGTAGATGAGTTTCCTGTGACTGTGGGCGTCAGTGCGCAGTAATACAGTGCAGAGTCTGACACTTCAGCATCAAAGATCTCCAGGCTCACAAGATTTTTGTCCACTTTTGGTAAAATGCGAGGAGGAAGAGGGTCACTTGTGGTTCCATGTGGGTAAATCCAAGCCAAGAACTCTGGTTTGGATCTGGAATATTGGCGATACCAGTGCAAATTAGTTATGCTTCCTTCATATTTACAGGAGAGAATGGCTTTTTGTCCCACAGATGCAAGTGTCCTGTTTGCCTGTGGTGTTATTGACTGTGCCATTGTGTCACCTGAAACCATAACATATAAAACATTTCATCAAACTGAATTTGTATCGTTAACGTTACAGCATTAAACTAAAGTATATCTAAAAATATAATGAGTAAACTTCACTTACTTTTAATCAACAATACCAGAAGAAGAGTGCAAAGAATCATCATGTTTGCTCTGTGAGAAGTTTAATGATCACTTTGCTTTTACTCAAACCCACACAAGCTCCTCCTACAGTCAGTGTAACTGCACAGAATGAGAACACAGCACTGATATGAACTCCGTGATCAATATTTGGTATGAAACATCTAGAAATCTCATTTAGTTTCAACATAGTGTTTTGGTTACAATCTATTCTTCTTTTTATTTTAGGGATATTTAAATAATATTAATAATAACCTAATGCTCATGGGGAATGGCAAAGGTAGCTGATTTTTTTTTTTCTTCAGTTGACGTTTATTTAGTTTCAAGTAACAAAAATGTGTTTTATGATTTTAGTTTTAGTTTAAGATATATCAACCCTGCTTTGAAGCACTGAATGATGAGTGTATATCGCCCTCTTCTGGTTCTCAATAGGTTTAAACAGTATATTATAGCGAGTGCATTATTTGACAGAAATGAGTTTTATTTTTGCTCATATCATAGTAAATGTATAGTTATAAGCAAATACATTCAATGCATGTGTTTTAATAGCATACTGATCACTTGTTTGTTTTTTTAGCAATAAATGCCTGCCTAAATATAGTTTATTATATAAAGTTAATGTCAAATTTAAAAATTGGGTAAATCAAAATATGATATGGAATAGTTGAAAAAATGTTAGACGTAATTCAAAGACAAATCAGGATCATTTCATTTAGGAGTGTATTTGCAAAAGCATGCAGTAAACACAGCAGAGTCACGCACACACATCATCATCATCCTTGATTGTCAGTCGAAAGGAAGTTGTGCTGAGATTCGCTTGAAATCGCTCACTGAACTTTATTTATTTGTGTGTGGCCCAACTTACCCATCCTTCAAACACTCTCTGACATTACACTTACTGCATGTGCAACTACCCCAACTGACCTTTAGTGAGGATGACAAAACCCATAACCATAATGACATATTATTTAACAAAGTTAATAGTCATGTGCCTCAACAAGTAAAGTCATAACATAATGATAGATTTGCAAATCATTAGCTAATGATTAAAGCAGACAACTAGAAGTTGTGAAGTGCAGAGCGTTGACTAATTGTGGTAATTAACACGTTCATTTACACTATTTACAGTAATATGTTATTAAGGAATTAATACATGATGACACATTTTAATTAATAGCAACTCATTTATTACTTAATCTATTTTAGAGTCTTTATTAGTTGCTGATGCAGTAATAATTAATTAATGGTTTAGGTCTTCATGAGTCATATTAACTCATGATTATCTGTGCATTAGTTAAGTATAAAGTATGAGTACCCGTATGTGTTACCGCGTTTAGTTTCATTTTAATGGACTGATAGTTTGTTTCTCTTCATTTACCGACTAGGCCTACCTTTGTTCTGATTTCCGGCCACTCATTAGTTACCATGGACACTCATGCCATCAACAAACCTATTCATTTAGTTAGTTATCATTGTATATTTAAGTTCCTCCTTGTATTTAGTCTATTATCAGGTATTGTTTTGTCTGAATTGCCTTCTTGCCAGTGTCACCTGAGTTTGTTTACGTATGTCATAAATCTTTATCGTGTTGCTATAGGCCATCTTACTATGGACTGTAAGATAACAAAGCTGGTCAGATTATAAACAAAATTCAATGCAAACTTTAACTGTACAATCAATGTCATTTCCAACATATCATTTATACATGGCTGACTATACATTATCTTTTACTTAGTAGGTTGATGGGACTAAATGAACAAGCTCTTTCTGAACATTTGAGACCACCATAAAGTAGTCGATTATCATGTAAAGGTGGTCATCATTGTGTAATACAAATGCAACACTGTGAATCAGGTTTTTGTACAGTATTCTAGTGTTTCCTGTGACTGTGGGCTGCAGGGCACAGTAATACACAGCAGAGTCTGACACTTCAGCAGAGGAGATCTCCAGATCAACACGTTTGATCGCTTTTGTAGCTTTTGAATACAGACGAAGATCAGGCTCAGATGAACTTGAATATTCAGTGACAAAAAGTAGGAACTCTGGTTTTGCTCCAAGATACTGGCGATACCACTGGAGAGAGTTAACATTGCCAGTAGTGGCACTGTAGTTACAAGAGAGAGTCACATTTTTACCCTCAACAACATGCTTTTCTGAAGACAATGGTTGAATTGTATCAGCAAAAACAGTTCCTGTGAAAAAGAAAAGTTTAAATTAATCGAGTCTAAGTTGTTCTAAATTATTCAAAGTCTAAATTCATCACATTGAATGAATATCTCTTACCCATGCAAAGTTGTAATATTATCCAGACAAAGAGAAACATGATGTCTTCAGGGAGAGAGTGATGGAATAGATTGTTTAATGAATTTGAATAACTGTTTGACTGTCTCACTGTCTCTGCCGTGTGAATCAGCTCCACCTACTGCTGGAGGGCTTTTCTTATTTAACCATAGGGGAAAATAGGCTCATGTCAGAAACTGCACACTTTAGAGCTCTTAGTTTTTGTAAGGATGTCTGTTTAATATATCAGTTACAGTGGGCAGAGCACAGTAAGCACAGCAGTGTCAGATACACTGAGATTCTGGATTGACAGAGAAAAGAGTGAAGATTTATTAACATCTGCTTGAAATGAATTTCAAATTTTATTTTGTGTTGCTTGATCCCGTTGGGAGTTTGCAGAAATTGTAAACTGGGAAATTTTACCAGAATCATGTGTATTTATTCTCAGTCAGTAACAGAGGTGTCAAAAGTATTCACATTCATTACTTAAGTAAAAGTATAGATACTAGGGTTTAAAAATACTTTTGTAGAAGTTGAAGTATCAACTCAAGCTTTTTACTCTATAAAAGTACTGGTTTCAATAACTACTGAAATTAAAAAAGTAAAAGTAATGTAAGGAAAGAAATTCCTTTAAAGGGATAGTTCACTTTGAAATTAATTTTTGATATGTTTTAGCTTACCTCGAGGGCATCCAAGATATAGGTGTCTTTGATTCCACAGTATTTTCAATTTTGACATTTTTCGGTCAAACCGTTGTTGTCTGTCAGTCATACACTGGAGGCTAAGGGGGTCCTCCCTCGGTCCACGTCAAAGAGCATGCACAGAGAAGTCAAAATTAAACATGATTTTGACTCGTTAATGTAAGTACACATTGATGACCTAAGACACGAAACAAGCGGTTTGTGTGTGAGAAAACAAACAGTATTTATATCGTTTTTACCTCTTGTTAACAGCCATGTCCAACTGATCTGAATCAGATGTCCAACTGAACCAAACTGAACCATATCCAACGTTCTGCCGGAAGTGATTTCTTGCGTGTCTACGCCACACATTATTTACACAGAGATTTCTGAAGTTTTTTGCAAATCATGATCGCATTCAAATGAATCTAAAAGTCTCAATATGTCAGATGTGTCACCTAGATAAGATGGTATTCACATACATATTTTTTTTAAGAAAAGGTTACTGCAGTGACAGGTTCAGTTAAGCAACCAACTAGACACAATGGGCCTGAGTGGTGGATCAATAAGGCATTTATGTATTTTAGGAAATCCAAAAAAACACGGGACATATTTGATGTTTTACAGTGAAAAAGTCTTTTTCTTTTTCAGTAATCCAAGCCCTTTGTAGTGCCTTCTCCAATATCTGATCAATCTCTGATTTGTGGTGTTCTCGGGGATTACGGGTTAATGGAGTGTAACATTCTTTGTTGTTGAGTTGGGACATGATACTCGGGTTGTATTTTTCAGTATTCATTAGAACAATTAAACCCACTTTATCGACAGGGCGAATAAGAATATCTGATCTCTTTTCTAATTCATTCTCTTGTGTAACGTGTAATATTTCACAATACTTTTAGTCAAGTGTCGTATGGGCCATTATAGGACAGTTTCCACATTACTATGGTGCACTTTCATTTGTTGATGCACTTGAGACCTTCAAGATTGTAACTTTTTTAAGTACTTGTCTAATTTGTCGCATGCCAACGTTAAAAGCTCAGGAAGGTTTTTTGTTCAAGCACTGAATATCCTGTTGTCACTGTGGGCTGCAGAGCACAGTAATACACAGCAGAGTCAGACACACTCACATCCTGGACTGTCAGAGGAACAGATCTGGTAATAGAATCGTGTCTGGAGTAAAATCGTCCCTTGAACTCCGTGGCTTCATCACCATCTCCAAATTTATGTCTCCGTAAAATATATTTCGGAGAGTCATAACTATGTTGCCTGTACCAGATTAGTGTGGGGTTTGAGCTTGTAGTATTGTATTTACAATCCAAAGTTACAGCTTCCCCATCTTCATATGCTGACTGATAACTTTTGGGCTGATTAACAAAGTCTTGTCCTCTGGATTCTGTGAAGAGAGTAAATTATTTCAGTAAATCTATTTCTCCTCCAGATAAAACGGACAGTAAGGAACAAATGCACGCATTAAAGATGATATATTACCCATGCAAGTTGCAAATAGGATTAAAAGGGTTTCCACACAGCTTCTCATGGTAATCATGATGCAAAAGTCCCACAGAAGTAAACAACGTTCTCTTGAATGTAACTAGAACTTGCTGAGATGCTCAAAGTCCTCATTTGAGAAACTTGTGAAGTGTTGACTGTAAGATTGAAGCTGCATATATTTGTTAAAACATCTCCCCCAAGTGGAGAAGAGCAGATATACAGTATGAACATTTGTCTATTATGAGGTTTTCTTCCCCCACAATTGAATTGCACTGCAGTGAGTGTGAAATGTTTATGCAATCTCACAAGTTATAGCTGAAGAAATCACAATTATTTAGTCTCTTAAGTCTCTTTTTTTTGACTAATTGTTTTCAATCCCTAAACTGTGTAGTGTGCGTAGGGCTGATCAGCTCTGGTTCTCATCACTATTGTACTAATGGTCAAGCCATTATTCTAAAGAAAAAAAAAAAAAGAATATATATATATATATATATATATATTGGGAAAATCTGATGTGCCAACACATTTTTATCAGCATATTTATGGACATTGGACATTTTTGCCATTCTTGTGCTGCATTTTAGTACTCTTGGACAGTAATTTACCCAACTTATTCACTTGACTTTACTGTCCGTAGGCTATCTGATATCACCTAGAATTAGAACATATAAATGAATGTTCGGTTATCCCGGAAATTTAAATCAGAATATTGTTGTGGCATATTATTCTTATCAGTGACTTAATGAAATATGTTAACAGATGCTTATGCTTTGCATCCTAAAAACAGCATCATTTGCCTCATCAATGTTTAAATCAAATAAAATAATTGTAAGAATGTGTAAGTTTAGAACTGTAATCCTGACTGTTTTTGTTAATATTACCTTTCTAAGGTCATGAGTCATGACAACAAACTGTGATCACAAACCCAGCTAGAAATTTTACGTTCCCACAACGTTCCCATACAGTCATGATGTGGAGTTCTTTAAAGGGTTTGGGGACGTTATTTGGACCCTCAGGGAACATTCAGGATGTTCTGGGAACATTTAGAGGACAATATTTAATTCAGAAATCAAAAGGTTTCCAAAACATTCTGAGAACATCCCGCTGGTGTCAAAGACATCATCTGGTAATGTTCCCACAACATTACCAGACAGTCACGATGTGGAGTTCTTTCAAAGGGTTTGGATACATTATTTGGAGGACCTTCAGGGAACATTCAGGCCATTCTGGGAATGTTTAAAAGACCATATTTAATTCAGAAATCAAAAGGTTTCCAAAACATTCTGAGAACGTCCCACTGGTGTCAGGAACGTCGCTTTGGTAATGTTCCCACAACGTTCCCAGAATATCCTGAATGTTCCCTGAAGGTCCTCCAAATAACGTTTTTTAGTTCACTGGCAAAAACGAATCGTTTTCCACATGTGGGCGGTCCTGAGATGCCCCCTTCCGCCGATTGGTCAAGCAAATCTGAGCTTACGACATCATCGGTCGTCACTCAGGTCTGTTCAACAAAATAATAGTCCTCTACGAGGACCCTTAGGTTTCTAAGGAGCCCCACACATATGACATGCAGGAAAAATAGTTGGCTAAATTGCACGATTCACTAATTGTTACTTTTAGTTTAACGGAAGATTAACTGCTGAACTGAAGTATGCATATACGGTACAAGATCAGTTCAGATTTTAATGTTTATTTAAAAAAAATAAAATCAGTCAATGCAAAAGTCTATTTGATGTATATATGGTGTTATACTGATGAGTGATCTTCATTGAATGAAGCATCATCAAAAGATCATTGTTTATGAAAATGGAAGAGTACAAGAATACTTCAAAATAATTTGTAGTAACTGTTTGTCGCCCTCTTCTGCATTGCTGTAGTTATTACAAGGTTACAAATATCATCAACCATCAGAAAGTGTAACTCAAGACCATGAGAGTTTTTGTATGAGTGTTGAGTGTGTTTGAGTCACAGTGGGCCTCAGAGCACAGTAATACACAGCAGAGTCAGACACACTCACATCCTGGATTGTCAGAGGAACCGATTTTGAAGTTTTGGTGTGATTTGCAGTAAATCTCTCCTCAAAGTCTTTGTCATTTTGTACATTTGTAACAATTATCATCATCATGTATTTGGGGATTCCATTCATCTTTTGCTGGTACCAGAAGAGATACGGGGATGGATCACTGGTTTCATACGTACAGTTAATCGTTACTGATCTCCCTTCAAAAGCAGTTTGAACTCTTGTGTTCTGGTCAACACTCTCCAGAGAGTCGCATACTAGAAAAGAATTTAAAGAATTATCAAATCATATTCTGCATGTTTTAATATATTTATGGCAAATTTAGAGACTCCTTAGAGAAGGATCCTACTCACCCCAGAAATGTGTTATAAAGAAGATCAAATATCTTTCCCAGTGAGCCATTATAATAACAGATCTGTGTAAATGACTGAAATATTTCAATCCACTGGAGAGTGTGTGTAGTTGTTTCAGCTTGTCTTTGATGAGCCTGTTTTAAAACTGTCACACACACATATCGTCTGGAACTGGGAGGAGCTTGATCTGTTGAATGTTGTTGTCTTTCCTACATGTTTTTTCTTTTTAGTTTCAGTGGTGAAATTTCAGTGATTTTTTTAAAAAATTATTAATTTAGTTTATTTATAATGTATATTGTATCTTCTCTATAACTTAACTTTATCTTCTGTTTGAGTTACTGTTTTTGTCAATATCACCTCTGAATATTTCTGTAATGGATATCACTCTCTTCATCTTTTGTCATTATTTACTTTACATTTTACTTGCCTGATATCTTATAGCAAGTTTGGGGATCATTTAAATACGAAGTTTATATCGCACTCCCCTGGTTGAATTTGTTTATATGAGAGGTCAAGTATTTCAGCCCATTCTCACCCCCAAGGCGTCACTTAACTGACGCCTTGGGAAGCATTTGGACATGCTTCAATATCTGACGCTTTAGGCGCCCTTTAGCGTCAGCAAGATGACGCCCTAGGATCGCGTGTACCCTACCCCCACCCCACACCTAAACCTAACCGCGTCCTCTAACAGACGCTTTCCTATAGCGTCAGTTAGATGACGCCGTAGGATCGCGTCATGTAAGTGACGCTAAAGGGCGCCTAAAACGTCAAATATTGAAGCATGGTCAAAGGTGACGCCTTGGGGTGAGAATGCGTTGAGTATTTATAAATGCATGATGCAACACTTGTCATAACCTTTTGAGAAATCTAGATACAAATTTATGATGTGTTAAAATATTTGCACTGCATAACACGACAACAGAATAGCATTCAATGCAGTCCTGTTTGTTTAGCAGGGGTTGCCACATTCTGTTGCAGTCTCTGTGGTTTTCCAAAAGAGGTTTCAAAGTAATATTCTTGTAGTTAATTTTTTGCTGTGTAAATATTTTTGTGTGTCCTCCTTATTCTGGTTATCTATTAGGATCCTGTCTGTACCAGTTGCATCACTGAGCATTGTCACAGACTCTCCTTCTCTTATATACAGTATCATCTTTTCATTTGACCCAATGCTGTCTGGCGACACATCTGCCGCAAAAATTAAAACTATTGTAAAAAAAAACAAACAAATGTTCACAAACTTCTAAATAGTTCAAAACATAAAAAAACTTAAATTAAAAGTCATTCGTACAATGTTATTTTAGGAATTTATAATTTGAAAATAAACATCATAGGGGGAAGAAAATGAAAACACACGTCTCAACATTTAATGTTGAGACGTGTTTTCATTTTCTTCCCCCTAACACATTCAGCTCTGTGATTGATGGTTCAACTGTGAAATTACAGAACCAAACGAATCTTCAATCATGGCCCTGTCCCAAATGGACCCAGCACTCGAGGTCTTTGACCCTCTAAATAGGTGGGGCTTGTAATCAATAAGTTTGCAACATGTTCTGCCCGCTGCGTGGAACATGACCGAGAAAATCAAATCAAATCTGTTCATCTGTTTTCTGGATGTATCAGAAGCGCTCTTGTGATGTTGAGACTGTTGTATATTTGCAGTCCAATGTTATTAATTCTCCCTTGAATCCAGTAACATGTTTAAGTGGCTGATCAACTGTGTCTTCTGATTGACATCCTGGTAACAAACAAGAACAATTATGTGACAATTAGCAGTATCATGTAGAAATTTGTCATGTAGAAATTTGTAAAAACAAACATGCAAAAAGTAACATTTTGTTTACTTGCATTGTTTGTTTTACGAGATGATAGAGTGGTGCCTGAAGAAAAGACAAATCAATCAGCAAAAACAAAGTAAGAAGAAAACAAAGAAAAGAGTGATTCAAAGCTATTATTATAAGGACGGAAGGAGCTCAAAACACTGTCAGATGCTCATTGTTATCAATATCAGTAGAGTGGTAGAGTACAGAACTACAAAGAAGTTGTGTGTGTGTGTCACTTTGGATTAGAGTCTGCCAAATGCATATACAGTAGTCAACATTTGAAGTGGATCAAATTTTTCAACATACTGTTGAGAAAATAATTCAGTTTTGATTATCTATCTTAATGGACATGTTGAGGAATAACTTTAACTGTAAACAAACTTTATAAACATCCAATACAGCAAGTTAGTTTGTCATATCTTCTCTTCTCAACTGTCTTCATGTACTGTACTTTAAAATTGTTCAACAGGTGTTACCACATTCTGTTATTTTCAGTCTCAGTGGTTTACAATATATATATGTGGTGTGATAAACCTCTGATAGCTGGCTTTTTAAGTTTTTGTAAAGCCTCTCAGGCATTTTGTATCACTGGGCTGCTACTCTTAGAGCACAGTAATAGAGAGCTGAATCTGACAGAGTTACACTGTTAATAGTGAGATTAGTGGATGTTTGGGATGTGGTCGGTCGAAACCGTTCTTCTGTTTTATCCTCTCCTCCATATGATCGAGCACCTTTCCGCAGTAAATACTGAGGTTCTGTGTTAGGATACTGTCTGTACCAGTAAAGATATATATAACTGCTGCTTGTATCATATGTGCAGCTCAGTGTCACAGACTCTCCTTCTCTGCTGGTCTTATTAGGATCCTTGTCATTTGGTCCAATGCTGTCAGCAGCAAACACACCTGCAATAAAATAGAGCAATTGCACACTAAACCAGCCCTTTTCAATAAATCAAAAAATCATTGTTAAAAACACCATTTGATCTTTAATGTATGTAATATATTCACCTGAAATCGTCATGAGAGTCACTAGCAGACAGGCCTCCATGCTAATACTGTCCCTTAGTTTAAACATGTTTGAGTAGGTTTTGATCACAGTTTTAGGAAGCTTGCTATTTATCATTTTTGAGATTCATATATGCACACCCATAAACTTTTGATAAATGAAATAAATTATGTAGATTGATGCATGGATTTATACTGTAGTGGGAGGTGCTAATGAATAGTGTGGGTGTCGGAGCCAAACCTCTATCCATTTGTATCCTTTCATAATGTACATATGAGGAACAGTGCCATTTACTGATGTGAATTACTGTATATGTAATCAATATCAATCGTATGATAAGGTGACACTTTTTATGCAATCTATTCTTCCCGTGGATCTTAAAATAATCTACAAAACGCAAATGGTTTCTTTCAAAACGGTTCTTCCAATTCATATTAAACAATTTATATTATTGAAACTGCTTCGAGTTTACAATTTTCCTTTCTTATTGAATATATTTTAGTTCACATGAGAAGACAAATGTCTGTAAAATGTCAAATTTATTTAGCTGTAAAGCGCATGTACGGCAACTTGTTAGTTCATTATCATGTCACTCCTTCTCTACTCTCTTCATGCACTCCTGAATTGTTCAGCAGGTGTTATACCACATTCTGATATTTACAGTCTCAGTGGTGCATGTGGTATAATACACATTTGATAATTAAGTTTTAAACCAAGAACTGTGTGTGAGAGTTTTTGTAAAGCCTCTCAGGCATTTTGTATCACTGGGCTACAACTCTTAGAGCACAGTAATATAGAGCTGAATCTGACAGAGTTGCACTGTTAATAGTGAGTTCAGTGGATGTTTGGGATGTAGTCGACTGAAACCGTTCGTCTGTTTTATCCTCTCCGCTGTATGATCGAGCACCTTTATACAGTAAATACTGAGGTTCTCTATTAGGATACTGTCTGAACCAGTAAAGCCAAATATTATTGCTGGTTGTATCATATGTGCAGCTCAGTTTCACAGACTCTCCTTCTCTCCTGATTTTATTCGAATCTTCGTCACTTGGCCCAATTCTGTCAGAAAACACACCTGAAAGTAATAAAAGACACTTCACAAATCCAATCCTTTCAATGAAATTAAAATATAAAGTGTGATTTACCTGATATAATTATGAGGATTAATAAACACCTCTCCATGTTGATATTTCAGATCTGAACTGTTTTTAAAAGAACAATTGAACAAAGTGAAAATTGTATGTTGTTTTGTATGATCATTTATACATAATACTTTACATAAATCATATAGGTAAATTAATGTCCTAGAGAACCGATGTGCTTTATTGGGACTCCCTCGAAAATGAGATCTCAAGGGGCTATCTTTTAATAAACTCAAATTGAAATTCAAATTTATATTGTGGGTGTGGATTGTGATAAAAAGACTCGCCCCCTTTTCTGCCATCAAGTGTCGCTTTTGATCTGATGACTATAATTGAAATCTACATGGTATCCAAGCAGTTTGATTCAATAGGTCGAGAGAAGTCTGTTATTCAAACTGGATTATTTTTTTTTGTTTGTTTTTTTTGCAAATGTATTGAAATGCTGTTTTATCACAATAAACATTCACTGTAAAAAAAAATTAGTGAATTTCACAATAATAAACTGGAAGAAAGTGACAAGAACTAACTGCAAAAACAGTAATAAATGTCAACAATTGTCAAGTTCATGTTAACTAATGTTAACTAACTGTGCTGTTAACGTGAATTGATGCGTATATGTGTGAGTTAACGTTAACAAATATTAACCAATGCTGAACAGAGATGTTGTTCATGGTTAGTTCATGTTATTAACTAATGCATTAACTAATGTTAACTAACCGTGCTGTTAATGTAAATTGATGCTACATGTGTAAGTTAACGTTAACAAATGTTGAACAGAGATGTTAACTAATGTTAACTAATGGAACCTTATTGTAAAGTGTTACCGTAAAGGCATTGTTAAAATAATCCAAGTGACTACAGTGGCTCAACCATAAGTTTATCAAGCAACTAAATAATTTTTGTGTGCAAAAAAACAACAAAAAATAACGACTTTATTCAACTATTAATTTTCTTCTCTGTGGGCCTCGAATGAGTAGTGTAACTGCGCATCGCTTCTGTGTTGTAAGTCTAGGCGGAGGAGTGAGACAGCTCTCAGAATTAATCAAAAATATCTTAATTTATTTAGATTAACATCTCTTTGTTCCGAAGATGAACTAAAGTCTTACGGGGTTGGAACAACATGAGGGTGAGAAATTACTGACAGAATTTTCAATTTTGGGTGAACTATCCCTTTAAGAATTCTGGGTCTATTTTTGTGACTTTTCTATGTTTTGATGTTTGTTTTATCAGTCTCCTCACATAAGCTGATTCAAGCACTGACTTTTTTCAATTTGATTAAATTGTATAAGATCATTGACAGTTATTGTACTTATTAGCTGGAAAAAAAGAAGAGAGAGAGAGAGAGAGACTTTTACCTTTAAAAGATTGGATATTTTATGTAATTGTTCCCTATATTATTTGATTATTATTGATTCATTATTGTTATGCATTCAATGTCGAAGAATTGTTTTTGTATGAGTGTTGAGTGTGTTTGAGTCACAGTGGGCTGCAGAGCACAGTAATACACAGCAGAGTCTGACACACTCACATCCTGGATTGTCAGTATAACTGAGTTTGAGTCCAGTCTGGCATCAAATCTGTCTTCGAATTCAGAACTGCTACTTGATCCAAATTTGTATTTCATCAGTATATATTCAGGAAGGCCATCAGAGCGCTGGATATACCAGAAAAGATATGGAGCAGTCTGAAGTGTTTCATATTCACAGCTCAGGGTAACCTGCTGTCCTTCAGTGCCAGTTTGTGTCTCACTTGGCTGATTAACAGTGTCTTTCCCAAAGCTTCCTGTGAATAAATAATAACACAATTATACAAGCAATGCCATAATAATGAAGTTATTTTCAAACAATAAAGGTTTGCTCACCATAAAAATTAAAGGCAAAAAATATTAAAACAGGTATTCTATATGTCATCATTGAGTATCTATGTTAGGAAATAGAAATAAAAAATGTCATTGAAAGCGTGTTCCAGCGCTGGAGGAGAAGCTTTGTTTCCTGTTTGTCATGTTGATGTAGTGATGATGTTCAACAGCAGTTTTTCTTTTCAATCAAGGCTTGCAATTGTAAACATGGGGTGATGTCATGTGTATGTAGATATCGCCATCTTCAGGTGGAAAATATTACACATCTGTGTCCCTACTTCCAACTGCAATATAAAATCCACAACAATTACTTATCAATTGCACTTTTTTTTCTTAAAAGTTATGTAATTGTCAACCCGTGTTCAACGCAGGTTCAATGAAGTCAATGACTTGAAAGCACACTGGAATATAAATTAAAGAAAAGTGTAAAAAAAATATGTATATATATATTCATAGATGGATTTTGCCATTTTACATTTTTGTACATTCATGTTGTTTTCAGAGGTTTTCATAAAGTAAATAATTAATTTTATAAGTAGCAATTTGGCAGTTTATAGCATGTGCAACAAATGCGTTGGTCATCTGTCTTTTTTAGGTGGTAATAACTTCTTAATCTTAATTACTTCTGTAATTAGTATTTAGGTTTACAGAGGCTTTATAATCATGGAAGTAATCACATCACAACTGATGTTAAACAACAACATACACAGGTTTTTTGTTTGTTTGTGTGCGGTGTGTGTTTGAGTCACATGGGCCTCAGAGCACAGTAATACACAGTCAGACACACTCACACACATGCTGGATTGTCAGAGGAATTGTTCCTGATGTGGAGTCTATTTTTGCATGAAATCTCTCCTTAAATTCAGGCTCAGTTGTTCATTTCTCAATGGAAAAATCACTCAGAATGAGTGCGATCTGTTTAGTAGTTGTTTGTACCAGAAGAGATAAGATTGTTTGTGGTATGTTCCCATCTTGGTTAATGGTTTTGCATATTAAGAAAAATGCCCAAAATTCAACATTATGTTGTGAAATAATTCACCAACTGTGCAACTAAAGTCAGAATCGATTAATTGGATTAAATCAGAAGTAAAATGACATTTATTGGATAGATCATACTTTTTCAGGCAGACTCAAGCAGAAATGATAATCTAATGTTTAATCACATTTGTCAAGCTGCGATGTACTAAAGTCAAGTGGAATGCTACATGTTTATTATTAGTTATTTTTATCTCTTTCAAAAGTTTTCTTACTTTTGCCTTTATAACTTGAATACAATTTAATTTGTAACCATACACAGGTGTTTCCACTGGTGTAATTGGATTATGTGAATCATAGATTGTGGGTTTGATGTGGCTTGACATCAAAGTGAAAAATACATTTGAGTTTTTGTACAGCTTCACTTAGACTTTGTATCACTGGGCTCCAACTCTTAGAGCACAGTAATAGAGAGCTGAATCTGACAGAGTTACTCCATTAATAATGAGTTCAGTGGATGAATCTGATGTAGTCGACTGAAAGCGAGAATCAGAGGGGCTCCCAGTACTGGTCCATGAACGAGCTTCTTTCCACATTAAATACCGAGGTTCTTCATTAATATACAGTCTGTACCAGTAAAGTCTAACATAATTGCTGCTAGTTTCATATGAGCAGCTGAGAGTCACAGTCTCGTCTTCCTTCTTTATGATGACAGTTTCTTTATTTGGTCCAATCTGGTCTGCAGTCATCACACCTAAAACAAGCAAGTAAGAAAATTATGAGTTAAGTAACATACAATTATCTTTTACACTGTTTTTCAAAATCATTGATTAATAAAGGTAGTCATTGTACCTGAAGTCATAACTAAAACCAGAAACAGGTGTTGTTCCATGTTTAGTAGGTGATCAGTGAATATATCACGGTGTTCTGATGCTTTTTACAATCTGCAATAGTGCATGAGGTGCTGTCATATTTTGATGTAGATATCGCCATCTTCAGGCTAAAAATATTTTTAGCATCTGTGTGTCATGAGTCAACTTCCAACATAATTGTAACATAAAACCAAAAAAGTTGTAGAATAAAATAAAATAAACATTTTTGGAATATCAGATAGCACAGTATCACTAAAAAACAACAAAATATCAGTATCAGCATTTTATTGTTAGATTTATAGTGCAAGGATGTTTTTTTTGTTTTATTTTTGTATTTCATTTTTTGAAGGTTCACTGCAGGCACTGCTGACTCGAAGATGAATTAATAAAAAGTTTTTTTAAAAGTACATAATTTACAGCAATTTAATTTGGCATTTACAGTCACGTTATTTTTTAGAGGCTTTTATAATATAAAAATAACATAAGTAGCAATTGGTAAAGCAGTTTCTTAGCACTTAAAAAATGTAGGCAGTAAAATGTTTTATTAAATGTAATAATCATTTTATCTGACAGAGTGGAACAGTGGAAGATCTCGCATCACATGTTTTTTGTATGAGTGTTGAGTGTGTTTGAGTCACAGTGGTCGTCAGAACACAGTAATACACAGCAGAGTCAGACACACTCACATCCTGGATTGTCAGAGGAAATGATTTTGAAATGGTGTTGAGATCACCACTAAATCTTTCTTTGAACTGATAGTCAAATTTGCTCAGCATACATTCTGGAAATCCATTTACTTTTTGCTGGTACCAGTAGAGAGTTGGTGATATATCAGTGGTTTCATATTGACAGTTGATTGTTACAGCTGATCCTTCAACAGCAGTTTGAAATCTTGGATTTTGTTCAACGCTGTCCAGAGAATCACATCCTGTAATGTAGAATATCACTGATGAGGATCTCATATTCATATTAGAGGAATATTACATACTTATGAATTTGACTTACCCCAGAAATATGTGAGAAAGAAGACTACAGTTTTTTTCCAGTTTGCCATCACAATAATTTAAATAAATAATATGAAATCCACAGCAGACTCTTGTTTCAGCCTCTCTTTGATAAGGTTGTACTAACACTGTCACACATGCAGAGAACAGCAGGAGGAGTCTGACTGCACCTGTTCCTGAATACTGAATTGTTGAATTACTTAATGATTCTGAGTCTATTTCAACAAATTTTCAGTGTTCTGATGTTTTAACATGCTGGTTCAAGCACTGACCCGAACTAAACCAATTCTAGACGCACTTGACGTTTTTATTGTACTTGGGTTTATAATTAGAAGAAACTTAAAAAAAATAAGACACTTAAAGTCAATTTTTTCTAGACTATACTATACATTACATATTATCATGCCACCAGCATCGAACAGGTTTTAAAATTGTATTTATTTTTGTTATTCAATCTTAAAATATGTTTGGTTTATTGTTTGTTCTGATGATTGGTTTTGCATGCTTTGTATATATTAATAACAACCCATTATATGTTATTTTGATCTCTTTCACTTTTCTTACAATTTCCCTTTAATAACTAACCACACACAGGTGTTTCCACTGGTGTAATCATATTATGTGAATTATAGATTGTGGGTTTGATGTGGCTTGACATCAAAGGGCAAAATTAATACAAGTTTTTGTACAGCTTCACTTAGACTTTGTATCACTGGGCTCCGACTCTTAGAGCACAGTAATAGAGAGCTGAATCTGACAGAGTTACACTGTTAATAGTGAGTTCAGTGGATGAATCTGATGTAGTCGACTGGAAGCGAGGATCAGAGGGGCTCCCACTGAAGGTAGCTGATCCGGCAGGTTTAAATATTAAATATTGAGGTTCTCTATTAGCATACTGTCTGTACCAGTAAAGATAACGATAACTGTTGCTAGTGCTATATGAGCAGCTGAGAGACACAGTCTCGCCTTCCTTCTTTATTATGAGGCTATTTTCTTTATTTGGCCCAATCTGGTCTGCAGTCATCACACCTAAAACAAGGAAAGAAGAACATTGTCAAGTCACACAAAATAATTTCTTACATTCTACATCAATGAATAAAGGTCATTTTGTACCTGAAGTCAGAATTAAAATTAGAAACAGATATTTTTCCATGTTGACTACACTGTAGATCAATTCATGTTTTCTGTGCTCTAATGGCAATGCTTTATTTCAGTGCTCACAGAAGAGGTGTGTCTTCAGAAATTGATGGTTTCAGATGCAGGAGATTGGTTGACAGTTTTTTAACGCATGCACAAGAGAGCCTTGAAAAAGACATCAGAATGTTCGGGATTGGGCTCTGTCTGATTAAAGAATGAACACACCATCAGATTCTGGGTCATAGAATGTACTCCTAAAAAGAGTTGAAGATAAAAATAGGCCTAACTAAAAGAAAATAATGTAGATCTGCTTAGCTTGAGTAGAACTTTGCAACAATTTGCAGGTTCATCTTGATGGTTTCCCACAAAGATCACTTTTATTGATTAGTACTGATTATTACTCATTTGCATATAGAGAATATGAAGCTACTTCACGCCGCGTTGCATGCTGGGGCGGCGCTACCATCTTAAGTGAATGTTCCAGGTAAAATAATTTGTTAACGTTGGCCGGCAGAAGTGTGATCATGGTTTTCCTGATGCTAAATCCAGCCTAGGAGAATATCCTTTCTGATGGTGTGCATCCACACTTTAGATTGTCTCACCCCTGATATCTTTAAAGATTTAAATCCCTGCCACCTTTATTTTAAACCAACTGAAACTCCGCCCACAGCCGATTCTAAAGATTGTATTGGTCATGTTAATCATAGTACACTGATTGCCTGCACCAAACACTAATCAATAATCCTAATTTAATTAAATTGATCAAACATTAATTCATACTCAAATTAAAATGGAAGGAATTTAAATATGTTTAAAAATGTACTCAAGAAATGAGAATCAACACTAAATATTTTTGCTATGTGTGTCATCATCATAATATTGTAAATGTGCTTAATTAAATTAAATTGAACTGAATTGAATGAAGACATCTAGAACATCTGTTGTAACCCCCTTTTGATGCTTCAGTCTCTCTTTGCTAAAGTTACACTGCAAACACCATAGGAGACTGACTACCCCAGTAGGCTATCTGAATAAAGATAGCATAAAGGATTTGTGGTTCTAATAATTTTGTAGAATATTTTGCATTAAGTTTGATTGAATATGATATTTCAAATTGGTCATTGCTTTCATGTGTTCAACATAGGCCTATTTGTTGGAATTGGCTACAATGTTTCAAAAACAAGTTGTAAATAGAAACCTTAGATGCACTTCCCAATATTATGAAGCTGCAGACTGATAGATTTAAGATTTCTTTAATTAAGAAGACACGAGCCAGTGTGGATCTTCTGTTTTTATTTGAAAGTATTGCAATTTCCACTGATCTATGCACCCATAAACAGATTAAAAAATGGACATTTGATCTTTTATGATTTAATTTATAGACAAAAAAAATAATGAAAGAGGTAGAAAATTAGATTTGTAATACCTGTTATTAAGTAAATGAAAAAGTAGTAGCTTATGATCCTGAAATAAGGCTTGATGATATTAATATGTGGTGCACATCGCCACCTTATGGTTACCAAAAAAAATTACAAAATGACAATAGATTTCTCACTTATGGTCTATTTTTTAATGTAGCTTCCTCCAAAGTTTAAAAATCAAAAATCTGCATTCTGCTTATGAATATAGTTTATTTGTGAAATTAAGCTTTGACTTAATGACTGTAATGTTGGGTTTGTACAACGATTTAAGTCTAATTTTAAACATGGGCATTTGGATATGTTCCATCAGACTTTTGTTCTCAGTGTCTGAGTTGGCAATTTGGGAATGTGATTCTTTCTTTTATGTACTTCAGTCTGTTAGCAGAAGGCATAATAGTTATGCCTTTTTTTGTTGTGTCAGGTTTTTGTACGGTGTTCTAGTGTTTCCTGTGACTGTGGGCCTCAGAGCACAGTAATACACAGCAGAGTCTGACACTTCAGCAGAGGAGATCTCCAGATCCACACGTTTGATCTTTTCTTCTTTTCTAGTCTTAGTAGAGAATCTGGGATCTACCTCAGATGTCTTAGTCTCTTTCACACCCTCGATTATGAGCACAAGAAATTGAGGAGCTGATCCGGGAGACTGACGGTACCATAGAAGTGAATTAGCAGAGGAATAACTGCAGGATAATGTAACAGTTAAAGACACTGCAGCAAACTCTTCCCTGCGGTCTGGTGTGATTTCATCTCCAAAACTCACACCTGGAAAACAAAATAAAACATTTTTAATTTCCAAATAGTAATGGAATTTATATATTTTTTTACAGTGATTTGAAATTGTATACATACAATAAACAATACTTATAGTATTAGATATTAATGTATACATTGTCATTATACGATATGAGATACTATATTGTATCAGTTTACAATGAAACAAAGTTCATTAAGGAAGATGAGAAAATTATTGATGATAAAACTCTCAAAGTATACCTGAGTTTTTTGGAAAAAAAATGCATGTAAAAGTGTACTTACATGCCAAGGCAAAGAGCAGAATGACTGAAAGAAGTATCATTGTATATGTGTGTGTGTGTGTTCAGTACAGCAGGACTGAGCTTTGTGACAGTCTAGCAAATGTAACAAGATCATCTAAGATGTTAAACTCCTCCCCTCTCTCAGTTTGATGCCAAAACCATCACATATGTACACATTTAAAGCCAAACATTACATTTAGTCTAATAAATGTGATATCTGCTCATGCAAAAAGGCTGTAAAAACTTTAAAATAAATACAAAAGATAGAGCAAAAGAACATGAGGGTAAGATATTAATCCATAAATCAGTTACATTGTATAAATGTTATGTTATGTTTAAATATATTTCACAAGAAATATTAGGCCTAATGCAGGGTCCAAAGAAGTTGAGACACTTACACACATATATAAGGCATCTTTTAAAAGCTTTTTTGTATAAAATGTATATGTAGTGTATATAACAACAAAAATTTACAATTTTTTTTTTTAAAAAATTAAAAAGTATAGAAATTTCTGTTGTAAGCTTCAGCTGATGGACACCATGCATTGTCAAGGGAACATTCCAGGTGAAAATAATGAGGAAATTACGCTGTCTTTCGTTGCTCCCTTCACCAAGTGCGATCCAAACGGCTACACACACAATGCTGTCTGAATGCTCACAAGCAATATGCATGTCCTAGCCGGTTCATCACTTGGTTCCCTCAGGAAACATTTCTATTGTGGTCTATGCTATTTGAAGTGCGTGTCTGTTATTGGTTGGGTTGTGTTGTGAACTTTTGCAGCAGGTTTTTGGTTGTGCTGTGAGTATTTGGAGCATTTTGTAGTATTTTGTGTTGTGAAACTTATTTAATTTGCGGGTGTTTTTCAATTTGCATGTGTTTTCTTTAGTTGCAGCGCGTTAAGCTCTCTTGACCACTGTAGGATTTGCACTTTGTGATATAATTTGGACTTGAACACTGTTTTTGTATGAGTGTTGAGTGTGTTTTAGTCACTGTGGGCTGCAGAGCACAGTAATACACAGCCGAGTCTTTCAGAGTAGCAGAGGAGATCTCCAGATTCACATGGCTTTGTTTTTCTTTTCTGATCTCAGAAGTGAATCTGGAATCTACATAAGACTTCTCAGGGTCTTTTGCACCTTCTGAGATGAGCACTAGAAATTCAGGAGCTGATCCGGGATACTGATGGTACCAGTGAAGAGTATATGCAGAGGAATAACTGCAGGATAATGTAACACTTGAACCCTCGACAGCAAACTCCTCTGTTTTGGCTGGTTTAATTTCATTCCCATACGTTGCATCTGCAAAAGTATATCAAATCTTTAATAAACTGCTGTTTAAATTGAGTCAGTCCTTTTAGACGTACCAGCATAAAATACAATATAGTACAATAATTCAGAAATGAGCAATTCTGCTCAGAACTCTTGGATGCAATATTCAAAATACTTAAACACTTACATGCAAATGCAGAAAGCAGAATGACAAAATGGAGTATCATTGTGTTTGTTCCTTATCCTCTGTCGAACAGACTCTCTAACAGACGCTTAACAAGATCACATCAGATGTCAAAGCTTTAAACCCTCCCTCTTCCAGAGAGCTGAATGAAAGAGCAGATCAGATCATAGTCCATCCAGTGTCATCACTATATGCTATAGTGCATAGCTCCCTCTTGTGGTTACTTACTAACTTGTACAATGTAAATGCTCAGAACACAAACAGAATGTGAGACAACAGTTCTAGTGTTGTTAGTCCACATCCTTTATTGTGCAATGTAAAGGACATGCAATCTTCTGTAGTCAGGTGGTCAGGGGATTAAAGTTTAATTTCAGGGTATCTGAATTTATTAATAATCTTAAAAGGGGTTATTTAATTGCAGTCAATCTCAGTCTTATCAAAATTATCAATGGTAAATATAAATAACTGCATTTAGTGTAGTAATTATATATATATTCTGTACTTTAGATATTACTAAGCCCAGACAAAATCTGCAGACTTTTTTCTTCATTGAATTTGGGAAAAAGTGTGAAATGGTTTTAAACTGTTTAATACAGTTATTGTTAGCGGAAAACATTAATTAAACTCTTTGATATTATGAAAAAAAGAATGCAAATTACAGGATATGTGAATGGCAGTCATTCCAATTTTGGGAGTTTTATGCAGTTTATACCCTTTATGGCTGATTATTTTATCCACTGTAATGTGTCTCCCTATAGTTTTTGTATGAGTGTTGAGTGTGTTTGAGTCACAGTGGGCCTCAGAGCACAGTAATATACAGCAGAGTCAGACACACTCACATCCTTGATCATCAGAGGAACTGTTTTTGTGGAGGTGTTGAGATTGGCATCAAATCTCTCTTTAAACTGTTCATCAATCTCACCAGATCCAGGAAATTTCTTTAGCATATATTTAGGAAATCCATTTATTTCTTGCTGGTACCAGAAGAGATATGGAAATGAATCAGTGGTTGAATATGTACAGTTGATTGTTACAGATTCACCTTCAAAAGCAACTTGAGCACTTGTTTTCTGTTCAATACTGTCCAGAGAATCACAGCCTAAAATAGAATTAAAAAAAAGTTTTAATGACATGTAAAAATCTCACACACATTCACACACAGTGAATATAAAAATGAATCTAAAACCACACATATTTTGTTATGCCACTTACCCAAGAAATATATGAATAGAAAGATAACCACGCTTTGCCAGTTTGTCATTATGTCTGTTGCGTGCTTTCCAATCACTAAGTCATAAACATATACTGAGGAGTTCTGAGCCTCTTCTTGTATTGGCATCTGTGATGTAGTAGACCTAAAAACTTCATAGGAGGAGCTTCTGCTGACATCAGATTTATAATTAGAAAAGAATTGTATGATTTACATCTGTCTGCTGTAACCAAACACATTTTTAAAGTATTTAAAAAGAATTCTTCTTCCATTTTGTCTTAGTTTTTTTTTTTTTTATCTATTTTTTTTTTTTTTTTAACTTTTTTAAAGCAGGTTGCACATGGATCCCAATTCCATATTAACATCGGCATCATTACTGGTTTAGATTTTTACTGTTTTGAATCTGAAGGGAATAGATCAAAATAAATGGTGTTAGTAAATATTGATTGAATTATTGGATATCATCATGTAACTGTCTGTGAGGTCTGTTACCATTTCTTATTATTTTTACTGTAACCCTTTCACTGCGGCTAGTGCTTTCTCATATAATGTATTTATAGATGTATTTCTTTACTACTTATTTTTTGCATTAGATTTTTAGATGCATTTCTTGCATCTTGCATCTGGCTTGCATTACTGCTACTTCTCTGACATATAACACGTATGTCTGCACTGCTATATGCTATTTTAAGTGTTTTGTGATGCACTGCCCCTTTTCTGAAACTTCAGTTTATGAGGATAGAGTCGTATTGATGATGTTTTTGTACAGTGTAGATTGAGTTTCCTGTCACTGTGGGCGTCAGTGCGCAGTAATACAGCGCAGAGTCTGACACTTCAGCAGAGGAGATCTCCAGGCTCACAAGATTGTTGTTTTTATCGACTTTAGGTAAAAAACGAGGAGGAAGATTGTCACTTGTTGTTCCATGTGGATAAATGAATGCAAGGAACTCTGGTTTGGATCCCAGATACTGACGATACCAGTGCAGGTTTTCTACAGATCCATTATATTTACAGGACAGAGTGACTTTTTCTCCTTCAGATTTAAGCACCTTGTTTTCCTGCGGCTTTATCGACTGTGCAAACGTCTCTCCTGCAAGAAAATATTACAGGTTTTTTTTTAATCAAACTTAAGCAAAGAAAGAATCATGTGGATTTGTCAGTTAAAAAAAGTTTAAAGCAATATTAAAACTCCAAACATTGTACAAAACAAGAAAGTATGTGATTAAAGGTCTAGTCCTTCAGTAAATCAGGTCTAGAATCAGTAAATTTCTCTTACTTTTTATCATCAATAGCAGAAGCAGAACATAAAGGATCGTCATGTTTGCACTGTAGGAAGAAAGAGAGTTTAGTTTGCTTTGCTCTATATCAGATCTCACAGGCTCCTCCTATCTGTCAATGTAAAAGAATGAGAACATTAATGAACACTGAAGTGTACATTTGAATCCATAATATACCATAACCATAATATAATACTGTACTGTAGAAGACATACAAAAAATCTAAGCTCATCTAATCATAAAGATTCTCTTCTGCAATATGGATTTTTATGTAGCTCTACTGTTGGTTATTGTAATAAAGCCCTGTTTTTTGGTTTCACCTATAAAATACATTATAGACCTCACTTATTAAAGTTAAATTATTAAATGTTTATCCAAACTCATATTTTAACTCTTTAAAAATGGATGAACACATGTTTAAATGACAATGTTAAGTGTATATCGCCCTCTTCTGGTCTGTCATTGCTTTCCCCACATCGTGATTTTGCCAAGTAAGACATGTTCCTGGATCAACATTCCTGTCCCAAAATGTAGTCCTTACCCAATCCCTACCCCTAAACCTAACCCTACCCATAACTTTTCCCTAAAATCAGAGGGTAATGATTGGTGAATAACACTGATGTTTATGTACTTCACCCTGGTTCTAAGCCTAAATTTGACATCAACTGTAAACTTGTCCCTCAAGTCCCTTGATTGGAAAGTTGATCCAGGATCAACAAAGATGTTTATCCAGGAACATGTGGTACTTGGTAAAATCACGTTCACCGCTTTCCGCACATGCATAGATCTCTTCACAAAATAGATTTTAGCAATAACCAGATTCTTGGTGTTTCATATTATTTTAATGGTAGGAGCAATATGAAATCAATTGAAACCAACATTAAGGAAAGAGTGATAAAAATGTAAATATAACTAATGTAAAATTATATAATGAACTGAATGTAAACTATATTAATGGATAAAAGGTTTCCGAAATCGCATAGGTAAGCAATTTATTCTAATATAAATTGAAATTGCATGATGTAATTTATGCCGTTGTGTTGCACTGTGAGGGTTTTTGTATGAGTGTTGAGTGTGTTTGAGTCACAGTGGGCTGCAGAGCACAGTAATACACAGCAGAGTCAGACACACTCACATCCTGGATTGTCAGAGGAACTGATGTTTTGCTGAGATTTGCTTGAAATCTCTCCTTAAATTCATCTTCATTCTGTCCGGTTGTAGATAATTTATTTAGCATGAACTTGGGGATTTCATTTACTTTCTGCTGGTACCAGAAGAGAGTCGGGTTTGAGTAACCAGTCTGATATGTACAGTTGATTGTTACATCATCACCTTCAACAGCAGATTGAATCTTTGTATACTGATCAACTTTGTCTTGAGAATTACATCCTGAAATTAAGAAAATATGTGGAAAACATTCACCCGTTTGATGCAAGGAATGCACACAGACACATAAGGAGAATTATTATAAGCTAGAAAATAATCATTATTTGATAGTTCTACTTACCCCAGATATATAAAAATATGATCACAATGGCACTTCCCCAGAGTGCCATTATACACAATTGAAATGACCAAAGCCTGTATGCAGAGATGTTGTGATCCTCTTTCTGCATCTGTTAAAGCAACAATAAATTCAAGTGATTTGTTCTGACTGCTGGGAGGAGCCTGTGCTACAGTATTAGCCAATTAAGACTATAGGTTATGTACTACAGTTATCACTTCAAATTTATAGGCTATGTGTAGTAATGAATCTCAGGATGTATGTATGTATGTATCCATGTTTTTGATTATCCTATATCACGCTTTATTCACTGAAAATCACAGTACAATATCGTCTTTCTTCCAATATTTCCCAGCAACTCTGTATATCAGTCCGCTTATCTGAATAACTGAAACCGGCACAAGTTCAACAGTTCATTTAACAGTTGTTATTAATAAGAATAAAATTAAATTAAAAAAAATAATAAACTCAGATTAACATAGATTATAACAGTCTAATAAATATCCCAGTGCAAATGTTTGCAGACATTACACACATAGAGGGAGTCTGTAATGGATACACAGGAGGCAAGTAGATGATGGCAGGATCACATGACAAACGTGATCAAGACAAGACCAAATCATAAATGAATATTTCCGATAGACAGTAAAAGAAAGATATTTCCCACCAACATAACAGATTATGCCACACTCAATTTCTGAAATTACATTGTTTTTGTTTGATTAAAAAAGGATTCAAAGTAATAGCAGCTTCTGTTTGACTTTTAAGGTTTTTACCTTTTTTTTTTACTTTTGAACAGTACTAAAAAATATGTACATGTTCATTTTATTTTATTTTATTAAAATATTGTCACATATGACTAGCAAACAGATGTGGCTTTGCATTTTTCTTTTTTCTTTTTTTTTTAGATATTTACTGTAATGGTCAAGAATAATCAAGAAAAGTATTGTTTATATAAGCTTGTGGGAATTTGCTTATATAAACCAGGTGTAAACTAAAAGTTTTGTCAAAGTAATGTCCTTAGTCATAATGATAATGATGGAAATTTTACATTTAAATTGCAATTAAAGAAGTAGATTCAACTAGAAGTAGATTTAATTAAAGAAGTAGATTTAGATGTGTATTTGTGCACTGTAGGGACATCATGAAACATAATATCCTGAATATTTCTTTGAAGTTGTATAACAGGCATAATACCACCTCACACAGGTGTTACCACATATTTTATTACATTAGATTGGGGTTTTGATTGTGGTTTTCTCCAGATTTGTTCAAAGTGAAAAGAGCTTCAGGTTTTTGTACGACATGTTTCATGTTTTGTATCACTGGGCTACATCTCTCAGAGCACAATAATAGAGAGCTGAATCTGACAGACGTGCATCAGTAATAGTGAGTTCAGTGGACGTGCGTGATGTAGCCGACTGAAACCGATCATCAGTGGTGTGTGCATAACTATATGATCGTGCACCTTTGCGTAATAAATACTGCAGTTCTCCGTTTGGATACTGTCTGTACCAGTAAAGAAAAACATAGTCACTATTTGTATTATATGAGCAGCTCAGCTTGACCGTGTCTGTTTCTTTGGAGGTCTCTGTATTTTTATCTGGCTCAATGTCGTCTCCAGACACCAATCCTGTCAACAATAAAATGTGATTTTTGTGAAAGCAAAGTTGACAAAATATTACTGAGAACACATTTCACATGTTTTTCAAAAACACAATTAAATTAAAATTTAGCATTGGGGTTTGATAATTAAAAACAAAGTAAATATTGATATACAGCATTTCATTAATCATTTAATAAATAGCATACCTGTTCCCACAAAGAGAATAAGTATGAGGCATCTGTCCATGTTGAATCAGATCAGTTCAGTTCTCTGTTGAGGCTCGCAGTTCTCTGAGGTGTAAGACACTGAAGATCACACAGACACACACACAGGAACTTCCTCCTCCCTGAACTTCCTGCTGCTGTTTATGACTGTCATTTAACTATAACTACACAATTTTTACTTTATTTATTAGACTTTTTTGTATTGAAAGATGTTTGAAGATTTACAACAAATGCAATAGAAGCAAGTTATATAACTTGTCTTGATGGAGTTCAGCTGTCGTGTGTATAACATGAAAGTGGTGACAATGATGATGATGATGATGATGATGATGATGATGGTAGAGTGTATTTGAATTTTTACAAAAAGTATTTTAAGAGTCTAGTGCCACAATAAAGTCCATAGTGGCCGGTGGAATACACTGTATTCTGCACACTGACCTTTATACCAAAGCATGAAATATTATTATCAAAGCATCATAATTATTATTCAGTCATTTGAAGAATGGAGAGGATAGAATGAAGAATGAGGATATTTTGGAAAAAGGTTTAATGGACAGACATATTAGAGCACCAATTGCGTATATGATTCAGGTTTGGGATTTAGAATATAATATGTTTGTAATGTTGAACCCGCCATGGGGGTTGAGTGTGGGCGGAGGATACGCAGCACAGGATGAAGCTCAATGAAACCTGAAGCTATGGAATTGCATGGTATGATAAATGATGAAGTATGTGGATAACTCCTTAGGAGATAATCGCCATTAAACATTGTCTGATCTCATTCCATGGCAGGCACGAAGTGGATACCTGCCATGTAACTCTTCAAATCCATTTCCAGTCACCTCTGTGTTTCCATAAAGGTGTATTTATCCTTCATCCTTAATCCGCATGTATTTTGCTTGCAGATTGAGAATGAAGGATCCTGCTCTCCAGATTGTCCATTACACTATTCACTTACCTGCTTTCTGCTCAACCGCTCAATAAACATGCTTAATTATCAATAAACATCCTGTTAACTTCCATCCACCTTGTCCGAGTCTGCCTCCCTCCTGTGAAACCACAGTATCTCCATGTGAATGTGTGTGAACACTGCCATCCTGTGGCAGACATGTACTGTACCTGCACATTGCACATGAGACTCATTTGAGATGTTTTATTGTTTGTTTGACAGTATTCTGAATTACATACTAAACGGCAAGTTAATAGCGATTTAATGTATCTTTAATTTGAATGTAATATAAATCTTTCACATTGCCACACAAATTCTTACTTTACAATAAAAAAACTGTGCACTTTTTGTTTTGGCACCTGTGATTTATTCATTGTTTCTATTACTTTTCTGACATACTGTGATTGTCAGTTTTTTTTTTCTATCGGTCTTCATCTATGTCTCTGTGTTTCTCTCATTGTAACAGGTTTTTGTATAGAGCTGATGTGTTTCCTGTCACTGTGGGCCTCAGAGCACAGTAATACACAGCAGAGTCTGATACTGTAGCAGAGGAGATCTTCAGATGCACATGGATTTGTTCCTTTTTTTCAACTTCAACAGTGAATCTTGGATCTACAGCAGATACCTGAGCTTCTTTTGCATTTCCAAAGGTGAGTACAAGAAATTCAGGTTTTGATCTTCCATACTGACGATACCAGTGGAGATCATCTGACCCTCCAGAGGTAGAAAAACTACATGATAATGTAACACTTGAACCCTCCTGAGCAAAAACATCGGTTTTGTTTGGTTTGATGACATTTCCAAATACAGCAGCTGGAAGAGAAAATATACATTTGTAAGTTTTTAGTGAGATGTTTTAAAGAATATTTATTTTTAACAAACAAAACAAAATTATATGCATCTAACAAAAGAACATGCCTACCAACTGATGAACAGAACAGAATAACTGAAAGAAGATCCATTGTTCAAGTGTTCACTGTGAGAAGAGTCAGACTGAATCGTTTCATCCACAGTCTCTTTCAGACACGATGAGATCATGTCAGATCTGTGAACTTCGAGTCCCTCCTCTCTGAGCAACATCATTTCTATATTTCACTCATGGGGAGCAGAAGAAAGAGCCAATCGCACTCATCAGTTTTTTTATTTATGCTATTACAGTTTTTCTCAGTTGCTTATTTCTTAAATCATCCTTATGATTTGCAAACCAGTAAGTGCATTTCTAAAAACAAATCTTACAAACAGCACCACACAATATATTCCATGCAAAAACCTCTATAACTTGCTCAAAACCCTTTGCTTATCTCTCAAAAGTAAGTGTTTTTTAATGAACACATCAGTGCCATCAGAATGACAAGTCCTTGTGTCATTGTTCACAAACAAGTTAGTCGAAATGCTTAGTCATGTTGTTAATCGAAGTATATTTTCACAGTATTCTTGTCATGTCCTGTGTCCTGCTCCCTGCCTTGCCTGGTTTTCTCTGCCCTGCTAGTGTTTGGATTTTCAGGGTTTTCCTCCACATGGTAGTTTTTATTTTATTTTTTTATAACAAATTAAAAGCCCATTGTTCTGCATCTCGAGTCCTCACCTCATCCGTCACCATATCCTCATAGCCATGGATTATAGAGACTAATACACAACATGTGTGTGTTTTCAGTCTGTCTAATTTCCTCTTATTTATTGTGAACATGTAAATATTAACTGACAGAAATATGAAGAATATTGTAATTATAGAATTATTAAGCTAGCAATTTTGGTTGCTAGCTTAATAATGGATCTTCAGAAATCGAGACTCATAAGACCAGGCAACATTTTTCCAGTCTTCAACTGTCCCTTTTTGGTGAGCTCTTGCAAATTGTAGCCTCTTTTTCCTATTTGGAGATGAGTGGTACCCGGTGGGGTCTTTTGCTCTTGTAGCCCATCCGCATCAAGGTTGTGCGTGTTGTGGCTTCACAAATGCTTTTCTGCATACCTCGGTTGTAACGAGTGGTTATTTCAGTCAAAGTTGCTCTTCTATGAGCTTGAATCAGTCGGCACATTCTCCTCTGACCTCTAGCATCAACAAGGAATTTTTGTCCACAGGACAGCCGCATACTGGATGTTTTCCCTTTTCACACCAGTCTTTGTAAACCCTAGAAATGGTTGTGCGAAAAAATCCCAGTAACAGAGCAGATTGTGAAGCTGCAACGCATTCTCATCCTAGGGCATCATCTAACTGACACTTTTGACCATGCGTCTAAATCCGACGCACATGGCAACCTTTAGCGTGAGTTAGATGACGCGGGTAGGTTAAGGTCTGGGGTAGGGTTAGACCACTAGGAGGCGCCTGTCTTATTAATGCTAAAGGGTGCCACGTGCGTCGGATGTTGACGCATGGGATGAGAACGGGCTGAAAATACTCAGACCGGCCCGTCTGGCACCAACAACCATGCCACACTCAAAATTGCTTAAATCACCATTCTTTACCATTCTGAGGACAACCTAAATGCATTGAAGCAACTGCCATGTGATTGGTTTATAAGATAATTGCATTAATGAGAAACTGAACAGGTGTTCCTAATCATTTAGGTGAGCTGTAGCCTATGTCAAAGGTAATATTGACTAACTACTGTCCTCTTATGGTTAATTGTGGGTTTTGCTTAGCGGAAACACTGCCATTTCATCGAGTTTAATGTATAAAGATATTTGTTTTCTGAAATACAAGATATTCTAAAGAGACTGGCGAACTAAAATAATATATTGGTATTCAATCTAATATATATTTCATACTGCCACAAGTGTGGCTTTTATATTTGGATTGTTTTGCATTAGATTAATTACATATTTGAATACAAGCTTCATTTTCACTATACCTGTGTTTCTCTCATATAACAGGTTTTTGTATAGAGCTGATGTGTTTCCTGTCATTGTGGGCACCAGAGCACAGTAATACACAGCAGAGTCTGATACTGTAGCAGAGGAGATCTCCAGATACACATGGATTTGTTCCTTTTTTTCAATTTCAACAGTGAATCTTGGATCTACAGCAGATACCTGAGCTTCTTTTGCATTTCCATAGGTGAGTACAAGAAATTCAGGTTTTGATCTTCCATACTGACGATACCAGTGGAGATAATCTGACCCTCCAGAGGCAGTAAAACTACAGGATAATGTAACACTTGAGCCCTCCTGAGCAAAAACATCGGTTTTGTTTGGTTTGATGACATTTCCAAATACAGCAGCTGGAAGAGAAAATATACATTTGTAAGTTTTTAGTGACGTTTTACCCAAACAAAAAACAAATACACTTTGCAAATTAACACACACACAAACAACAAAAGTAACATACCAGCTGAAGCATAGAACAAAATAACTGACAGAAGATTCATTGTTCAAGTGTTCACTGCGAGAAGAGTCAGACTGAATCGTTTCATCCACAGTCTCTTTCAGACAGGATGAGATCATGTCAGATCTGTGAACTTTGAGTCCCTCCTCTCTGAGCAACATCACCAAAACATACCTAAATGTGCCACTGAATTTTAAGAAGACAAGACAGATCTAGTCACATGAACTAATGTTACAATTAGATTGGACTGAACAAGGCTAAATTGGTGGGGCTTATATACAGTAAATGGTTACAAAGCTGTTGTAATGAAATTTATCTACCTATCCGTGTTAAGCACAAAAATAGATAAGATCTGTGTTCAACAAAGAGTTGTGACCCTTACACGTTTTGTCTATCATAATCATTACAAGTTAATCCAAAATGTATACATAAAGTTGAAAAAACCACAGACACAATAAAGTTTAAAAAACACAAGCAGGTTATAACTGGTGTGTTTTATGTCAGATCAAAACATTGGCATAAATGGACATTGACCCCTGTCTGGACTGTTTTGTGAGTACGGATTTCCCCATTAAAACTTACTGTATTGCATTTATTGTATCTTTTGTGTTTCCTGAGTGTGGATTGTGACACAAGCAGCTTTTCCACAAGTTGAGAGAGTTAAAGGATGTTTCATTGAACAAAGTTCGGGAGGAGCACGTTCAAATAATCAATCCAATTAACTTAACCAACTAACAGTTTTTCACCATAGCAATTTTACAGTCTTTTACAGTTAAAATCACAATAATTTTTTACAGAGTAATAAAGTTTATTGTAGTTCACTGTTACTTAGTTTCATCATGATTTTATTACAGTTTTTAAATGTCAAAAAATACTTTTTAAAGAGTCACATTCAAATGTTTATGCCTCAGTGTTTTTGTATGTGGTTTGACTTGAGTTTTGTCACAGTGGGCCTCAGAGCACAGTAATACACAGCAGAGTCAGACACACTCACATCCTTGATCATCAGAGGAACTGAGTTTGATGAAATTTCAGAGTGAAATCTCTCCTGAAACTCAGTGCCATTTTCTCCAATTCCAAACTTGTCCCTTCTCAGGATGTATTTAGGAATGTCATTTGCTCTCTGGACGTACCAGAAGAGGTATGGCTGTGTTGAAGTTGTCGTAAATGTGCAGTTTAATGTCACTGATTTTCCTTCAACTTCAGTGACACGTTTGACTGGCTGGTCGACTTTCTCTTCTGATCTGCACTCTGTAAGGTTTTAAGAATATTTTTTTTTTATGTTTATCATGGAATCCATATCAACAAACAATCTATACAAAAATGATCTAAATGCTTAAAAATGAGTTGAAATGCATACCAAGACTGAATAGTGCAAATAGAAATATAATCCTCATCCACCTCATGATCTGTTTTAAATTGACACTGACAATCTGTTGACAGTTTTGCTTTCATAAATATCAAAAAGACTCTGAGGAGGAGCTTGTGAAAACCTAAAAGAGACTTCTTTTAGTGTAATACTGAGAGATATTGCCCTCTTTTGGTTTCTTACAAGTGTTACACAATTGAAATAAAGTCACATGATGTGAAACATGCCCAGCTATTTAAATAACCTGTTTTATAATTAATCAGTGTTTTACTGTTTCTTGAAATTGTACCTTTTTGAAAAACTTTGTTTAAAATTGTTTTGTTGTTTTGTGTAAAATTAATTTGAGTATTTGTACATCTTTACATAGACTTTGTATCACTGGAATCTGACTTTTAGAGCACAAGAATAGAGAGCTGAATCTTTTGACTTTCTTTATAGTAAGTCTTGTGGACGTTTGAGATGTAGTCAAAAATAAACATTTGTTATTGGTATCGATCAGATAGCACAGTATCACTAAAAAGGAACAAAATATCAGTATCAGCATTTTATTGTTATTTTTATGGTGCACGTTTTATTTTTTGTTTTTTGTTTTTTTGTATTGGGTTTTTTTAAGGTTCAATGCAGTCACTGCTGACTCGAATATTAATTAATGAAAGGTTTTAAAAGTACACAATTTCTACAGCAATTTAATTTAGCATTTACAGTCATGTTATTTTTAGAGGCTTTAATAAAGGTAATAATATAATATATAATAAGTTCGTTCTTTGCATTCTTGGTTTTGAGAAACACACAAAGATTTGGTGGAATCCAGCTTGTCCCGTATGATCTGCGTGCCAAAACCTTGGTGCACGAGCAGATTCGTTACCTGCATTCAGTATTTACTTCAGTCTTGTTATTAGCAATCCGCCATGCTTCAAGCACAACTGGCTTTTAAAGGGAATGGGAGATGAGACTCTGGTTGGTATTTCACGTTATCCCCAAAACACAGCCATTTCTCATTAAGAGAATAGGGACAACCCTTAGACCCACATGCAATCTCCTGTAGTCAGGTGGTCAATGGATTACAGATTAATTTCAGGATCATCCAATTTTTAAAGGCATTATTTAATTACAGTCATTCAGTCTTATCAAAACTTATCAGTGGGAAATATAAGCTGCATAGTGTAGCTATTATAAAAAAAAAAATGTATGTTGTTCTGTATTCCACACTTTGGATAGTTATTAAGCCCAGACTAAATCTGCAGACTTTTTTTCATATTTTCTTTATTGAATTTTGGGGGAAGTGGAACGAAGAATACAGTTGTTAGTGGAAAACATCAATTAAACTCATTGATATTAAAGAATGCAAAGACAGGTGATGTGAGTTTTATGCAGTTTATACCCTTTATGGCTGATTATTGTATCTGTTGTAATTTGTCTCCCTAAGTTTTTGTATGAGTGTTGAGTGTGTTTGAGTCACAGTGGGCCTCAGAGCACAGTAATATACAGCAGAGTCTGACACACTCACATCCTGGATTGTCAGAGGAACTGATCTTGATGTGGAGTCCAATGTTGCTGAAAATCTTTTCTTAAAATCAGGCTCAGTAGCTCCTTCACCAAATGTATATTTATTTAGTATAAATGTTGGTGATCTGTTTGGTAGCTGTTTGTACCAGAAGAGGTATGGATTATTAGAAGTGGTAGTATAATTACACTTTAAGATTACTTGATCTCCTTCATTTGCAGTCCTTTCTCTATAAGACTGTTCAACCTTGTCCTGTCCCGAGGACTCTAGAAAAAAATGGTAAAAGTCATTAACATTAGTTGCAAAGTAAGCAAACATTTAATAACCTAAATGAAAGTAGGCAGAAACAGAGTAAAAGTGCTTACCATCAAAATGTGCTATGAAACACAGGGAAATCAAAGCCCAGCAAAACATACTTGGTCTCTGAGGTAGAAGAAATCAAATGAACTCAACACAAGTCAACAGTGCTCTTAAAAAACTGTCTCACTGAGCTCTACTTAAATGTATCATGTCAGTGTCACATATGTCAGTCTACTCATACACAAAGAGAGCAATGCTGACCTCTTGTGGATAAAGTTTAAAATAACTTAAAATGTGTTCAACCATGAATGATTTTCAGAATTATCTTAAAGTGTTTTTGAACACATGGTCGATCCCCTCCACTAATACTATATGTGTATATCGTAAAGCCGTTTACTCACTGTTTTTCACTTTTTTCTTTTTAGTAAATGCTATCTGAAGAAGGTGTGCTTGACTGTATTGGTCACATTGTACATGCAAATTAGTAAAACTAACCCACTTTTCTACTTACAATAATCATGCATTTGTATTCCATGTGGCTCCTTTGACTGCAAGATGTTTTTAGAAATAAGAGGGCTCTAATTCAAGATTTAAGGGTCCATTTCTCCCGAACTGTGGAAGTGTTAGTTTAGTCAGAGCTGCTTTGAAACAATGTGTATTGTATAAAGCTAAGCCTAATATAAAAAACGTGACTTGACTTTTTTGTACGAGCAGGTTTTTGTACAGTGTTCTATATGTTTCCTGTGACTGTGGGCTGCAGAGCACAGTAATACACAGCAGAGTCTGACACTTTAGCAGAGGAGATCTCCAGATCCACACGGTTTTGATTTTCTTTTCTGATCTTAGTAGTGAATCTTTGATCTACATCAGATGTCTTCACATCTTTTACACCGTCTAAGATGAGCACAAGGAATTCAGGAGCTGATCCGAGATACTGACGGTACCAGTAAAGAGTATATGCAGAGGAATAACTGCAGGACAATGTAACACTTGAACCTTCGGCTGCAAACTCCTGTGTTTTGTCTGGTGTAATACAGCCCATTCTCACTCCCAAGGCGTCACCTAACTGACGCCTTGGGAAGCATTTGGACATGCTTCAATATCTGACGCTTTAGGCGCCCTTTAGCGTCAGTTAGATGACGCCCTAGGATCGCGTGTACCCTACCCCTACCCCACACCTAAACCTAACCGCGTCCTCTAACTGACGCTTTCCTTTAGCGTCAGTTAGATGACGCCGTTGGATCGCGTCATGTAAGTGACGCTAAAGGGCGCCTAAAACGTCAAATATTGAAGCATGGTCAAAGGTGACGCCTTGGGGTGAGAATGCGTTGTGTAATAGTATCTCCATTACTGGAACCTGCAAAGAAAAGTGAAATAGTCTCAGGGGGTGCAAATATTATCACTGCTGGTAAAATGTGAGCATTCCAGAAGTTCATTCACTTAGTGCACTATTAGCATTTATATATAGTGTTTATATAATTTAGTGTATTTTATATATTAAGGCCACAAATAAGACCAATAACTATACACACTGTGTGATAATTAATTTAAGGACAGCCTTAAAGTGGTGGTACTTACATACTAAAGCAGAGAACAGAAGAACTGAATGGAGTATCATTGTTTGTGTGCTTACAGTCTCAGCTTGAATGATCTTATGACGGTTCACTAAAATACTCTCAGATACGTTAAGCTCCTCCTGGAGAAAAGAAAGCACATCTAAAAATCAGTTTATCACTGTCACACTGTTGCTTTACATAATGTCACAAAGACAGAGTAGCATCTTCCATGTAATGAATGTGTAATGTACTGTAGATCCAACACTGAATCAGGTTTTTGTATGGTGTGTCGAGTGTTTCCTGTGACTGTGGGCACCACAGCACAGTAATACACAGCAGAGTCTGACACTTCAGCAGAGGAGATCTCTAGATCCACACGTTTGATCTCTTTTGTAGCTTTTGAATAGAGACGAAGATCAGGCTCAGATTTGCTTGAATATTCAGTGACAAGAAGTAAAAACTCTGGTTTTGCTCTGAGATACTGGTGGTGATACCACTGGAGAGAGTTAACAGTGACACCAGTTGTACTGTAGTTACAGGAGAGAGTCACGCTTCTGCCCCCAACAACATGTTTTTCTGAAGTAAATGGCTGTATTGTATCAGCCAAAGAAGTTTCTGTGAAAAAGAAAAGGGCATCAATTAATCAAGCAAAAAAATATTAGCCTTAAACTTTTAGAATCTATACATTCACAGAACTTTTTTTGTTTTTATTTTGACTGACATAAAGCTGAAATGATTTCTTACCAATGTAAAGTTGGATTATTATCCAAGTAAAATAAAACATGTTGTCCTCAGAGAGACGATCAATGATGCCAAAATTGTTGTTTAATTCCTCCTATCAGCATCTCTGTCAGTGTGAATCGGCTCCACCCACTGCTGGAGTGTTTTACACATGAGCAAGACACCTTTGTGGAAAAGGGTAATAATGTGACCTATGAATGTCATGATTCCGTATAACAAAAATATCCATAGTACTTTTTGCATTATGAGCAGCAGCACTTTATAGCCATTAAGTGGTGTATCATTCTGGATATATAGTTACTGAAATCACATTGATGCATTCAAAGAAGAGTAGAACATTTCATTGTTAATTATTTGTTTGTTTGTTTGTTTTATGTAAAGGAAATCCACAGCTGTAATATGCATATTGAGGGAAACATACAGTATCATGTTAAAAACTGCATGAATCAGAGCTCTTAGTTCCTCAGGATGTGTGCATGTGTTTCAGTCACAGTGGGCTTCAGACTACAGTAATAGCCTACACAGAAGAGTCAGACACACGCACATCCTGGATTGTCAGAGAAACTGAGCTTGAGGATTTGTGGAGATCTGCATGAAATTTTTCCTCAAATTCTTTTCACTGCTGCTTGATTCAGTTGAGAGTTGAGTTGAGGTCCATTTGAGATGTCAACTGATCATTGGATTTATGTTGATAGCAATAAAGATAAGGACATCGGTCACTGGTACGTGCAGTGTAACCACATCATGTCCAGCTGTTTGAACTCTTGTTGGCTGATTAACAGAATAAGTGAATGTGTTTTCCATGAAATAAATCACACACTGTAAACAAAACCTTAACAAAATAAAATTTATACGCGCAAACCGGGTGCCGGTGCGGTGTAGCCTACATGCTCGGGCAGATTCGGATTGAAGTTTACCAAATTTTACATTTGAAGTTTTTACATTTGAAAAAATCTTTTTTCTTTGTGAAAAAATTATTTTAATAACATTTTTTGTTGGTCATAGAGTGACGGTTCAACTACCATGTCATGCGGGCGCGCAGTTTTTGAAGGAGCTTGCGAGTACCCATTTCCTCGCGTGTAAATCTGTTATCCTCTCGCAAAAGTCATTTACCACCCGCGCCAGCATCAATTGTGCGCTCGGTTATTATTGCCATTGATTTGTCGCCATATAACATCTTGAAGATCCAAGGGGATAATCCTTCAGCCGGAAGTTGAAGCCTCGCGGGAGCCACCATTGTAGCACAAATTCACCTGCTGTTAACATTCCATTGACTCCCATTCATTTTGGCGTCACTTTGACAGCGAATAACTTTACATCTGAGGCATCCAAAGACTCCACTTGTCCATTATTTATTTATAAAGAAACGCGACAATGTATAGAAGGGTCCATTACCTTGTATCTTACATTATGGCCCTGTAGAAGCCGTTTTTGTAAAAATATGAGCCAGCCTGAGTTTATATGTCACTTTGCACAGTTGACTCATTTAGGAGGAGCTTGGATACATAATAGGGTACAATTCTGCCACAGGGTGGCCATGTTCTGCAATTACATTTTAAAAGGTCATCATTTAAAAGGTCTAAAGGTCATCATGACACATCTCTAATAATGAGTTCAGTGAGTATAGACGAATCCGACGAGCGTTCTTGTGTAGGCTGCCATCTTGTGGCGACGCCATTACTGAGCTGTTACACCGGCATAGACATATGCACCGGGATGTAAACAAACCTCGGAGATAAGGTGATAACGCACCCTTGATGACAGCTACAGCCAGGCAGACTTGTTGGGTTGATGATGTTAGACATTGGCCTCCAGTCACAGATGAAGGTACAAACGATCTTACAGATTATTTATGAAAATAGCTTGGCAAGCAAGCTAGGCTAACGTTTGCTACCGAGGAAACTAAAAAAAGATCTGTCCATTTGGCAACAATAAATAAATAAATGAAATCAAATAAACAAATTCATGTTTTTCATTTGTGTCCATTATTTATCTAATTTTTACATTGCAACGGGCATGGGTAAGGTAACGTTACAGCTAGAAAGTATACACAATATTGACCAACTACTGTTTTTAAACCATGGAGGTCAATATAACAGCAGGAGAACAATTATATCACATAACGTTATATTTAGCTCAGGAAAGCCATTTAATGACCATAGCATGTAAATTGAATAGAAAAAATAACAAGAGAGGAGATTTTGCTGATCACTATATCACACATTTATTATTTTTTTTTACTTATGTCATTAAATAATTGTTATTATACGCGAATGTCTGCGTCTTGTACTCGCCCAGGAAATCTGTGTTACCGTACGGCACCAGACAGGGGCAGTCGACCCGGGGTATTCACAATGTTTTCTCTTCAAAATTGAAATTTTACTGCCACCATTGAAACAATTTATAACAGAAACTGTTTACCCACTCGACATTATACAAGGGCTAACGTTGTAACGTTAGTGTCAGTCGTAAATCTCGAGCTGTTTATTCCAGTGGACGCAAGTTGCAACTAAAACAATAGAAGGCAATGGCGCAACGCTACCCAGCAACAGCTCAGTAATGGCGCCCGCTTACTTCCGGTAGTTTCGCCGGATTCGTCTATAGGATGTATTTTTTTTAAAATACATACAATGTTGTTATTAGATCGACCATTTTTTTTACCTAACTTCTCAATATTTTTTAAATAATACATTGGAGTTTGTTGTTGATGTTGTTGAAGAAGTATATCTGTCTGCTGAAACCATATATGTGTGTATAAAGTATACTTCTTTAAAGCAGGTTTCACATATTAATATTAACATTTCACATATCCATATTAACATCTGCATCATGGTTTATGGTTTTTACTGTTTTGAGTCCGGAGGGAATAGATCAAAATAAATGGCGTTGGTAAATAGTTCAGTTTATGAGGATAGAGTTGTATTGTTGAGGAAGTTTTTGTACAGTGTAGATTGAGTTTCCTGTGACTGTGGGCGTCAGTGCACAGTAATACAGAGCAGAGTCTGACACTTCAGCAGAGGAGATCTCCAGGCTCACAAGATTGTTGTTTTTATCAACTTTAGGTAAAAGACGAGGAGGAAGAGGGTCACTTGTTGTTCCATGTGGATAAATGAATGCAAGGAACTCTGGTTTGGATCCCAGATACTGACGATACCAGTGCAGGTTTTGTACAGTTCCATCATATTTACAGGACAGAGTGACTTTTTCTCCTTCAGATTTAAGCACCTTGTTTTCCTGCGGCTTTATCGACTGTCCAAACGTCTCTCCTGCAAGAAAACATTACAGTTTTTTTTTTTTAAATCAAACTTACCCAAAGAAAGAATCATGCAGATTAGTCAGTTAAAAAAGTTTCAAGCAATATTAAAACTCCAAACATTGTACAAAACAAGAAAGTATGTGATTAAAGGTCTAGTCCTTCAGTAAATCAGGTCTAGAATCAGTAAATTTCTCCTACTTTTTATCATCAATAGCAGCAGCAGAACATAAAGGATCGTCATGTTTGCACTGTAGGAAGAAAGAGAGTTTAGTTTGCTTTGCTCTATATATCAGATCTCACAGGCTCCTCCTATCTGTCAATGTAAAAGAATGAAAACCTTAGTTAATGAACACTGAAGTGTGAATCCATAATATACCATAACCATAATATAATACTGTACTAGAAGACATACAAAAAATCAAAGCTCATCTAATCATAAAGATTCTCTTCTGCAATATGGATTTTTATGTAGCCCTACTGCTGGTTATTGTAATAAAGCCCTGTTTTTTGGTTTCACCTATACAATACATTATAGACCTCACTTATTAAAGTTAAATTATTAAACATTTATCCAAACTCATATTTTAACTCTTTAAAAAAGGATGAACACATGTTTAAATGACAATGTTAAGTGTATATCGCCCTCTTCTGGTCTGTCACAGCTTTCCCCACATCGTGATTTTGCCAAGTAAGACATGTTCCTGGATCAACATTCCTGTCCCAAAATGTAGTCCTTACTCAATCCCTACCCCTAAACCTAACCCTACCCATAACTTTTCCCTAAAATCAGAGGGTAATGATTGGTGAATAACACTGATGTTTATGTACTTCACCCTGGTTCTAAGCCTAAATTTGACATCAACTGTAAACTTGTATACTTAAGCTTGTATATTTAAGTTCAGTAATTGAGTGAAATTACTGAACTTAAACATACAAGCTTGATAAAAATGGTCATTTTAGAAGAAAATTTCAAATGGCATTTAGAGGCTTTTGCATCTGAACTCTTCAAATATGTTTATCCAGGAACATGTGGTACTTGGTAAAATCACGTTCACCGCTTTCCGCACATGCATAGATCTCTTCACAAAATAGATTTTAGCAATAACCAGATTCTTGGCGTTTCATATTATTTTAATGGTAGGAGCAATATGAAATCAATTGAAACCAACATTAAGGAAAGACTGATACAAATGTAAATATAACTAATGTAAAATTATATAATGAACTGAATGTAAACTATATTAATGGGTAAAAGGTTTCTGAAATCATATTTATTCTAATATAAATTGAAGTTGCATGATGTAATTTATGCCGTTGCGTTGCACTGTGAGGGTTTTTGTATGAGTGTTGAGTGTGTTTGAGTCACAGTGGGCTGCAGAGCACAGTAATACACAGCAGAGTCAGACACACTCACATCCTGGATTGTCAGAGGAACTGATGTTTTGCTGAGATTTGCTTGAAATCTCTCCTTAAATTCATCTTCATTCTGTCCGGTTGTAGAGAATTTATTTAGCATGAACTTGGGGATTTCATCTACTTTCTGCTGGTACCAGAAGAGAGTCGGGTTTGAGTAACCAGTCTGATATGTACAGTTGATTGTTACATCATCACCTTCAACAGCAGATTGAATCTTTGTATACTGATCAACTTTGTCTTGAGAATTACATCCTGAAATTAAGAAAATATGTGGAAAACATTCACCCGTTTGATGCAAGGAATGCACACAGACACATAAGGAGAATTATTATAAGCTAGAAAATAATCATTATTTGATAGTTCTACTTACCCCAGATATATAAAAATATGATCACAATGGCACTTCCCCAGAGTGCCATTATCCACAATTGAAATGACCAACTATAGCCTGTATGCAAAGATGTTGTGATCCTCTTTCTGCATCTGTTAAAGCAGCAATAAATTCAAGTCATTTGTTCTGACTGCTGGGAGGAGCCTGTGCTACAGTATTAGCCAACGATGACTGTATGTAATATGTATCACTTACTGTACTAGAACGCTTGATTCTGATTGACAAGTCAGCATCAGACTAATATTTCCTAAGATGGGCTATCATCCAACACTGTATTTCAGTCTGCTTATCTGAAACCGGCACTTAATAAGCTCTAATTAATTTAACAGTTATATGCCGAGAACTGCAGCCATTACAAATAAATTCTTCATCCAGATTAACATAGATTATAACAGTCTAATAAATATCCCAGTGCACAAATGTTTGCAGGCCAACACACATACAGTGCGAGCTTTAATATTGCACCAACATCATTATGCCAAACTGTGGACAACTTCTGAAATGACATTGATTTTGTAGATTAAAAAACAAAACAAAGTGATGGCAGCTCATGTTCGACATTTAAAGTTTTTACCTTAGGCTATTTAACTTTTGAACTGTGGAAAAATTATATTAAATTAATTAATTAAATTAATATTAATTATATTAATATGTATATATAATATATATATATATATATATATATATATATATATATTCTTTAAATATGGTCACATATGAATGTAGCAAACGCATGTGGTTTTGCATTTGCTGCGGAGAAGTTTGAATTATATATTCAAGCAAGACAATGTCCGGTTAGTTTTTCAGTGTGAGACATTTAAAAGTCATGAATAACCAATAATAGCATTATTTATGTAAAGCAAATGTTTACTAAATATTTTGTCAAAGTAATATCCTTAGTCATAATGATAAAGATTGAAATGTAGTAGTAATTAAAGAAGTATAAGATCTGCACTGAAAGGAAACTTATGAAATGTGATTTCCTGAACATTTCGTTTCTTTGAAGTTGTATAACAGGTATAATACCAACTCACAGGTGTGACCACATATTTTATTACATTAGATTGTGGTTTTGATTGTGGTTTTCACTAGATTTGTTCAAAGTGAAAAGAGCTTCAGGTTTTTGTACGACATGTTTCATGTTTTGAATCACTGGGCTACATCTCTCAGAGCACAATAATAGAGAGCTGAATCTGACAGACGTACATCAGTAATAGTGAGTTCAGTGGACGTGCGTGATGTAGTCGACTGAAACCGATCATCAGTGGTGTGTGCATAACTATTTGATCGTGCACCTTTGAGTAATAAATACTGCGGTTCTCTGTTTGGATACTGTCTGTACCAGTAAAGCCAAATATTTTCACTATTTGTATTATATGAGCAGCTCAGCTTGACAGTTTCTGTTTCTTTGGAGGTCTCTGTATTTTTATCTGGCTCAATGTCGTCTCCAGTCACCAATCCTGTCAACAATAAAATGTGATTTTTTTTATTTGTGAAAGCAAGGTTGACAAAATATTACTGAGAACACATTTCACATAACGTTTTTCAAAAGATAATTAAAAGAATATAAATGTAGCCTTTGGAGTTTGAGAATTAAAAACAAAGTAAATATTGATATACAGCATTTTATTAATCATTTAATAAATAGCGTACCTGTTCCCACAATGAGAATAAGTATGAGGCATCTGTCCATGTTGAATCAGATCAGTTCAGTTCTCTGTTGAGGCTCTCAGTTCTCTGAGCTGTAAGTCACTGAAGATCACACAGAAACACACACAGGAACTTCCTCCTCCCTGAACTTCCTGCTGCTGTTTGTGATTGTCATTTAACTATAACTACACAATTTTTACTTTATTTATTAGAGTTTTTTTTTTGTATAGAAAAATATTTGCTTGCAGATTTCCAACAAATGCAAGCAAGTTATTTAACTTGTCTTGTTGGAGCTCAGCTGTCGTGTGTGAAAGTGGTGATGATGATGATGATGATGATGATAGAGTGTATTTTAGTTTTTACAAAACGTATTTTAAGAATCTACTCAATAAGTGCCACAATAAAGTCATAAAGTCCATCTATTGGCCAGTGGTATACCCTGTATTCTGCGCACTGACCTTTATACCAAAGCTCTTTTATAATAGCTTATAAGTCTATAATTTGTAGTAACTGTTTGTCGCCCTCTTCTGCATTGCAAGAGTTATTACAAGGTTACAAAAATCATCAACCATCAGAAAGTGTAACTCAAGACCATGATAGTTTTTGTATGAGTGTTGAGTGTGTTTGAGTCACAGTGGGCCTCAGAGCACAGTAATACACAGCAGAGTCAGACACACTCACATCCTGGATTGTCAGAGGAAATGATCTTGAAGATGTGTCAATATGTGCATTAAATCTTTCTTTGAACTCTTTGTCTTCGTCTCCAGTTTTACCAACTCTGTTCAGCATATATTTAGGACCTCCGTTGACTTTTTGCTGGTACCAAAAGAGTGTCGGCGAAAACTGGGTTTGATATGTACAGTTGATTATCACAGCTCCACTTTCATAAGCAGTTTGAACTCTTATATTCTGCTCTACATTCTCCTGCGATTCTATTCCTGTAATAACAAATCATGAACAACATCAGAAAAGAAATATAATTAACATTCAGAATTACTTAGAAGAAAATTAAAAACAATTAATCCCAAAACACTTACCCCAGACATATATGATAACAATGATAATTTTTTGAATCCAGTGTGTCATCTTTTTGATCTGATTTTAATTACCGGTAAGTCTCATCTAAATCTAGATCTTATTCTCACCCCGATCTATGTGAAAAAATGACTGTAAATACTGTAATGAGCAAGAGCACTTGATCTACAGTGTCTGCTTGAGGAGATTTCTTTGACTCCTCCCTCTTATTTTGCTGATAGTTTATTGGGTACATACGGTATTTGTTATAATGAGTTAAAATGAACTTTAGTCATAATTTGGTGTCAGTTTGTCTCTTACTGTCAGACAGTAAGCTTTAAAAACAAAATTATGAAACATATTTATGTTTCCAGTGAAAATAATATCACAATCTATTGTGCTATTGTTTATCTTGTAGCAATACAATATATTGATTGCAAGATTCATATCACATCATCGCTTTATACACTGAACAGAACTGTTTCTGTCTATTGCTTGTTCTCAGTGGATTGAATAAGGTTTTTGTACAGTGTTCTTGTGTTTCCTGTGACTGTGGGCCTCAGAGCACAGTAATAGACAGCAGAGTCTGACACTTCAGCAGAGGAGATCTCCAGATACACATGGATTTGTTCCCCTTTTGTGACTTTAACAGAGAGTCTTGAATCTACATCAGACACCTCAGCACCTTTTGCAGCACTGTGGGTTGATACAAGAAATTCAGGATTTGATCTTCCATTCTGACGGTACCAGAAGAGATACTCTGTAACCCCAGTTGAGGTATAACTACAGGACAATTTTACATTTCGTCCCTCGTCAGCACCAACATATGTTTGGTCTGATTTGATGGTATTTCCAAAGACAGAAGCTGAAACAGAAGAGGAACATGTTGCTTTATAGAAAGATTTCTTTGTAAACAGTCAATCAATCAATTAAAGAAACACATACCAGCTGAAGCACAGAACAGAATAACTGACAGAAGATCCATTGTGCAAGTGTTCACTTCGAGAAGAGTCAGACTGAATCGTTTCATCCACAGTCTCTTTCAGACACGATGAGATCATGTCAGATCTGTGACCTCTGAGTCCCTCCTCTCTGAGCAACATCATGTCCATATTTAAGATTTGGGGACCAGAAGAAAGAGCCAATCACACTAATTTGAATGTTTTCTCTGTGCTATAAATTCATCTATGATTCCATAATATACAATTACAAGGTCTGTGGTCAGTAAGTTTTTAAAATGTTTTTGTAAGAAGCCTCTTATAGCCATCCAGTCTTCTGTCACACAATGCTTCAGAAATGATTCTAAAAAGCTGCTTCGCTGCTCAAGAAGCATTATTATTATTATCAAAGTTGAAAACAGTTGTTTAGTATTTCTGAAACTGTGGTGCATTTTTTTTTTTTGAGAATCCTTTGATGAATAGAAAATTCAAAAGAACAAAATTTATTTAAAATAGATTTTTTCCTTACTGAAGTAAAAATGTAAAAAAAAAAATCTGTTCTAAAACCATTGCTTATCTAAATTTATTGATGATGATGTTATAACTAAGAATATCATCAGCATAGACTTTATTTGACTGTTGCACAGACTAAACCATCCATAAGCATGTTTCTGCTCTTGTGTTTTTGTATGTGGGTTGACTTCAGTTTTCTCACAGTGGGCCTCAGAGCACAGTAATACACAGCAGAGTCAGACACACTCACATCCTTGATTGTCAGAGGAACTGTAAATGCAGATGTGTTGAGATCTGCATTAAATCTCCACTTGAACTCTTCATCATTGTTGCTCGATCCAGAAAGTCTCATCAGCATGTATTTTGGGGATTCATTTGTCTTCTGTTGGTACCAGAAGAGATTCGGATACTGAGTGCTGGTTGCTTTGTAAGTGCAGTCAAGAGTGGCTGTTCCATCTTCAAAAGCTGTCGTAACTTGCTTGGACTGTATTACATTGTCCTGTGCTGTGCATCCTGTACAATCAAACATAAATTATTGTCCACAAAAACATAACTTTATGATTTTGAAAAAAAATCAAGAATACAAATGCATACCTAGGATAAATGCTGCCAGAGAAAGTAAATTATTGTAGCACAGTGCCATAATTGCAGTGTTAAATATATGCAAAATAATAGATATTCACTAGACCTAAACACCTATGGTAGGTCTTGTTACTGTTTCTATCACTTCCATCAATGCTATACAAAAAATCTGGGAGGAGTCATTAACATGTAGACTTTCATTATTGCCTCACAGGCAACCTATTGGTTTACACTGTAGTTTCTTGTAACATTATTCTCATATTATTTATTTTAACAACAACAAAATTACCATTGGGCTTGCTTCATATACAATTTAAAGCACATTCTTTGATTTAAAGGTAGGCCTAATTGAATCCCATTGAATGCCATTAATAATGGTGTAATGTCTGGTCCAATAGGCTAAAAAAATCTTTTCTTTTCTAAAATTGTCTTTTTTTTTAGCCCAAAAGTATTACTCTATTTAAAATATATGTCTATGGTGTTGCAGCCCAACATAGTGTTTTTGAATGAGGGTTGAATGTGATTTTGTCACAGTGTGCCTCTGAGCAACAATGCTGAGGATGACTTCGGGCCTCTGTTATATCACTTTAACTCCATTAGACAGCCGTGCCATTTGTCCATTTGCTGTATTCATGCTGAGAAAATACGGAACAAACTCAGTAGTTAAACTATCTGTTGTAGGGTATTTCACTTAACGAGGCTTTTCTGTAGGCCTTTTTTTAAAATGAGGCGCAACTTCTCACTTCACTTGATTGCTTAGACGACACTGCCACCTTGTGGTGAGTTGAACATAGTAATATCATCGCGTTGTCTTGTCCCTCATTTTTTAAGAATAATATAAAATTAATAGGGTAGCAGTTAATATTAAGAAACCAACGATATGGTATACAATATACACTTAAAATTTGTTTAATACACACCACCAAAATCCACTGACTAGGCAATTTCATTTATTTCTTCCCAGACAGAGAAGCAGCGACCAAACCTAAACAAATCTCCACTGCAGTAGAGGGCGATCTAGATCAAGTTGTTACATGATGTAGTACATGTTACTTTGCAATATATGAGCTACAAACCACATGGACAGTCTTATCTGTAAACGTAATAGCAGTTTGGTTGATCAATTTCATATAAGAATCTAATAGTCTGCACAGAGACTTCAGGAAAGGAAATCAGCGCGCGCTAAATAAACCATCGTAACTTACACGGCTTCAGTACAAAGACCATACCAACAAAAATGGCGAAAGGAATGTACTTAGAACACTATTTAGACAGTAAGTTTCTTAAATGGTAATCTTCTGAACTTGTTGCCACATTTTAATTATAGTAACGTTAATCTGTCAATGTAAACAACTCAAACTCTTGCAGCTCTTCTGAGTTAATTGTGTTTCTACAAAACAAATGTATCAGTCTTATGTGATAAACTGCTGAAGTATATTTGACAGTGTGACTGCATAATGTTGTGCATCTAATAATTTTATATAATCATTTATTCTAGGTATCGAGGGACTTCCCTGCGAGTTGCAAAGAAACTTTTCATTAATGGGGGATTTGGATAAAAGAACTGAAGGTAATGTTTGGACCACTCATCACAAATACTCAGGTCATTAAGTTACTGTGAAATACCTTTTTAATGTTCTCTAATCAATTACATTCTTACTGTTTTCACAGAGAAAAAAGCAGAGATAAGTGAACTAGCTTCTGAGTATATTGGAAATGTTAGAAATATGCCATCCGAGGAGCGTGTCCAGCATTTAAAGAAGATTGAAAATGCTTACAGCAAATGCAAAGAGTACAGCGATGACAAAGTTCAGCTTGCGATGCAGATATATGAAATGGTGAGATGGAGTCTTCTGTTTTATATATGCTTGTCCTACTTCAAGTATCAAGCAAAAACAAGTCTGCTTGTGTTTCCAGGTGGATAAACACATTCGGCGGTTGGATGCAGATCTTGCACGCTTCGAGAATGATCTGCAGGAAAAACTGGACTCAGGTAGCCCGGATAGCTCTGATGAAAAGCAATCTCGAAGTAAGTCTTATTGTTCAGAATATATGGATGTTTATGTTCATATGTACAATTAATGCCTATTTAATACATTTTGCTGTAATTTAGGGTAAGACTAAACAGACTAATTTGTTGTTTCAGAGGATAAGAATATAAAAGACAAGAGGGTATCTAATGGAAGAGACAAGAAAGGATCGGATCAAGATTCACCCAAGCAGAAAAAACTGAAAACTGGGTAATAGTGATTTTATATGGATGCATTGTACTGATGCAAAAGTAAAATATTATAAGGCTTTGTATTCAACTCTTTCTTTGTGTCTTTTCTCTCTCTCTAGTTCCAACATAAGTGAATCTCTGCTTGCCATGCATCCATCAGATGTCCTGGATATGCCAGTAGACCCCAATGAACCCACATATTGTTTGTGTAGTCAAGTATCATATGGAGAAATGATTGGATGTGACAATTCTGATGTGAGTAATAATATGTGTGTGTGTGTGTGTGTGTGTGTGTGTGTGTGTGTGTGTGTGTGTAATAATGATTATATATATATATATATAATCTCACACGCATGAATGGTCTTAAATGTGCATCATGATATCCGGTGGGGATAATGGATAGACACTGTTGTAAATAACATAAGTCCTCTTATTATTGTTGTTAACGTAAAAATAATTTTCTAAAGGGTTTCTTCTCTTTTAACAGTGTCCAATAGAATGGTTTCACTTTGCTTGTGTCGGCCTAACAACCAAACCAAAGGGAAAGTGGTGAGCTAATTTCCCTTATTTTGTACTACTTTTTATTTGCACATTCCACATACTGAGTGACATCTCTGTGTAGTTAATATTGCAGTTGTCAAATATTTTGTTCTCCAATTCCAGGTACTGTCCCAGATGTACCCAAGATATGAGAAAAAAATAGCATATTGCAGTGTATCCTGAATTAAATATTCAGTCCCTTTCTTGGTTAATGTCCTAATCAGTGGAAATCAATTGACTTTTTGTATCAGTGCCTTTCTCTTTGCTATGTAGATGACCATGAATGTTACAACAGAGAAGAATAAAATGAATTTTCCAGTTGCTGCCAGCAGAGGGTTTGGATCTCTTTTTCATAGCTTTAAAAATAAAGTTTATTTATGATGATGCTCACCATTGTTACTTCTTATGTCCTGTCTAAGCTATTTAATCTTGTATTGTACTATCTATAAAAAAGTTAAAGTTTAAAATAACGCCTTAACTTAAATTAAAGCCTTAAATGAAAATTAAATTTTGCCAGCCTGACGTTGGCAAATTCGATTAGTGTAGGGAAATGTAGTTTTAGAGGTAGCCACCTAATCGCAGTGCAATGAGATCTAAACTACATTTACCGTCATGCAACAGCTGTCGGAACTCATGGAAGGAACCCATTTGCAAACAGGAGTAGTTTGAGGTTACAGAAAACTTATTACATTCAACATTTCGCTCAATTTAATATTTTTTTATTTATATGTTTATGAATAATATATTAGTTTAAAAACTCACCAAACTAAAAAGCTACGTTTTGTGAAATACAAACATTGGGCTGGGTCGACAGTTCCGCTTCCCCTCCGCCATAGCAGACAGATCCCGGCCGGGTCCAAGAGAAGTAACGTTAGTTAACTAAAAAAAAAAACAAGCACGTCGACACGGCGTCCAAAATCATAATCTCTAGGGAGATATTCTCATTATACTTGCAGCGAAATTAATTTATGAACGTGAAAAGGCGGAGCTAAAACTTTGAAGAGGTTTGCGGGAGTTCTGGTGAGTTGAAAATGCTAAACTAGTCTAAACCTGATATTTGCTCTGCCAGCAGTACGCAGATAACTTGAGAGTTACAAAGTATGTATTTGGTATTGATGGTTTATCTTTGTATTTTTGTTGTTATATCTCCTTGACAGTCTTGTTTTTGATAATGCTGTTTGATATATTCTGTCTTGTTTCCCCACAAAGTAATATGAATTAAATCAAGTGGATAATAGTCAACAGACGCAAAGCCAAGCAATACTTTTTTTCCAGAAAGCTCAGAAAGGGTTTTTAGTTACGCATTAGTTGTAGTTAGATATTAGTGTTTTGTTGAAATGTGCATGTGTGACACGTAAGTCTCATCTTTTGGGGGGAATTTCTATCACGTTGATTATATTTTCTTCATGGGACATTAAGATGTTTGGGCAAAATAGCACCATGTAGGCTAAGTCAGCATGTACTTTCGTTGTATGGGAGAAGGCTGAGTCTGATAGTTTCCTTTGAGAATTCTGCCTAACATCTCTTTAGGTTCCCAAAAAGAAGTAAACACCAAATTATGACGCAATTTTAATTTAGTTGATGACAAGCAATAATTTGGCAGTTAAAAAGCGTGTCTCTTGTTTCTGGACCAATTCATGCCTTCATTCTCCAATAAATTGGAAGGAGGATGGCAGCTAGGCTTGTTTCAGGAAGTCTTGCTCAGTATTTCCTTTTATAGAAGCTGCAAATACAAAAGACCCTTGCCTTGCTCTCTCTTCCTGTAAACAGTTCCTCTACAGTATACAACCACACATCTGTAAAAGAGAGGCGTGCTCTGATATCTTTGTTTTGGTCCAGTTGGTCAGATCTGATGAAGTGCAAGTGTGTATAGTGGTCGGTGCTAGTAAGATCAGGAAATGCTCATTATCTGTCCACCAATCAGAAACTGAGGGGATGTGAGTAATAGGAAGTGGAGGCACTCTACTGTTTTTTTTTTTTTTTTGTCTTCAGTGTTCTCTAGACCTTGAAGATTGTAATCAGCAGCACTATCAGAGGTTACATAGCTAGAATTTTGTGAATTTGAAAAAAAATGCATCATAAATGATATGTGATGGTCACTGAACTTGGTATTAGTGCAGAATGTCTGTTGGTTTAGTGGGAAATAGGGGTGGATATGGAGGAGTCCGAGTCTGACCCACATGGCATGCATAGTCACTGGCACCTTATGTTTACTTTTGGTCAGCTAGCCTGCAACTGTGAAAAAACAAAAACAAATATAGGCTATGCTCGTTAGTTTAGGCCTGGCACGACTCAAATCAAAGAGGCTCAGGGGAGCAGACAGGAATGTCCACAGTCCCGCTTCCCATGAGCTTTCTCTGGCATTTTCCTCTCACTTCCCCTTTTCGTCACACAAACTGAGAGGAGACAGTTTGCAGCCTTTGGCTGAATTCATACGGTATGCTATAGAGTAGCATCTAATGCTGTGTTATTGGAGAAAATCTTATAATTTGTAACAAAGTGTAACTTTGTGATATTACTGTACATTTGTGCATTTGGCAGATGCTTTTATCTAACAGAACTTGCGCTACATTTTAAGGTTCGTATTTTTATCAGTAATGGTTTCATGTGTTCCCTGGAAATCAAATCCATGTCTTTGTTCTGTCTAGCACCAAGATCTTATTTTTGAGCAACTGGAATGCTGTTACTTTGTTTATATATATACGTATATATCCAATATACTCTAGTTTAAAGGGATAGTTATCCCAAAAATGAAAATTAAGTCATTAATTTCTCACCATGCTGTACCAACCCTGTAAGACCTTCGTTCATCTTCGGAACAAAACTGAAGGTATTTTTGTTTAAATTTGAGAGGTGGATCACTGCTACATAGACTGCCTAAGGGATTGAAACTTGACGGCCCAGAAAATCATTGAAGAAAATGTTTAAATATTCCATTTGACTACAGTGGCTCAACTATGAGTTTATCAAGCAACGCGAATATTTTTTGTGCGAAAAAACAAACAAAAATAAAGACTTTATTCTCGTTTCAGGCCTACAAGGAAGAAAAGGAATAGTCGAATAAGGTCGTTCGTTATTTTTGTTTATTTTTTCGCACAAAAAATATTCTCGTCGCTTGATAAACTTATACATGAGCCACTGTTGTCACATGGAATATTTAAACATTATGTGAAAAAAAATCTGCCAAAACGCGTCGCCATGTTTGCCGACCTCCAGGGGTTAACTAAAAAAAGTTGGTTTAGGGTTTAGTTACCCTTTAAAGAAGCCATATGTAAGATTGTGGCCAAAACTGGTACTGCAATCACTTTCAAATTACTGTAGAGTGGTGTATCCACCCCCCCTCCCCCTTGACTCGAGGTTGCCAGATAGGCTATCTGACAGGTTTTTATCTGCAGCTGTGGTAACTTGAGAAGAGCTGGCAACCCGGATGCTGCAACACTACTGACTTCGTGATTGGTGGAGGGTGGAGCATCAGACCGAAACACAACATGACAACATTAACATCAGTTGAGGGCTGCAACTTCACTTTTTAACAAATTACAATATCCTGGCTGGACTACTGTTGTCTATGATATAAGTATTTGAAATTAATATGATTTCTAGTGACATATCAGGGCCATTTTATGATTATTTGAAATACATTTCTGACATACAGCTCCTTTAACTAAGGGATAATATTGAACGAGGCAGTTATAGCAAATACAACCCGACAGCTTGATCAGGACCCCAACGCAGTTTACATTATATAACTACTTAACTAACGAAGATAACTAACAAACCCTAATGCAAGCCTTGAGGTCCGATTTACTGACCAATCGTTCTTAAGAAGATTCACGAAACATTCTTAAACTCTTCTCAATCCCTTCTAGTCAAGTCACCTTCATTTATAAAGCACTTTTAACAGTGTGGATTGTTTAAAAACAGCTTTAAAGTTGCAGATTGTTTAGGCTTTACAACAGCATTAGGATAAAGTTATTGTCCTGTAACAAATGATTTTTTAATTTGTGTAAAAAGTACTTTGTTTTAATGGAGATTATGTGAGTATGTATGGCTTGGCAGAAATGGTTGTGGATATGAATCAGTAGCTCGAGGCTGTAAGATTCACAAGCGCTAGACTAACCATTTTTGAAGCAGAAACATAAAACACTGGCTCAAGTTGGAAAAAAATACCTCATGAAATGAACCATGCAGAAGTGCGTTATAAAACACTCCCATCAAGTCACACCCATCTCCAAATCACTGTCGTTACTGAAAGGCAAGTTAAGACCAAATTAAATTCCTTAGAAAATGTATTACTGAAATCTGCAGGAGTCTGTATAGCATTGCTCAATATTGAATGCTTTAAACAAGAGATCTTTCTTCTCAGATTCTCCATAGGTATGTGGGGGTGAAAGTGCTTTCTATTTAAGCTCCTAAAACACCTCGCATAATCCTGATTCATTTGTGATTGTGTAACGGCGGTAGTTTCTCGGAGCGAGAGTCAGTGGTGTGTAAAGGTATGTCCGGTCAAATATCTCTGCTGTAGGGCCTAACATCAAGCCCGAAGGGTGGTACATCAATATAGTGATGTGCAGCACAAAGGCATGACTGCACTCGCACTGTGGAATGAAGCATGCCTGCATCAACACGCCTCTCTCTCGGCTCACTTTAGTGGAAACACAGGGAGAAAAGAGACTTGTGGACACCATACAGAAGACCTTTAATGTCTCAGGAGTGTGCCAGAGCAGAGCCAGGGACATCAGCTGGATCTTTCCATCGGGGTTCTTCAGGGTGAGATGGTGTTATAGTGGTGGCACTGGAATCTATTAGCATCCTTTTTCCTTAATCTTTTACTTTTTTAGTGTTTATAATGCCCCCTTCTTACAAGCTGAAATGTATGGTGGGAGCTTGGGGGAAAAAAGCTCTTTCAACTCAAACTGATCATGCTCCAAAAGCAATGAATTGAATTAATTTAGACTTCTTCTGTTTGATATGATGTATTTATGGTGTCTTTCTGCATTCAGATTGATTCAGGGATTTCTATCTCAAACTCTTAGTTTTAGTTGTGCAAATTTTATTTATTTATTTTTTCATTAGATTGATGTCTCAATACATGCTATGTATACAGTATATGAGAATTTTCTTCTGAGAATCTTCTCACACTGCACTGATCTTTATTCTGCCCTTAGTTTAGTTTTTTTAGGGAATCAGGAACTGGCTCACAAGTGTTACTCTAAGATCATGCAATACTTGTGTAATAGTTCTCAACTCTTCGTTTCTCATTTCTCAACTCTTCAGAAATATCTTTGTTATAGTTCAGGTAAAATTGTTTCAGAACACACTTGAAAGTGT